CCCGGCATTGTCAAGACCAAATAAACCATGAAGTACTGAAATATTTTTAACACTGGTTGTAAATGGACAGTTGATCGCAAGATGAGAATGTTAAAATAGCATGGGTCACTTCATAAATTGACTGTAATACTTTATAAGATATAAATATTATGACTCGCCTACAGGGTAACTAATAAGTTATTTATCATAGTGATATATGTCCAATTCGTAATGTCTAGTTACTAATTTAATTTTGATAATGGCTCAGGGAGGTGAAAGGCACAATGATCATCTTCGAGACTATTGATGGATTACAGCCAATGTGGCAAATTATTGATTTTAAATAGATATGCTCTCAATGGTCACTTAGGGTCAACACACATTAGATTATCAACTATGGTAATAACATGATTTAGATTGCCTGCTGAGAGTTTATGTTGTATGTTAATATGAAGGTCTGTATAACTGTTGCTGCTATACTAAGTCAGGGATTGTAACTACAGTTCCCTTGTTTTTTTTGATAATTAGGTTGATTAATCTTATGAAACAGTATGGATTTTATATACAAAAAGAAAATGTTTCTTATAGTCGTTGTTTGAGAATCAATAATTATACATGTAGATTACAGAGTGTGTGAGGGGGTAAACATCATCATTCTTTTGCATTCTTCAAGAATAAATTTAATACAAAATGCTGGTGTAATTTAAAAAGCGTGAAATTGACTTATGACAAGTTTTGATCTATTCACCCAATTTATGATACTTTTATGATACGATTGCTGTTTATAATATCATCGCAAAATCAATTTATTCACAGACACCATGGTAGGAAATTAGAGAAACTGAATTAAATTTAGAATAAGGGGAGACATATAAATTGTTTCTTTATTCATGAATTGATCTCTGTAAAATAGCCTTCTACCAGACCAACGGTCCACAGAGAATTTAACTTCCAATAACAGGACAGTCTATCATACCAACAGTACAATACTTTCATTAGCTTCAACACCAAGTCTTGTCTCTCGACAAATATTTCTCCTCTACTGTGGCTGTGACATGAATGAGTTAAGGTGGTCACATACCGGTCAAATTCTTGTTAGCTATGGCTGTTTTACTGGCCGTTAACAATGGTTATTTGATGTGGACAGCAGTCATTTTATTATGTTGGAACATGACCAGCTCATCTTGTTAAATGGCTGGAGATATGTGAGGGGTTACAGTGTTTCGGTGATTTCCAAATATTTGGACAACTTCTTACAGTAATTGTGTTTGTATTTATGGTGTTTCATCCTTCACAAATATAAATCTGGTGGACATCATCTACATGTAATTAAGAGATGTCAAATTTTCTGCTGAAGTGGAATAATGTTGAAAGTACCAGTAATATTAAAGAAGTTGATTTTTTAAAGATAATTTGGTGTTTCTGAAGACATTGGTTATTATTATGGGGTATGTTTTATGATGTTTTTCTGTATACTTAAACATATATTATTCAAGAGCTAAATCTGACTATTGCAAGTCTTTCTGAATTGTTAATTAGACATTAATTAACTTATCCAGACCATAATCAACTCTCGATGGTATCGCTAGTTGGATATTTACTGGATTAGAATCCGATTTACTGCTCAATGCTCATTGATGATTTAATCCAAAAACTGATAATTGAGACTATATATTTTTATCGTACTGATTTTAGTAATGATGATTGAAGCTAAGCCGAAAATTCAATTGCTAGATTCTCACTTCAGAGTGGATCAATTTGACTGAAATTTTCAACAAATTCCCTTTACATTATCTAGATTTTAACTATTATAGTGAGAACTGCCAGCTCTTTATCTAATCTCACATAATGCCGCTTTAATTTGAAGTGAAATGAAATGGGGTTTTCCTGTACTACATTTCTGCTGCTACCGAGTCAATAAAAATAAACTTACGTCATACAGGGTGCTATGACGGAAATTCTGTCTCAACAGTCAAGGGTTCTTTTATGTGCAGGTCAATGTGTTGGGTTTTTTTTTCATTACATCCAAATTCATATGAGACAATGTTCCTTGTCAGGCCCTCCATCAGGCACTACTGATTGACTAGGGAAAATCGAGCTGGAAAATCCAGAGAAACTTTCTTGGACAACACTCTGGGATTGAACCCAGGACCTTCATGGTTTGTGAGCCAGGGTCTTACTCACTGAAACACAGTGGCACCATACTTGCAACATATTGTTTGGCACTGTTAAGAAGGAATTTCTCACTGTCTTACAGACTATACACTGGCGAAAACCAAATAACGATTAAGCGTAATAATATACAGTATGTTTAATTAAGTGGCATACTAAATTGCCACCAAGAATATTTTCAGTAATTCATGATGTAGAAACTTGATACAAGTATGTTAATTGCGGATATTCTTTATAACCAGTATGATAAGTTTCATGTTTTTTATGTGGGTTAATGTGTCACTTAGTGCAATTGTGCAGGATTGTCTAATCTATGATATTTTAAGTATTTTTGGAGGTATATAGTGTTAGGATAGTAATATAGTCCAGAAGTTAATACTTTTGTATTCAAACATGTTCCTAGTCAAACTAAATTACGGGTAAATGGAGTTGTATGTCTATCGATTACAATTGAATGTTTGGTTCAGTCAGGTGTGACCAAGTTCGGTAGAATCAATGTACAAAGAATTCGATACACTATTATCTATTACATTCCTTTCTGTCTGTCCATTTACTGCTAATAATATAGTCTGCTTAAGTTTAACATTTGAATAGACTTCTTACACCTTTGATGATCCTTCACCTTTAAGGCAAGGTGAGTGACCTTGGCATTGGTAAATGATAATGGCCGTCTGTTTAGTATGTAATTGTATACAGAAAATAGGATAAGCCAGGAATGTTATAGGAACACATGTTTTACCATGAAGTGAGTTTACATACACAGTTTTGTTTTTATTTGTTGTGAAATTTTTGAATATTTATTGTGGAAATAATGCCACACAGAAATTTAACTTAGAATTTTAAAATTTGTGTGACACATGTTCATGTGAATACGGGAGTCGATTGGGATGGTTATCCTATGTTTGTGTTTATCTACATGTATAGTGTAAATAGTGTTGATTCATTTTTAAAGGTGTGCTCTATCAGTTTCCGTTATAAAGTAAAGAAACATGTTAGTTTGTTGCTTTCTTTCGAAAGGCCTATATTATGGTTGCCCATAAATTCTACAATGGATTTTAATAATTTTTTTATGCATTAACTCATAGGTTTTTCATAACAAAAAAATACAATATGGATAATGAAAAAACATTTAATAATTCAGATGATAATAATTTATTCAACTTAAATTATATTTAGATTGAGGATGCATGATATATATAAAACTCTCCTACTGGTATTTTATTTTAAATATTAATTTATTGTTATGAAGGTCTATACATGTATTTCTATGTGGTTGTTGTGTAGGTACGGTTCTTCGGAACTTACTATTTGTGGTCGTATTATTTCAGTTGTTTATATTCACAAGAACAAGTGAAGAGATAATTATTCTCATAGAAATAAATGCCAAAATCTCTTGTGAAAAATTCCAATTATACATACATTACTGCTCAATATTCAGGAAAAATGACATATTAGGCCATTTTGCAATTAGACATTTCTTGGATTTAATAATTTTCGTGTTTCCATGAAAACATATTTCTAGGATTGAATTATTTCTGTGTTTCCACTGAAGCAATTTGAGTTTGTTTTTGGTAGATGATTATTATTCTGGGGCATATTTCATAAACTGTTCAAGATATCTTATAAAACTTTGTATTCGTGTCAACCTATTCTCAGTTGAAAAATTGTTGTGTTAGCAACATATTTGACTTAATTATTGGTATGCATTTATTGTTCTGCAGCACACTTCAGAAACCAATCAAGATATCTTCATTAAACTTTTATTGTGTAGGGATGCACTGGATAGTGAATCTGGTTTTATATAGTAGATATTTTGTCCAAGTGCGCAGTATGTTAAGGACTAAATGTTATTATTTTTCTAGTATAAATTATTGACAGTGACTGAATGTAGATGTCAGTAGTATGAATTCTTCTTAAAATTCAGAACATAGTTCAATTAGTGTTGAACTATTTTATTTAGAAATTTGAATAGTTGAGTGAAAGGAATTGTATTAGCAACAATTGTTTCTTTTATACAGTTTTGGATTGTTATAAAATAGATAGTTTGCACTTTCCATGGATGGTTAACTTTTAATTCTAATCTTTAAAATTTTGCCTTCTTAAAGGCTCAATACCACTCTTGTTGTAACTGAATAATATGTCCCAATCTTTATTCTGGGCAACAAATTGTAATATTTCAATTAATTGATGATACAAATTTCATCTTAACACACCTTATTTAAAAAATTTGAAAAATTCAACATAATGGTTTGAAACGTCTAACGTAGACCTTTTCAAATGAAAATTCGATTTAAAATTATTTTCGAACCCTCTGGACAAGTAAAATAGGATGTAATGGATAATTTACACAACAGGTAGGATACTTAAACATCTAGTACTTAGATAGAGATATTATTTATTTTCTGGAGCTTTCAAGCCAGCAAGAGTGTTATTGTCCCTTTAAGATACACTAAAACTTTGTTTGAAATCAATTTGGGTTTTACCAATGTTCTATTGCAAATAGTCTTAACAATAACAATATTTTGACATGTTAAAAGTGAGTGATCTCCCTTTGACAGTATCATTGATTCTGCAGATATAACAACAGGTTTTGACAATGATTTTCTTGTACGAGTATAAATTAAGACTATATTATTTACAACTGTCAAAATATTTAAGATAACCAACTATATTCATGCTGATATAAATCAACCAAGATATGTCTGTCCTTTGACCATACTACATTCGATATACAAACTTGTTAAATTTCTATAAAGAAACATGCATACTCATTTCTATAATTTTATTATTTACATGGCAGAGTGTATACAGAAGTTCAAAATTCTTATTTGAGTAAAATCATTTTTCAGTGAAATGAACAATTAGAAGATGAGAGTTTTGAATGAAAATTACACAGAATAATGGCCAGGTATTTGATGATAACTAATACTTAGCATGGTGTGTTATAATCCAAAACACACACACTAACATGGAGGAAAGTGCATGTTTATAACCAATAGTAATTACTTTTAAAGGGATTGTGTTTCTTCATTTTTACAAACAGGCAAAAGAAAATGGCTGTTTTAAACCAATTATTGCAAGTAATCAAAATTTGGAGGATCTTTGGTTTGTGAAATCACATTCCATTCATTCTTCAACTTATTGCGAGAGGTCAAATATTAAACATAAAATTAAAAAATAGCTCAATTTCAAGTCTTACCTGTAGTCAAAATATAATGTATGCACAAAAGAATTATGAAACGGTGTCTTCTTCAGAAATGCTTGCTGTTTTATTTTAGTAATGGCTTGTAAGAAAAGCATCTCTACATGTATGCAATCCATAAGACAATGATTCTGTTTACAAATTTATGTTTTATTACATATTAAATATCAACATTAAGAAACTATTATTACATTGTAAAAGGTCAAACATGGTGTGTAATATTTTGAATCAAATTATCTAAATGCTAGAATTGTATGCTACGCTTTGAAATGAAGTAAGACAGCAGCCTAGTAGAAAAGTTTTTATTGTTTCTTTTGATATGAAAAGGAAAATGTAATTCAAGACAACTGTTATTTGAACATGAAAGAATAGAACCATGTGTGTTAATGCTACATATAAACATAAACACATGCTTAAAGAATTGCAAGGTAATTTTAATTAAAGAATACATGTGTAGAAAAATGTACAATTTGTACCAATGTGAGAAAGAATGGTTGTAGTTTTTATCAGCCATGTGCAAGTCAGCAGGCACTATTATTTTACATTTGGTAAATCTTATGTAAAACAAAACTGTAATGTTTTGAGGCGTATGGCATATTATTATTAATAGTCATGGTGATTATTTATAAACAAAATTGTTTTATGCAATGTTAGTAGCATTTAATTTTTTCAACTATATCGTTCCTTTTAACAGACATGTATAACTTAGATGTATCTAAATTCAAATGATTGTAAAACTTGATTAAAATAAATTATTTTAAAGGAGGTGTTAGTACATACATACATACAGATTATTTTTAGCCCAGGGGCAGGATTATAAAATTGGCGGTTTTAGTTCAAACTTAAACAAAAATTTCAGAATGGAAAAAAAACCTGAGTGAATGATTGAAATATGTACTGTGAATATAGAGAAACCTGTTGAATGAAATCTGCTATTTATAAAACAGACACTGAATGAAAAATGCTATTGCTAAAAAATAATTTATTTCAGTTTTTATGACACATAGTTATCTGTATGTCATGACTATTATGATAATCTTGATTTATGTCAACATGTTGCTAAACCAATCAAATCTGTTCAAACTCTATTCCCCACCAGTAATCTCCCCTTCCTTTTGTCGTTTACAATAGCATGCTCCAGGTGATATATAAATTTAAACGTAAAATTTGCATAAATCTACTGAATTACAAGTATATTGTTAAATTTCAGATTGATTTCTAAACACAATCTCAGTTATGAGGGAGACAAAAACCACACCTTAAGATAACCTTTGTATCGTAAAGAGCTCACTATATATTTGAACAACTTTTCTGAGCCATTTTTAAAGTGTAGCTGAATTTGACTTCGCTGGCAAATATGTGTACACTTTTTAAAGAATGCATTATTGATTTTTGTGAAAATAATCCATTAAGTGTATTCATGTACATTGTTAACGGAAGAAGTTAGTTTGAAACAGTCAGACTTGTGGTAATATTATAAACAAGATTGTACTGAGGAAAAGGATATAGAGTGCTTTACAATCTCGGATATGACATAATACACTTTTGATGAATTAGTGTGTGAATTGAGTCAGTGATTAAGGCCAACAGAGCGTCTTGGATATGGACTTGTGCTGTTCTGTGAAGGAAAACCATCCCAGTACAATGTAAGTTTTAATGTTTTGAGTGAGAAATTTACTTTTTCTTACAAGGTTTGTCTTGTGATTGGATTATCCACTGGAATTTTTATGATAAGATGTGGTACTATGGAATTAACCTGGACTTTCTACATGTGCATTTTTTCGAAGTCAAGAAAAATTAGAAGAGGTGTGACGTCTGCTAATTTGTGACAGTCAAGATGGAGGGACAGGCGACTGAAGTTGACACTGCCTCAGTAAATGGACAGCGTTTATTCAATGTACAGAATATTTATGGAACTCCACAGATTCCACGGAAACGACCGTGTATTCAGGTGCGACCTCGGAGAATGACCCTGATTGACCTGAGGTATATAAACAATAAATTACTCTGCCTGCTGCATTGTCACTTGTTTTATAGAAGACCTTGACCTGTCATAGATCCAGTTGGACATTTTAGAAAAATTTAGTACTGTACCAATGAATATAATTGCATTTTGAAGATAATTGCATTTTGAATGGCATGATTTAGAAAATTTAGTTCTACACATTTCTGCATGTACTGTGTATTCTGTTCACTTATTTTTTAAACAAATTGAATCAAAGATATTATTTACAGTTGCTCTGTTTGAAGATTTAAATAAACAAAGCATAACTTGCATGCTTAAATTTTAATTCTGTGTTTTGTTTGTTTCTTGTGTTTTTAAAATCATGGACAGTTCATTTACTATTAATTCATCTTTGACTGATTTAATTGAGGTTTTATTCCATCTTTGTAACACACAGATTGTTAAATAATTAATCGCTCAGTGGGAAATTAACTTTCCATTACATCTTTCTTAGTTACAAAATTTGTTATAAACAACTTGTAAATCAAATCCTCCATACTGTTTTATTTGCCGATATCTTGAGTTTTAGTGCTTCCAATCAATCTTAAAAGCACATAAACCATCCAGTACAAATGGTAACCAACTGTAAAACATGGCAGTAAAGAATTGATTAATTGTTTGAGATTAGCCAACTGTTGCTCTGATAGTGAGGTGGTCATGCCATGCCATCTTATTAAGTATGTACAGCAGACGGCAAGTTTGATAAAAGATATCTTCTTTGAGTTCCTCAATTGAAGAGCAAATCAATAATACACTGTGTCGAGTTTAATTCATTCCATGTGATTAGTCACACATTTTATAGAATCGATTGAAAATTTGTTTAGTTTTTTTTTAGCCTGGTTCGTATTGATACAATTTTCCTCCTGTGGTGTGCATGTATATTTGAGACTGTTAGATGACTATGTCTGCTGTGAGTTGAATTAAATATGATAAATTGAAAACATGTTTGTATCATCTTTTAAAAAGGCATGCTGCAGATCATGTCAAAGCATGAGTGAACATAATGATCATTTCAAAACATATTAAATATCATGATCATTTTAAAACATGATCAATTATATAATGATTTTTTTAATATGGAACATAATGATCATTTCGAAACATGTTTAAACATATAAAGATATAAAGATCATTTAAAAGATTATCCAGCGTTGGTAATTAGATTTTGCTTTCTTAATTAAAGATACATTATGGGAGATTAGATAAAGAGCTGGCAGTTATCACTAGAATAGTTAACAACTAGATAATGTAAAGGGAATTTGCTGAAAATTTCAGTCAAATTGATACACACTGAACCGAGAATTTAGCGATTGAATTTTGGACCTATCCTCGATCATCATTACTAAAGTCGGTACAATAAAAAACATAAGTCTCGATTATCCATTTCATTATTAAATCATGAATGAAAATTGAGCAGCAGATCTGATTGTAATCCAGTAAATATCACATGCTAGCGTTGACATCGAGAGTTGATTATGGTCTGGATAAGTCAATTAATGTCTAATTAATAATTTAGATAACATTTCAGTCCTAAAGAAAGACCTGCCATAATTTATGTTTAAATGTTGAATAATCAATCTGGGTACATATATATTTAGTGTGGATGTGCATTAAAGGGGAATTAAGTAAGAGTAGATGAGAGCTGACAGTTATAGTTAAAAGAATAGATAATGAAAAGGGAATATGTGGAAAATTACAGTCTAATTACGTCATTCTGAGCCGAGATATCAGCCATACCATAACCGTGTAGCCTCGATTGTCATTGCTAACGTTTTTACGATAATAAACAAAGCCTCGATTATCCAATTTTACAGTAAATCATCAACAGCAAAATATATTTAAATCTATTTAATATCGGAGCCATCCGATGGCATTGAGGGTCGATTATGGTCTTGGTAAGTTAATTGATTTCTAATTAATAATTTATCTAACATAGAGAAAAACCTGCAATAGGCAGATTTAGCTCTTGCATAATGCCTGTTTATTAAGCCATGAGAAATTTGATATTTTACCAAAAATGCAAATATTGCATCGGGACTTTAATTGGACATCAGTATAAAAAAAAAAAGAAAACCATGCATATCAGGATTGCCTTGTTAAGATTTTTGTATGAAGGTGTACCATTGTGCTTGGTTTGACATGTAATACATTTACAAGCAACAGAAAAGATTTGTATTTCTCACACATTTTGAAGTCATTTAGAAGTACATTTCACTTATGGTACACATACATCTGGGTGGAAATGGTAAATAGTTTGATGGAAAATAAACTAAATTATGTCAGAATTTATTATACTTCTCTATAACACAGGTTTACTGTAAGGCATGGTTTCCAACAATCTAAAAAGTAAGGCTATTGTATTGTCATCGACTTGTGTGCTTTTCTGAAAAGGATAGGACTTTATAATTCAAGATCGTCTTACTGGAAATTGTCTCTCTAAATTTGAATCAATTTCTGTAGTGTTTGTTCTATTTGAAGTCTTGAGAAATCAAAATGGTTACATTTAGCAGTGCTAGTTAATACAGATTGATTTTTACTTGTTACGTGCACACCAGATTGAATCACCCGTAAAACTTGTTGTTTTTTTTAAGTCCTCTTTAATCAGTTTATACTAAGCGAGGGATTCATTTATCTCTTATTCAGAACAACTTAACGGATCTCTATGGATTAGTCATGACAGCACTGGCATTAGGATGTGTTTTACGAACCCCCTGATTTGCCATCATTTCATTACCTTAAAAAGGTTATTGCACGATGTTTATACAGCGTGAGTTCACATCGGTGATCACGCGAACAAATATAATGATAAATGCCTTCATATTCCTGATGTAGTTTTTTCATATTGGTAAATGGATGAGTGAGTTGTCAGAAAAAGAAACTTTCCAGATCGCTCTTTAGTTCTTATCAATGAGTCATACTCTCTAATTCTATCACTTCTTTTCAGCTTTGTTTCTGTCCCATCCATAATCACAAGTACTGATACCATTGGGGTGTTATTTCAATAACAACTGACTGTACCATTTTAAGGAATAATTCCATTGGTTCCCCATCAATATTTTGACGAACGGTTGCTGAGATTTCCATTATTAGAGGCAATCCACTTATTTCCCTTTTCGAATTATGATAAAATGTTTTAAGGGCATAGCTGACATGGTCAATGGAGTCGGTTTTATTATCTTTATCAACATTATAGTAGCCTTTTATGCAGTTTTAGGTTGTAGAGAGGTTGGATGGCAAAGCAGTTCAAAAAAGATGATAAGGCCTCCTATCACTTATGCTAGACATGGGTTCAATCTCAGGCTTGTACATGACAAGTAGTAGGGTTGCCTGCCTGACCTTGAGTTTTTGTTTCTGGTTTCCTACCACTTCTAAAGACTCTTCCACACAAACAAATTATTGGGGAAACAAATTACCAAGTTAGACCTGATAGGATCTAGTTTGTGTTGAGTAAACATTAAAACTCATCTCTATCTCTTTCTCTCTAATTGGCCAGAGTGACAAAAAAAAAATTGGTCATCTTTTTCATTCATATCTTTTTCCTTAATCTTTTGAGACAGTTTATGGCTAATGTGCAAACTAGCAAATGAACATTTTGATTAAACAGCTAAATTAAGCTTCGTTACTGAAGTAATTCCATCTTAATGACACACATTGATTTTGTTGTATGGCAATCAGTTTCTTGAAAATTACTTTGTGGCTGGATTGAAATTTGATAATAGTTTATGACGTAACGCTGCCAAATTTACATGCAATAAAAGACTTGAAGAAGATGAATTTTTTTTGTTTTGTTGTTTAGATTTACTTTCTGTAGATGTTAACATTACATGTATCAGGATACGCCTTCTCCTGAGAAAATATACAAAGTTTGTTTTAGAATGGAGGTCATTGGCTTCAGATCTAATTTTCTAATGATCTTTAGTTTCATCTGGAGTCAATAGATTTAATTTTGTTGACCAGAAGAAGTTTTCAATTCTTTTTAAAACAATGCTGTGTATAAATAAATGTAATTTGTTTAGAAATCAGGGGAAGTAAACATGATTTGTTTTCACAGCAGACAGCAATTGTAATATTGATTTAATTGATTGACAGGCCTGAAGGGTAGAAGTGGCGCCCTCAACACTTCTAAAACAAGAGGCAATTATTTCGGTCACACCAAACAAATAAGGAGGCATTTAGTTAGGAGCCTTGCATGACTCACCTACCAAACTCAGTTGCAACTCTTTCTGTCATGTTGGGGTTTTACATTATGGCTGACTCATTTAACATTTAACACAAGGCAGAGTGAAAACAAGCAAGAAATATGAAGATTAATATTAATATACAAATATTCCTTGTTTTTATTTTCAACTCCAGATATTTCTAATACAACAATAACTCAGTGTTAAAAGAACCTGCTGTTTAAAGATAATTTCAAGTTATCTGAATTTGACATCAACCATTTCAAGTTTTCTGAATTTGACATCATCCATTTCAATGTATGAATCATGAATGAAGTGAGAAAAAGCTGTTATATATTCTGATTTGGGGAATAACCTACACATTATTAATACATGTATGACTACCTCAGTGAAAGAGCAATCATTTTATTATTAGGTACTTTAAATTTAGTGCCATGATACATGTAGTAAATCTATTCTGGCAGGTTGATATGTAGACTAATGCCCTCCATGTCTTCTTGTAAAAACATTGCTCGCAATATATAATTGGATTAGGGCGGTATCCTAGTTTTTGCCACTGCTTTTATGATTTTGACCAATATCCGAAAGAATGAAAATATTTTATTTTCAAAAATGTTTTGACTGATCATAGAAATGGTTATATTAACCTTAACAACAATATGCAGTCTGCATATCTATACAAGTGCACAATGAAAGAAAATGGCCTCATTTTACTACATTTGAATGAATATACAGCTCATACATGTATATGACATACATTGTAGACGACAGTGATGCATCTTTTGTAAACAAAATGTTAGAAAAGTTTATATTTCGAACAGAGCACAAAAGGCTTTGGTTTATCCTATTTCATGAGATATATATTTCATTTTTAAAAAAAAAGTGTTGATTTTAATTGAGTGACAGGCATCTCAACTTAACTGGCTCGTTAGATTGCCCTTGAGCTTGTCTGTATATAATGGTGTGTATGTATGGGGAGGGATACAGACAAATGTTGAGATTAAGTAATGGGAATTTTGGAGACTGTCGGCTGCCTGTTAAAACAGATGGCCCCATATACACACAGAATGAGATGTACAGAAATTTAAGATAGATTTTTGGTGTGTAAGAAGATCTAGAAGCTAATAGATGATGTTTACTGTTGAACATCTACTTTACTTATAGATGTACATGGCTTGTAAACTCAACTTACCTATTTTTTAACCAAATGTTGAGATTGGGATAAAAGTTTGGCTACCCTACATATGTGATCTCATATATTCCTCCTAATACTTGAAGTGTTTTTGTGTGTAAAATTGAGGACAGATATTGGAATACATTTAGTTTTCGGATTATGCAACCGTTTCTTACTAACTAAAGCAATATGAGGTTTGTAATTAGTAACTGGATTATACATTTGTTAACATAAACTTGCTTTAAGTTTGTAGCAATTTAAATACCGGTATTAACTGTTAAGATGTCTTGTTATATTTATGGCATATCATCCGAGTCATCACATACTTTAGTTATAATCCATCGTAACAAAATAATTTTGTGTTCAAAATAATCTTAGACTCATTTACTTGATAAGGTATATATCACAAGTGTTCCTTAAACCTACTAAATATCTTGTTGCATTTTGAATCTCATAAAACTACAAAGTATATCAGTCTAAAAATGGTCCAGTGATGAATTGGAAATTTGTCAACTTTCGGCATCACCACCACCTATATGCATTGGGTCAAATGTTTTGATCAGCCTGTTTTTAGTCTGTTTGAAGTGATGGCAGGAGATTATCTACTGTTGATATTTTGGTTTTAATTTCTCATTTAAAGTGAAACAATCAGTTGTCTACATAGTTTTAGAATTATGTCTATTTTCATCAGCATGTGTATGTCTCCCCCCCCCCCCCCCACACACACATACATCAGCATGTCCTTTCTTTATTTCAAACTCATGGTATAATTACATTTTAGTAATTGCCTATTTTTTTTTCCAGTCAGTTTTGTAGCATCTGATTTATTTATAAGCAATGTGTTTGTCAGTTTAACATTTACATGATATAATATGCACAAAACATGGAAGTCTAATATATCCGTTCCAACGATGCATGTATAGTAGAGAAAGCCATTAACTAAATCTTCTGAATCTGGGCTTTTAATTTTTTCCCACTTAACTACACAGCTGCAGTTTTCACATAAATAAACACTTTTGTTTTGAAGAAGGTTAATTTGAATGGGAAATCTTGTCAACCCTGCTTGACAAGACAGAAAAGGAAGGCAGAATTTTATTTTGTTACATAAACATTTTATCAACATGTTTTCTGTGTTATTTTTTAAAATATTAGATTCTATATCTCTGCTATTAACCTTTACTCACAGTTTCATGAAACATGCATAGAAGTTACTTAGTTTTTTATGCAAACTGATAATGTTTATAATGAAAACAATTGCTACTTTGTTTAGACATTTTTTTTGTTGTCATTTTCAGAAATGTGTCATTATCAGAGGAAGATGTACCACACAGAAAATCCAGCTCGGGAACTGTCCGATCTGAGGGCGGTCTACCTGCATCACAGTATTACTCCAAGGTATGTAAAGATCAGTCATTCTGCTACTAGGAAAGTAATAGTTGAAATATTAAAACTATTTGTGTTATAACTGAATGGTTAATGCATGCACGTTGCGTTATAAGGTCTGTCATTGAGTCAGGTGGTATGGTTTTGATTCCTCGCTTATAGGCTTGCCTGTCAACCTTGTGGGTTTTCTCAAATAAAATTGAACCATATGTTTGTCCCGAAATGACCTAGTCTGTCTCGAGTCCAGGTTAAACTCTCTCTGTGTTCTCCGGGATTTTACAGCGTGATTCCTACTTGTCAGTGGTGCAGAACAGTGGGCCAGGGGCAAGTATAGTTGTTCGGATGGGATGAAAAACTGATATCCTGTGTACACATTGGAGTGCATGTAAAAGATTCCTTGGCAGATGGAATTTGATATAAAGAGTACGCTGTAGTGCTGCTCTCCAGGCAAAATTTCCCTCATAGCACACTGTATGTCGAATGCCCAGTTCTGTGTAGGACGTAATCCTATTTGATTTGGGGGGTTGGATGGCCGAATGGTTAGCGCACGCGCTGTATCATACGGTCTGTCATTGAGTCAACTGGCAGGGGTTCATTCCCCGGTTGTACGTGACAAGGAGTTAGGTCGCCTGTCCAACCTCGTGGGTTTTCTCAGGGTCCTCCCACTGCTAAAAAGACCCCTACGCGCAAGCGAGTTATTGAAATAAAATTGAACCATGTGTTAGTCCCGAAATGACCTAGTTTGTGTCGAGTGGACGTAAAACCCCATTTCTCTCTCTCTCTCTCCCTATTTGATTTCATTTCTGTTAAAATCCCATTCCATGTAGTCCCAATTGGAATTTGTTGTAGTATAGATGGTAAGCTTCACCCTACTTGCTATTAATTGCAAAATAATGGTTTTTGATTTAAAAAGTGGGCAATGTCATTTTGTTCTTTTAAGTGAACTAATATACACTTTAAGAACTTCTTTTCAATACATTTCATTAACTAAAATACAAATTGGACCTATGATGTCTTTTGAAGTTTCAAATCTCATGAGATTAATCGAAATACCCTATCTCATCAATTAATATTATGTCATCAACGGATAGTGAGGGGAAATAAGTCTAATTTGCCTTTGAAATAACTATGCTGCAGAAATCTATGGGGAATCCGCTATTGGTTAATTTGATGGTGACCAAAGCAGACAGCTATTTGGGTAATTGAAAATATTGCATTGTGACAAGCAAAGATAATGAAATCAGTGAAGCAAATTTGTATTTAATTATAGCAGCAATTAGACTATTGATGTTTAAGATAACAGTACTGTTAACAGGGATAATTCATAATTCTAACAGTGGCACAGACTAAATTGTTCATTTGACTTAATAATTTGGTACCAGTGGGGAAACTGATGTGCTCCAATTTCTCTTAATACTCTGACCTTTACATGGGTGACAGCAACCATAAAAAAAATGATCTCTAGCTTTTTAAACTTAAAAATAGCAAGCACATGTTTAGAAGGCAAGGAAAAATATGTGTAATGGAAATTCTGAGGATGGCTTAGAGGCAAAATAAGGTTATCTCATTACATAATGGTAACTATAATGATGAGTTTTTCATGGCTTCTGTTCTGTGTTATCTCTTGCGTTGATTTACAAAGCTGTTGCAGCTTGAATATGTATAGCTTTAAGCCGTCTAAATCTCCCAAATGGCAGAGATTGGATTGATCTAACAATGTCTGCCAGAATAATGGCTTTGATAATACGAACATCCATTTTCATCAGGGTTGAAGACCATTTTTCTCGTCAATGTCTCGGAGAAATTCATGGGTATTGAAGTATGGGGAAGGACAGTAACAGTCCTTCACTCGGTCAGTCTCTACTAGACATCTGTAGCACTCGCTAGATGAGAGAACTCGTTACTGTGACTCACTATTGCTCTATTGATTTTGTAGCCAATCTCTCAATGTCAATTTCGATTCTTTTTTTTTCGGGGGGTGTAGACCAGGAAAAAATCTCCAGGCAGTGATTTACAAAACTTTGAGCATTTATTTGCATCCGTCACAAAATGTTAACCGTTAATGACATACCATTCAAAGTGTATTGGTGGTTAATAATTGTAATCAGCTGGCGAAATTTGGTGTGAAACTTAATAGGACTTGAGGAATAGAGAGCTGTCATATCATAATTTTATCATCTTTACCACTAGCATAATCAATAACACTAATACGTCATGAAGATTTACTCCTACGTAAGTCTTTCAATATTAATTTCTTTAGATTTTCTACGATGGACTAGATTCTATATCTTGCTGATTTTGGAGAAGATTTAATATTATAATGATTTGATCTTTCAGCATGGTATACTGCCTATCTATGACAGTACCGATAGCTTGGACTCTAAGCGTAGCAGTACTGGTATGAAAATACGAAGAATTCCAAGGTAACTTTCTCATTTGATAGCATGAATATTTAAGTGTAGTTTTTTTTGTAGTATTTGATAAAGATGGAGGAGAAGATGGCATGAAAGAAATCAATATGGCGGTTTTACCAAATATTATGTCAGTGTTATATCAGTTTTATGAAACAACTACATTACTAGGGTAGACATAACAGATTAATAAAAACATGTGTTGTATCGTAAAGGTTTGATAAATGTTTTATAAATGGTTTAAGTGTAAAATAATTTTTTTACAATTTATCATATTGATTTTGTAGTCGGAGAGACAGTTGAATAAATTTGATATCTTAGGTATTCAATGAAAAATCAGATTGTTTCTGTGAAATTGTCAGCTAAAATAACATTAAAATCAATACATTAAAGATCATTCACCTGGTTTCTAAGTTAAATAGATGTGTTTGATAGTTAGTGAAGTAGACATTTTCATAATATTTCTTTTCTTGAATCTTTCTGTCAAAAATGTGTGAGTTTGTACTGTCCGGGTCATATTTTTTATTGTTTTTGATGAACAATTTTCTTTCATTATTTATTAGTTTACTAGGTATGTTACCCAGCATAGTAGAGCTGCATGGTACTGGTAGAGTTTAATATCCATAATAAAGTAAAAATCATTTATTGTCAATTTCATCATCAAATACAATGCAGTATCGTTAAATTTCTTGTAAAAAGCTGATTATTATGAAGTTAATTTGAACTCACTTCCTTACCGTATTATGCAAGGTAAGATACATGTACCTCCCACAACCCAGCCTTGGATTTTTGGTCATTAATAATTAGTAATTGCGAATTTAATCATTAACTATTGCATCAAAGTAAGAATAGATAGAACCATTAAATTCTTTGGAAAATCTGGTTATTATGAAGTTATTAGAAAATTTATAATGTTCAACTGTTTGGTTTCTTATAGCAAGCACACAAACAATCAAATAAACCCCCTCTCTATATATAGACTAATAGAATATATTTGTGTCAATTTGAGAACCATAAATGTCCAGTTGTTGCAAAAGATGTATTCATTGAAAGAATATTTGCGTTTAATTCACTTTGTTGATATCAGTGAGCAACTGTTTTATTGGAGTCACATATTAAAACGTCATTTATACAAGCACTGAAAAATTAATAATTGGCTAGATTGGGTGAATTGTCTAGTACAGGTGAGCATGCTTTAATTAAAAAGTATGTGAGTGTTTTATGAATCTGCAGATGTCTACATGTATTATATCTTAATGTAATAATAAGGTAATACGTTAATTAATCAATAATAGTGGTTAATTAAGTGATTCATGAATCGTTAAATTTGATCCAGACAGTTGACAATGTCTTCAGATGTCTACATATAATAATGTCTAGTTGTAATAAGGGTGTACTAGGTTTATGGCAATCAGTAAAATACCTTTTTTTTATGTAGACTATATTTCTCTAGCGTTATCTTGGCACCTGATATGATCTAGTTTATATTGTAAAGGTGTAAATAATATTACCTGCTAGTATGTTTATAGCCATTCCTCAACAACATAAGATATTTAATCTTCATCACTATATACCCTATAGCGTATAGTACAAACATATAAAAGAATTCGGTTACAGTTTAAATGGTTTTTATGTTTCTAAAAAAAAAAATCTTTAAAATAACCATCCCTAATTCTATTGAAATAACTTAGATCCTCTATATAAATTCAAAATGATATTTAATTTAAAATAATTTTGAGCCTTTTGTTTTGTCACTAGTTAAATTAATTTAAAACAAGATAGACATTCTTTAATAACTTAAAGATACATTATGGGGGATTCGGTAACGAGTTGGCAGTTCTCACTATAATAGTTAAAAACTAGATAATGTCAAGGCAATTTTGTGAAAATTTCATTCAAATTGATCCACTATGAACCGAGAACTAAGCGACTGAAATTCCCATAAGCCTCGATCATCATTACTAAAGTCAGTACGATAAACAGCATAGTCTTGATTATCCATTTAATTGTTTAATCAAGAAGGAAAGTTATGCAGTAAATCGGCTTACAATCCACTAAAGATCGCAGGCTAGCCCTGCCATCTAGAGTTGATTATGGCCTGGATAGGTTAATTAATAATTTAGATAACATTTCAGGCCTAAAGAAAGACCTGAAATAGGCCGATTTAGCTCTTGCATAATGTATGTTTAACCTTTCTCTTACATTTTATGAGAGTCTTTCGGATGGGACGAAAAACTGAGGTCCTGTGTATGCATTGGTGTGCACATAAAAGATCCCTTGGCAGATGGAATTTGATATAAGAGTAGGCTATAGTGCCACTGTCCAGGCAAAATTTCCCTCTTAGCAAACTGTAGGGTGTATGCCCGTCTTCATTAGTCCTGTCGGAGCAGAACAGTAGGACGTTAAACTTCATTTCATTTCTTTATAAGAGATTAATTAGGATATGAATTCAACACTCATAGGGGTCAGTTTGTATCTTGATTATATCAAAGTATGATGTATTTCTAATAAATAGTAAAAATTAATTTAAATGATAGGCTTTGATTGCATTGTATGGCAAAGTTATTAAATGATGTTTCATAGTAATGTGTTACAGGATAATGAAAAAACTTTTAGTAATTTTTCACCAGATGCATGAAGCAATTGTAGAAATTTCCTAAATCTCTAAAGATTTTGACAGATAAAGACTTATTGTTACAGTTACAGCAACCGAGTTCCAAAAATATTAGATGCAGCTGTCTTCTCAGCACCTTGAATGTTAAAATAAAACTGAGAACTGAAAATATATGAATTATTTAGTACTGACATCACTGAGCTATACCTGTTCGAGTTAAGATTTGTAGGTAAGCGGTTTACCAGTCGTTAGATATAGGTAAAAATACTAGTAGAAAGTGTAACTTTATTCAAAACTTACACTATGATGATTTGAACAGCTGGAGAGACCATAAGAAACGTTCATTATAAAATACTTCTTACGCAGATAGGTGGGCTGTCAATTTCTCTACAAGACTAATATACATAGAGAGAGAGAGAGGTTTTAAAGCTATTCTGGTACTGCTACTTCATTTTAAGCCAATGTTTAAATTAAGGCAGGAGAGTAAAATTGAGTAATTATACGAGCAATATTTATAATATACATACTACCATTACTACCACGTATGTTTTCCTCGACTCAAACACATGTACGAATATAGTAATGAGCAGCGTAAGGAAGCAGTGTAATTTTAAAGTAGTTTAAGAAAGAACCGACTTCATTTTCTGGCTTATTCTGTGTAATGACTTGGAAAGAAAGGATAGGAGGATGTAAAGATATTTCTTCTGGTAATGAAGCAGCCCAAGAATCAACAAACAAACCATAATTCCTTCAGTTCTTTTTCGTGATTTATCTTTTTTATGACATGTAGCAAGGACTAGGTGAAGGTTAAATGAACTGTATTTTTACAAATTAGACGTAAGATTAGAAGATTGAATGTGACAGAATTTATGAAAGATTATTTGATAATCAAGAAGAGATAACTCAGAAATTTATAAGGCTGGACTGATTGTGATTATTATTGAGTGTTTGGGTCAAGTGTTATTGTTTCATGTGTAGATGGACGAATTCAAGCCTCATGAAGACAGGAAATAAATGTACAATAGTAATGTGAATCTGTAATATGATTTTATAAACGATGATGTAGCTACCACAAATTTAAGCGGGAATATGTTTTCAAAAATGTAAGGATTAAATGGATGCATAGCACACAAAGTAGATAAACTTGCATTAATGAGTGGCGACAAGTTCTCAACAAACAGTATTCTTAAAGAAATTTCTTCAAAAATTACTGCTATTATACATATGTTGATAAAAGTCGGTGGCTCAGAAATGAAGGGTGTACTTGAAATTTGGCATTTACTCAAATTCTTTCGTTTAAATAAGTTAAAGTGTATTAAGGTAGCTTAAAGGCTATCAGTTAATACGATTACCTTTAATGTAAAGAAGAAATGGAACATATCTGGATTAAATTTTGGATTGATGTAACAACCTCAGATTAGCATTATTCAGATGGATTATATTAAATTTACTAAACCAAAGGCATCACGAAGTCCATCTCTACCACTCAGATCTTTAATACAAAATGTCAATGTTAAAGAATGCGGTTTGTCACAATTTTACTGTTGTCCTACTGAACCATTACAGCTATTGAGGTATGACAAATTACTATTATAATAACAGACTAATTGAGTTTTTTTAAAGGCATTACATTGGTATTTAGACCAACTGTACTTGGTAAACAAATAACAAAATCCATGATTGAACATCATCACTTACTGTCATGTTATTGTTAAAATTAATCAATTACAAAATAGCTTGTATATTTTAATGTATATTTGGGATTAGTAATACATCATGTATGAGCTAGGGATATATTTTGATAATAGAGCATATTACCAGATGCCATACAAAATTAAAATCTATATTTGTTGGATAATTAGCAAACCCAAAGTTGCTGTTGAATTGAAACAACATACCTTGGCCTTCATTCTCTGTAATCCAATTTCGCTTACTTGTAAAATGATGATTTTAATGTGTGACGATTAATTAGTTTCTGAGCACAATTGGTGGTTTTTTTTTTTTAACTAGGAATGATTAGTTTACTAAGACTGACCTGCCTTTTAGAAAGTGACAATTGACCTCTGAAAATGCCTTTTAATGAGTTATCATTGGTTTCTGTGAATAACTGGTCTTGCAACTAGTTTGGTTACTAAGACTGATCTGATTTTTGACATATAACAGTTGCTTTCGTAGAATGACTATTCTTTTAAAGAGCAATTGTTGGTTTCTCAAAATGACCAACCTTTTAATGAATATTGTCAGAGAATGATTGGTGTTGGATAATGACTGGAGAATGACTATCTTTTTAAAGAGCAATTACTGGTTTCTCAAAATGACCAACAATTTAATGAATAGTGTCAGAGAATTTTTGGCTTCCTATACTGTCTGGCCTTTTAAGTATTTTCATACGATAAGACGATAAGAACTTGCAGCTTAAAACATGTCTTTGTAGATTATATCATGGAAATATTGCCAATCAAAGTTACATTAGGATAATCCTCTCTCCAGTTCAATATCCTATAATGGTTGAATATTACATGAACGATCATCTGTATACATATTAATAAGTGTCAGTGAGCATGCCTCTATATATAGCTACCAGATAATAGGTGTGAGTATTATAATATAATATTACAACAGATGGCTCTTGGACATCATTCAAACTCTGTTTTTATTTCTTCATCTGAAATACATTTTCTACATGTAGTATAAGCTGTAAATACCCATAGAGGAAACGTACACGCTTTATTTATGCAACAGAAATGGAATACTGCACATATGCAAAACATACTTGTTACCTAAGTTTACAAAATGCAAATATGCAGCTTGTGGTTTTGCCGTCTGCTTGTAATAGAGTGATTTGACCTATGAATATGGGTCATCTAAATCAGTAATAGATAGGACTTCCTGTTTGTGATTTGGTCTGTTGTTTTAATGTCTTCACTGACATTCTACTGACAATAATTATCAATTACACATGCTGGAATTTGGTTTTAAACACAAGTCACGAGTTCTCTTGACATCCATTGCCATCGATATCCTACAGGGTTATTGTCAGAAAAAGAATACCACCACTGCATGTGCTCCATGACATTAAGCAGTATTATTGCTAAGGCACCATATTGAATTAGTGATTTGAGGTTTGCTGTTGCAATTTTACATGAAAATACTTATTATTTCTGGAAAATTGCAAGGGCAATTAATGTTTAATGCCCAAGGAGTTGGGATAACCTACGATTCTCAAAGCAATGGTAGAAAACATTGGCTCATTAATCATTCATTGCCACATTTTATAGCAATAATGGGAGATTGTTTTCATCAGTCTGCTTTGTATTACTAATAAACCTATATTACAACAGTTTTTACATCATTCAACCTAACACTGATTACGGTATAGTTCATATATCAATCATAAGTTGTGTATTGGAATCCATCTGGGTTTTGGAACAACTACATGTCTGTTTTCATGTTATCCTGCCCTGTGTTGACATTGTAAAGTTTCTACAAGAAGATAAGTAATCAAAACACTGTTTTAGCATAGTAAATATAGCCATGGTTTTTGAGCTGAAAAGGCTTGTAACCATTGCTTTAGTAAAATAATGGAAGGAACTTACTGTCAAATGACTTGCGCTCAGAAAAATCTCAAAACATTTGCTCTGTGCCAAATTATAAGATTTTATACAGGGTGGGAATTTGATGGCTATGTTTTAGGAACAAGCTGTGGCCTATAGTATTAATGTAAGGTGGATTCCTACAACAGGTCAGATTAGATTTGTTTAGGAAAGACTTTAAAACTTCCCAGAGACCACGATCTTGTGTTTGGTATCAGTTTACTGTGATTTCAGAAAACAGTAGAAATGCTTCACACCTTCTTGTGTTGGTTTATTTTCTTTAAAGTATAAAAAAAAGAGAAATGGTTGGATTTCCATGGTGGCCATGTTGCCATGTAACTGATTATGATTTGGTGATTTTGTGGTATAAACATGGAAAATCTCTCAACACTTGACAAAATATTTGGTATTTTCATCACCCTGTCTGTCATTGGTAGTAGATATGAGTATTTTTCTAATGATGTACACCCAGGTATATATTTTTAGCTGGCACTGCTGCAGTACACAGATCAGTCTATATAAATAGCTGTGTTGTGTGAACATGTATGGGAAACTGAATCCTTCAAAATAACTTCTAATACATACACCCAGTTGTGTGAGGTTACACATGATGGAAAAACAGAAAGTTGACAAGAGTTAGAAAACGTGAAAATATACTTTAAGAAATGCATTAAATGTTGTTAGCTATGGATAAGTATGAACTGCCTGGTGTATCACACCTATTTATTACTAGTTCTGTTAGATTTCTGAATTGAGCTATATTTAGCTTGAAATAGCTGTTGGTAAATGTATGTAGCATCATTTACTGCACTGAAAAATATATTTATCTCAATTGTTGAGCCTTGTTTGCAGCATGAGGTTAAAATGCACTTCTTCATATTAGTTGTGGTGCTATATTTTTGACGTATTTGTCATTCCATACGTATGTGTTATGGTATATGTAGGTGGTGATGATGTTATGTATTTGGTTCCTGGTATGAATCTAATCAGGAGTCTGTGACATTTGAAGGACTAAGGTGAATTCATACTGCTCTTCTTTCATGGAAACTATTGCCTCTAGTTCTGCATTTGATGTCTGTGCGTGTGCTGTGTGTTGTATGTTTTGTCTGTAACTGTAGGGAGTGCCGTGCCTATGTAGGATTTATTATAAAATGGATAAAGATTATTCCAGAGGATGTTTTGTGTCAAAATTTGATTGGAAGCGTTGTTCAAGATCTTTAGAGAATCTGTGTAAAAAGTTTTATACGGTTCCGTCATCTAGACACAGGTATAGTAGCCAGTAAAAACATGAGATTACTGCATGTGTTAATGTAAACATCTTTAAAAGATAAAGATTAGTGAATAACATGTAAGTTTTATGAGTAAATATGTGCCAACTATTATAGAGTTAAAGCCAGATGTAATTAGAATAGTTGAATAGTATGATGGTAAACCTGTATATTGATGTGTATAGTGAGTTGCTGTGTGATATACTTTCATCCTAGTATTACTCTTCTGGGGTGGGGATTGACAGGGGGTTGTCAAGTCATCAGGACTCTCATACTCTGCGCAGTGTTTCGTTTGATTAGAGCTAATCCCACTACTCACTGCTGTAAACAAAGCAAATTCTTGTTCTAAATTATGACTGGTCAATAGTCCGATTAACAACCAATAGCTTACTGCGTAACAATACCAAACAGAGCTCCAAATTGGACCAAATATGTTTACATAACGTTACATCATGACTCACGATTTGATTATGCCCAATTAACCAGTGCATAGCAGAATATTGCAGAAAAACTCTGTGGATATAATGTAAACAATATTGTTTTGAGACGAACAACACTTTCACCGTTTTTAATACCTTAAATCACTGTCCAAAGTTTTAGGGAAGACCCCTGATTAAGCGAAGGGCTTTCATGTTGCTGTGCTTTTGGGTAGATTTGATTGAACGGGAAGAATAGACACACTCCCTCAAAAGCGCAAGTATCAGAAGCTAATCCAGCAATGGCCAGAGAGGGATTTCTCGGGCCATTGCTTCATGAATATGCTGGACACTGGGCTCTTGATGTCCTGTAGGAACTCAGAAGATTCTTCATTGTCAGGGTTCAAACCTGCGAGACTGATATAGAACGTGTGTGCAGTTATTAGAGTAGGATAGAAATATTAAAGAACCCTTGACAGTTGGAAGAAGAATAGACAGAAATGCTACTGTCTGGGTAAAATTTGCCTTCTTCAAATTGCACACATCTATAGAAATAAGAGGTTTAACTCAAAATATCCGCAGATTTATCTTCCTATCCGCAGATTTATCTTCCTATCTGAACATTATGGTGTTGGTTTTTTTTTTAGAAAATATAGTACATTCAAGTGCATATTTATAAGCGGACAATTTGTTTTCTTTCCAAAGATTTGAAAAGGTTTTTTTTAAGTTTAAATGGAAGCAAAGTTTGACTGATTAGACTGTGTGACCACATATCCTTCATATCAAGAAATTATCTTTATTATAACTGTATATAACACAGTGAACATAACAAAAGTATTATGACAAGGAGTAAGGTCATCTGCCTAGTCTTGTGGGATTTCTCTGGGTTCTTCTGTTTCCTTCCAGTTCAAATTCATCCTGGTCAACAAGCAAAATATTGAATTAAGATTATCCAGAAATGATCTAGTTCTTTCTGAGGTATTAATGGTTATTGAAGCTCTCTTTTCGTGTTTTCCTGCAGTTCAAATTTTTGTGAAATAAATATAGTACTTTGACTTTTATGTAGATCTTCAAGCAGCAACATTTCAAAGTTTTATGTTGATGATGGAGAAAGTTGTTATTGTCTATATCTTAACTTGATTTCTGTCCAAACTAAACTTGATGTTAACCTATACATATAGAAAACACATTGATATCATGTGTACACCATCTATCAGTATTTGTGACTTGATTTGATCAAACTATAAAAGGTCATCTGTCACTATCTTACTTAAAGGAGGCATCCCTGTTTTTACAGGGTACCTGTTGATAAATCCGGATTTAAAATGGAAGTAGACAAAAAGAGTGAGAACCCCTTTGGGTTTGAATCTTAAAATGATCAGACCTCTTTAAAGTTTTATTTTGCGTAAAAAAATTAATTCATTGATTTTATTTGAATTTATATTTGTTTAATTGTTTTATGGGATGAAAGAGTGCAGACCCTTCATGATTAAATTTTATTATGATCAGACCCCTTTAAAGTTTTATTTTGGTAAAAAATAAAGTTGTTGGTCTCATTTGCTTGATTTGTTTTGTGGTATGATAATATGTGAGATCATTATGTAATCATTCATACATATTCATTATTCTAGATGTGTTTTTTTAATGTCATTTGTTGATGGATCAAATGTTACGATTAGCTTGATTATGTTTAATGTAACAAGAAATTGGAACTCTTGTAACATGTCATGGAATCTGGATATCATCATCATTAAGACTTTCAAAATCCAAGGAAATTTCAAATCCCAGCTCTAAACATTTCTGTTTTAAAATACCTTGGGAAAAAATAATTAGTGATAACACTAGAACCCAGAAGCACATTAGAAACTTTATAATTATTGTATTTATGTGCTTTATAAATGTTAATATATATTTATTGGTCCTGTGTAACTAATTTTGATGATATTATCTCTTTCAGTTTACTGGATGGAACAACTAGATTTCCCAAGTTAGAAGAATGTGCACACTTTCATTATGATGTAGTAGAACTAGGACCTATTGAGGTAAGCAGATTCACATCTTCTTCTAATCTTGACCTTGTCCTAACATATATAACCTTTACAATAATCATAACAAACAAATGACTGTATAAACACACAAGATCTGATATAGATTAACTTTTACATAGTACCAACATGAGACATTTCTTCTTACATAACTGTCTTATTGACAGTAAAGGTATTGATTTCAAGATGGGTTAGGTGGTTGATTGGTCTAACATGTGCACTTTAGATCATAAGATCTGTCATTGAGTCACATGGTTTCAATCCTACATTTCTATGTGACAAAGTGTATGGTCACCTGGATAACCTTGTGGGTTTCCTCCAGATCATATGGTTTCCTCCTACCTCTAAAGACCCCTACGCACAAGTGAATTATTGAAATATAATTGTACCATGTTAGTTCTAAAATGACTTAGTTCGTGTTGAGTGGAAGTTAAACCCCATTTCTCCCTCCCCCTTTGATTTTAAACATACCGCTACACAAAAATAGCTGTTCACAGGAATTCACTTACATAATTACTAATTCTCAAGTTACATATCTATAATGGTGTTATTGTATGTTAAGCTCAATACAAGTTTGTTTACAAGAAAATAACTAATTGTCCGTGAGTCACTTTATGATTGGTTGGTGTCATTAATCAGGGTTGTGTACTTGATAATTGAGAATATCCAGTAATCGTGATGGTGACTTTTTATTCCCTTCAAATCTAAGCTGCTTGATTATCTCTACCATTGACATTTAGCTTTTAGATATTGTCTGAATAATGGATGATAGGAATCCACTAGTTTAACATACATATTAGAATCACATTAATTTGACCTACATTGATTTGTTTAAAACCTACTTGAGTAAATACAATGTGGAATGTAATTGATTGTGAATTGATTTAAGTTCGGGATGCCTTGATGATGCTGTTATAGTCTTAGACACCAGAACTGGGTCAGGTTGAGTAAAATAAACAGAACAGTTGGACATATTGATATCACGTTTACCATACCTAATGGTGCAAGTTAGTTCTTCCTCGTCTATTATATAAAGTGTGTTTGGATTATTGGGTCTTGCCATGAGTCCATTAAGAGATTTATGATGCGTTCCCTTTGTCAAATTATCCAATAAAGGCAGTCAAGTTATTGTATTGTCGTAGATTTATACATTAATCTTCCATTATATTGTATCCCCCGTAATTACTGCCCCCACGCCCTGGGTGATTTATGCTTCTCGACAGAAATCGTGATAAATACAATTGAATTTGTTTAAAGCAGACAGGTAATGAAATTTCATCTGTGAAAAGGAGGGGGTTGTGTGCGCTTATTAATAAATTAAAATTGGCCCCTAATTCCTTCCACCTTTGTATTCATAGTCTTAATTTTCCAGACATCTTCCCCTGTCAACAAGTATCTGGAACACCTCATAATTGAATTCAATTCTTGTAGTTGAAAAATGACAGCTTCTCCTTTTTTTTGTAGTTATTGTAGACACTGCAATTTAGATGATTATGCACAAATCTGTTTATCACGTGGTACAAATTACGTCAGTTCGGTGGGTTTGGTTTAAATGTAATTTACAATAATATTTTCCTGTGGTACAAGAATACTATTAGAAGTCAGTAGAATGGTTTAGTCAGTCTGGTATAATCAAGGCTATATTTACTCACTTCCTTTATGCACAAGAGTCAGGTGCTTGTTATGCTCACATTGAAAATTTGCAGGAAGGCTTTGGTCGTCAAAATAAAAATGTATCTGTATTTGTGTATTTGATCATACCCTGTATCATACATGACGCTCACTTGGATTCGATTAATTGTAAAAATAATATTTCACACATTAGTCATTTAATATCTTTCATTCACTTGAATTAAAACTGATCCAGCCAAAATTTGACATAGCTCTGTAATTTGAGAATAATTTATTCCTTGATTTCGATCTCTATCTTATTGAAGTTTGTTGTCTTCCCAAAGTTTCCGAGATATATTCCTATTTCAGACATATAAAAGAGTTATTTCATTGAATTATCGATTCAAGTTATTATTGAAGGTTATTATTTCATTTATTTGTTGAAAATCTGTTAGCCATGTGCAGTAACGACTTTGAAAATATGTACCATAAGGAATTTAGCAAGGAAAAATGCATTCTAAACAAATCTTAAAATAACGAACACTTTATTTTAGTGGCCATGTGCTTTAGCATCGAGCTGCATATTTATTAAGAATTCATTTGATCTATTCGTATTTGTACTAAGAGAGTCTCGCATCCTAAATTTTCACCGATGAAAAATATATTTGCATTTCAGAATTTGCAATCCTTTCAACAAGTCTTTCAATCTGTACATCTGTCATTATTCAACATTTTGTTTCTCAGTCCCCACCCTGAAATATTTTTATGATCACAAATATACATTGACCTAATGTTTCCTCTTAAAGTTCTTTTAACTTAAAATTCCAGTTGTTGTATTGAATTAAAGTCGAGCTTGATAAATGGGCCAGTTTAATGGCTAGCACTTGAGTTTCAAGTGGCATGATGTGACCAGGAAAGTTTAGTCTGATATTCACATGTTAAGTTGGATATTATACAGATTACATTACACACAGGAAGGATTCACTTTCATTAATTGTACAATTTTGCTAATACATTTTTAAATAGGGAATTTAAAACATATAATTTCCTCAAATTGAAATCCATAAGGCCAATACAATAATTTCATCATTTGAATTGTGAACAGATAAAGAGTTAAAAAGTATTATTATAGAGATTTAGAAGAACAATCGTTGTAGTTTTAATAATCTCTGGACTATGATGAAAGTGTAGTTTTAATAATCTCTGGACTATGATGAAAGTAGTTTTAATAATCTCTGGACTATGATGAAAGTAGTTTTAATAATCTCTGGTTTTAAATTTAAATTGATGAATTAGCTGTTCAATATGAAATAATGTAGACTAACATCATGAATATTTTATTGTCAGGTGTAACAAGGCTGTAGACCAGTAACTTTGTTCCCAGTGAACAGATTTTAGAAATATTCTGAACACGTTTATGTATCAGAATATAGACAGGGCATCGAATTCTGGCTATTTTCATCCCGTTCAATTAATCAATATTATTGAACCAGTTCATGTATTAGAACATTGTTTTTATGATTGAAATGGTTTTATATTAAAATGATAAGTGCATTTTAAGATATGTTAAAATAAAGCCTTAGAATACATGGCATCTTGAAACACAGTAATCCGAAATACTATAATTCACTGAAGTGTCAGTTGAGAAATTGGCAAATTTTATTTTCGTAATAAAATTTAATGTTGGATTTTATGGTGTTATCACATGTGCAGGTTTGAAAAGTCTCGCTCAACCAAGCATCATTATCCATATCTGTTTAACCACGAACAATCAAGACAACTCCCTCATTCATTGTGTAGACTTAGGTTTCCAATGAAAAGAAATGATATATTTCCAAATACCGTCAGCAAGCAGAATTATTTCAAATTTTCATGTGAATGTTTTTTAAGTGCTAAAATGATTCCTATGATTGTATAGTAGTGATTTGACAACCTATTAGGTAATACACATAGATGTAGAAATAATTAGGTTTTGACTTTCTTAGAAAATATGCAATTATGCATTAATGAATGATATAAAATCTTATATGATACAGTCATAAAACCATAGACCTGCTAAATTATACAATATGCTGTCTGCTGTGGTTATTACCTGAACTAGTTATACTCAATTGATGTAAACTGGAAGTGAAACTTGTATATGCACCTGCCAGGCACAGATGTCATAGCAACAGAATATTATTTTAACTTTGTTTAATGTTTAATATGTATTTGCATCAGGTAACTACTGTAACACTACTCTTAAGTCTATAAAAATGAATGGATGTTTAAGAAATATTTGATAAATAATTTTCTATAAAAATAATTATAATGAATGTATGTTGAAAAAATATTTAATAAATAGTTTCTATGAAAATATAATGAATGGAAGTTTGAAAAATATTTAATAAATACTATAAAAATCAATCTAATTAAAATATAGATCTATATTTCGTTTCGTTTTTTATACTTTCGATGGCCTACACTACGTAGATCTAACAAGTTATAGTGGGAGTTCACGTTCTATGACATCAGGTACCAAGCAAGCGACATTTGACCCGATTACGTCAGTCATTCGATTAACCAATTAGCGACCGCCATATATATTTTTATCTACTTTTACTTTGTTTTGATTTCTATTGCCGCTAATGTCTACCCACAGTTCAAACGCTCGATTTGACAGACCATTTGATTGGCTGACCCCTCATTTAAAGCAGAACACGAGTTAAATAACAACGCTTCCAGATCCAAGTGTAGTAAAGACAAGTAAAATTGAAATTTTGAACTATAAAAACGAAACGAAATTGGATCTGTGTTTTAATCAGATTGTATAAAAATATAATGAATGGAAGTTTAATAAATATTTAATAAATACTATATGATAATATAATGAATGGAAGTTTAAAAAGTTATATAATAAATAATTTATTGAAAATATAATGCATGGATTTTAAAGAAATATTTATTAAATAATTTATATGAAAATATTGTGAATGGATGTTAACAAAAAAATTTAATAAATAATTTTTATGAAAATATAAAGAATGTATGTTAACGAACTATTTAATAAATAATTTATATGTAAATATAATCAATGGATGTTAAAAATAAATATGATATAAATAATTTGCACTGGAGACTGCAATATATCAGTTTGATATTACAATAAATAAATAAACGACTGCACTTTAAATTGCCTTGTAAGTTTCTTCATTTTCACAGACATCATGTTTTAGAATGTTTTCCATTATACAGGCTTTGCATTTCATCTCAGAAGACTTATGTGAACAGTATGACTAATGACAGCAATCACCTTTGAGCGAACGGAATGTATTTATTGTGTGTTATGTCACTGTTTGTTGTGTGTCATGTGACTGTGTAACCAACTTGTTAAAATTTGATGTAGACTGACTAAATTGTGCTCCAAAAGAGAAAATTTAGAAGTACATGTAAATGTACACTATATTACTTGTAATACATTAAAGGATTGAGTTTTTGAACAAATTTAAAATGGTTGACTTGGGTTCGTTGTCATATATACAGGAACAACTTGACTGCACAAAGTATTTTTAACTTAAAGACATAAGCATGTTCAGTTGAATAACAAAGATTGAATTTTCCGTTATTTTGTAGATACTAAGTGGGGTATATTTTCACAATCACTGAAGAGATTAATTCAGAAGTGCACATATGTAGATCAATCTGATTAAATCACAGATCCTATTTCGTTTCGTTTTTATAGTTCAAAATTTCGTTTCACATGTCTTTACTTGACTGCACAAAGTATTTTTAACTTAAAGACATAAGCATTTTCAGTTGAATAACAAAGATTGAATTTTCCGTTATTTTGTAGATACTAAGTGGGGTATATTTTCACAATCACTGAAGAGATAAATTCAGAAGTGCACATATGTAGATCAATCTGATTAAATCACAGATCCTATTTCGTTTCGTTTTTATAGTTCAAAATTTCGTTTCACATGTCTTTACTACACTAGGATCTGGAAGAGTTGTTATCATTGATGTGTTCTGAATGGTGTGAGGGCTTAGCCAATGAAACGGTCTGTTACAGCGAGCTTTAGACGTATTTTGCACGGAACTGTGGGTAATCCACTAGTAACATCATTGCTGATTGGTTAATCAAATGTCTGACATCATAGGGTCAAAAGCCGCTCGTTTGACCTCTGACGCCACCTATTGCTACAATCGGTCAGATCTTCAGGTAGTGTAGGCTATCGAAAGTATAAAAAACCGAATGGAAATATAGATGTGTATTATAATCAGATTGATACGTAGATTAGATACACAAGAACTATGATAATATAACCCATTAAATATGGCCCAGTTTCACATTGATCAGACATAAAAATCATCAACCTAACCTCATACTCAATCCCACTAAAACAATAAATCAACTAGAATAGGCAAAGAAGAAAATTTGAAGCCCAGTTCTCACTTGTCACGGGCCAATAAGAATAATTTGCAAAGAAAACCCATTGTACAGATTAGCATGTAATTCAAAGAGGTGTAGACAAAATTCTTCCACTCCCATTGCATTCGTGACAATTTAAATGAATGTTATATGTTAGTCCCAAAATGTGTTGAAATGTTAAACCCTGTTCCATTCCACGATTTGCGTGTACTTCAAATTTGAACACCGGACCGCCTTTATTTTCTTCCCCTCTCTTTAGTCTGTCTGAATATTTACTGTTTATTTGTAAAAAAAAAACTATTAATATAACTTGGACAGATTAAATGATACAAAGTCTTATCAATACAAATTAAATTTTTACAGGTCCACCTATGTGATGACGACCGTGAAAATTACCACCATAATGAAGAGGAAGGAATCGAAGATACATTCCTCATGCGTGTCAAATCTAATGAAAAGGCTTGGAACATTCGACGGACATTTGGTAACTTTCGTAGTCTGGATAAGCAGTTGCATCGATGCATCTTTGATCGTAAATTTAGTCAACTTGTAGAATTACAGCGTCAAGATGAAGAGAAAGAAAACACAGTAAGTTTTAACTTATTATTCAGAAAAAATATTGATTGTTCATTGATATCAAGCTATATCAAATGACAAAAATTGTATTAAAAGTTGATATAGATGAATATTTGTTTTGATATTGGTTTTGATACATTTATTGAAACTCCTGATCGTCGTTGAGAGATTTTAAATCCTTTGAAAACTACAATATTGTGCGCTTTAGATCATAAGTTCTGTCATTGGTTCCGATTACCAGATTGTATGTTATAATGATTAAGGTCAACTGGCCAATCTGATGGGTTTTCTCAGGGTTCTTCAGGTTTCCTCCCACTGCTAAATTCCTTGACAATCTAATTATTGAAATAAATTTGATCCCTATTTTAGTCTCATAATGAGCTCTCTCTCTCTCTCTCTCTCTCTCTCTCTCTCACACATACCACATTTTTCATGTGCATTTAAATCTAAAAGGTTTGCAATTATCCCTATAGCATTGATTGATGTATTAAAACTTCAGTGATCTTTAAGAATACCGTGAACCTGATGAACAGATTAAACAATATTTAAGCAGATTCTAGAATATTTATTGAACACTGACAGAACCACCATTTTATTTCATCTCTGTCGTCGTATTATATAATGTACATATGTTCAATAGCTAACAAAAACCTGCGGTCAATAACTGTGTAAAGTTGATATTCACCATGGAACCATACTGTTTCTGACAGAATACCTTCATTTTGACATGCAATGCACACTTAGCGATATAATCAAGCTACTCGCATATCATCTCTCCTAGCAGACGGACTAGTAAAAGCTAGATTGATTTTGTGACTTGATGTTGATTCACTCAACTGATTCATGGATTTGAACGTTTCAGGATCTTCGGAGGATATTACGCCGATATCTGGAAAGATTCTCCTATTTGGCTGGTAGCATGATCAATTGTGGATCAGTTTTAAACTGGTTAGAGGTTAGTGGAACTTGATTTCAACAATTGTTGTCTTATTGATTTTAGAAAGAATTATTTAACTTAGATTTTTTGGTTGAAGAAAATCAATAGATTTCTTACAGTTTCCATTATTGTTAAAGAATATCAATTCTAGTAATGGCTTACAAGCAATTACCTCACTTTTGATTTTGTAATAGATATTTTATTCTTCAACAATACTGAGTCATAATCTCCAGTAGTGAATGTTTTTATAAATATTTATAGGCTATGAATATAAGATGGAATTTAATATTAAATGTTTACTAAAACATCATATTGGCGTGATATTGAAATTTTAAATTAGTTCAAGAAAATGATCTATTATTTTTGGTTGTTTTGCCTGTCTAAATGATTGTCTTTTTTTTTTCCAGTTGGATAATCGTGGAAATCGTTTATTAGCTGTAGATGATTCAGGTATTAACACGCCAGCTATAGCCGCAGCTCACGCCATTAAAAGATACAACGCACAAGCAGTCGATGAGATTTCTTTAGAGGTAAGAATATTAATATACTTATGATGTATATATCTACTTGTATTATCTTTGTTGCATGGGTATACAACATGCATTAGAGAGAAATTGACAGTCAAAACAGATATGTATACTATGAATTCACTGTGGTCCCTCGCTTCTTTTGTGAAAGAATGCTTGCTTTTGTTAAATAGGCAAGAAAACCAATGTACATAAATCAACCATTATATTAGGATTGTCCACACTGAACCGCTAAAGGCTTTATTTTTGTATGACTCATAATGAAGGGTAAAACATCTGTATCTCAGTGAAGGATTGATAGATTTAATAGAATTTTAATATGTTTTAATCTGATTGTCTTAGTATGGAAGTGTGACTATCCTTTCACATCGAAAATGATTTCTTACTAAGCCATGCGGGTTGTTTTTCTTATTTAAATGGGAGTATAATTATAATAATCCTTGTGATGATACTCAAACTTTCTATTGCGCTTTTGAAGTTTTCTCTATAGCACTATGGAAACTGCCTCAGTAAATAGGAATGTCTTCACTTGAACTTTAAATACATCTATCAAGTCAATGGTTCTAATGTTGTAAGGCAATGAATTCCAAAGAGAGAAGCAGAGAATGAGAAAGATCTTTCTCTGATTTTAAGATGCACTGATATTTGATATATAAGTTGTTTATCTGTGGATCTAAGAGTTCTTGTGGATCTGTATAGACCGATAAGATCTTTGATATATTTTGGTGATAGATCATGTGACACCTTGAAAATTCAGAGTAATATTGTGAATTTAATTCTCTGTTGAACTGATTTATTTTTATCCCCCCAAAAAACTATTCATGGCAATCATTAGAACCTAAATCCCAATAACTTTCTATCCTCTTCGTAGGAATTGATTGTAGCTGCATGCATCAGTCAATGATTATCTGAAAATGGTTTTAGTGATTTCTCATGTGGACATGTCAGTTGAATTCAGACGTAAAAAACTTATAAAACACTGTCTCGAGTGGTTGTACATGAGGACAATAAATCGTTTATCTTATAACAATGGTTACAGCTGTTTATAATCTCTCGACAAACAAGACAGATGCAAGTAACAGAAAGTGCCTTCAAATTTCTATTCTATATGCTGCATGAAGATAAAATAATTTGCCACAATGACCAACCTGTCACATTTTATTGCAACAAAGTGACCTATCGCATATTATAACAATAAAGTGATCAGACACATATTGTGTCAAAGTGACCCATCACATGCTATTGCTATAAAATATTACCACAAAATGACCTGGGCTGTATTGCAATTAGTAGAACAGTATGACATTAAACACCATTTCATTTCACATCACAGTAAAGTGTTCTGTCACAAAATACCACATACTATTACAATAAAATGACCTTTCACATTTTATTACAACAGAGTGACCTATCACATTACAACAATGTATTATCACAAAGTGACCTATCACGTATTGTTATCAGAAAGTGAATGGGATGATTAAATGTTTGTTTCAAGAGATTTTAAGGAAAAATCAGCTTTTTTACTGTTTTCTTTATTTTTATTTTTTGCTTCTTGTGTTGACACATGAATAATCAATCAACACATTCTTTATCTGTGGACTATAATTTTGAACCAAGACAGATTGTCATCCCACAATATATATCAACAATAGAATCAACATTTTGTTTTGGAACCAGATCAAAAACATCTAGCCATTTTAAGTTTAATGTCAGATTTAAAAGCAGAATGAAAATACATCCCACACAACCAAAACGTTTGTTAATATAAAAAATATATTGTTTCATTGCAGGTTGGAGATATAGTGTCTGTAATTGACATGCCGCCAGCTGAAGACACAATATGGTGGCGAGGGAAAAGGGGTTTTGAGGTGAGAATTGTTTCTATTATTTAGTTTGTAGCTTACATGTACTTTGCTATGATAAGTCTATAAATTTGAAAAACGCCATTACTTGATATTTGTTTTATGAGGCAGGTTTTCCTGATAAATAACAAAATCTTATTTATAGTCAGTATGGGGACATTTAAAATGTATTATTTATGTAGAATCATGCTTGGTATAAACGTATACATGTAATTAAATCAAACAGTCAATAACTTTAATGTCACTGAATCCATTCCTAGGTTGGATTTTTTCCAAGTGAATGTGTAGAACTGATCGGAGATAAAGTACCGTCGTCCATGGATTCTAAAATACCAGAATATATTTGTGAGTGATGGCATGGTGTGATTGTATTTGATGGCATGAAAGAGTGAGCATGTAGTGTATTTCAATGATTTACTGATATTTAGACTATAACATCATTAATGGCAGACATAGCCAATAATAGTTTACCATTTTAATATTTATGCATCCTAATAACCTTTAACAGATCAACATCAGTTAAGATGATTTTAAAATAATGTTTGAAGTTCACATTATTATTTCCTTTTATCTGTTGGAAAATTATGATGTCTGAAGGTATACAAGTAACAGACGTACTATCCTATGCATGAACCATAACTGAAATATAATGTTATTTACATATATACATTCAGTTTTTATTTTAAACAAAAAGAGATCTCGTAAAGTTTGTTGAAATTGTAAGTGTCTAAATTAAAATCAGCTATTTGAGTTCATAATTTTTGGGGGTAATTTTTCTATCATTTATCCCTTTCTTAAATGCTTTGAGAAAATCAAATTTCAACAAATTTTATGTCCTGTAACTTCAACTAAAGTAGCATTATTTGATTGGTTTAGTTTTGAAGAGTTTTATTACTTATATTTTTACAGCTTTGATTAACCAAGCGATTTGTGTTTTATCCCAAAACATAGTTTAAAACCTCCTTCATATAATAGCATTTATTTATTTATGTATATCTTACTTATACACAAACATACAGTGGCGTAGCTAGGTTTGTGAGGGGGTATGGCCTAAAGATTAATGCACCTTGCTTAGGCCAAACAAAAAAAACCTATCATCGGTCCCTCAACATGGGGTTAATCTGGGAAGATGGAGATTAAATTTGTAGTCTGATACCTTAGAAACCTGAATGCCGTAGAAGAACTCTAGCTACACCACTAATAATATCATTAGTTTGTTTAATTATTAACTGCATGTAATGCATTTTGCTTCATTATCAGGTTGGTTTTTTCCCTGGAGAATGTGTGGAAGTTATCGGTGATAAAGTTCCTAATTCTATGGCCACTCGTATTTTGCGTCGAGCTGCCTCCAAAAAACCCTGTAAGTATTTAGATTGCTGTTCATTGGTCTTATAAAAAACATAATTTTTAAAACTGTAGTAATGTCACACGAGATAGATTAAATGTGATAAATCAAAGTTATTAAACTACTCAAAACAATCAAGGTCAGTGTGTTTTCTACAGCATGTAGTAAAACTTGTAAGATATGTTGAAATGGTCTTTTCAGTTCTTTATTTTTCTTGAACCAAAAAATCAGATTTTAATATAAAAGCTCATTGAATAAATGAATAGAAATATTTCAATAATAAATAATTATTGTAATAAGATTTTATTTTGTATGTACACAAGACTGACAAAAACTGAATTTTATTTACAAAGTTGCTGGGCATTACTAGAAATGATAATCAATCAAAATTTTAAAGTGGAAGCCCTGGTTCAAAGAATTGTTAACATATTTCAAAAGAGGCATTTAATTATTTTATTATAATTTTTAGACGGTATATTGTGGTGGCCATAAATTTATAGGTTTCTGTGTAAAACAGTTATTCTCAAATTTAGGATACAATACCTATATTCTATGTAAACTCTAGGTTAATTTATTGCTAATCTACACTGAAATTAAACTATATTATTTTAAATGTTCTCACCTTAAAAATATATTTCCTCAACAGTCGAGATGATAAATGCATAACCATCGCGGTAAAATATCACCTAATTACCAGGAAAAACATATTTCTTGAGAGATACTTCAAATCAAGCATATGATCAAAATACAAATATTATCACACATGCCATTACGAATGACATGCTAAAGAAATTGTGTCTCCACTAGAAATTAATATCTAATAAAAATAAGGTTTGTGGGTCAAATGAATGACCTAATTAGATCTTTAATCTTCTTATACTCTTTAAAGATTTGTTTTCTTTTTTTATAAAAAAAACAGTACAAATTTAAGAGGTTTTGAAAAATATAATTGTGTGTTATTAGAAATTAACGTCTGATAGAAATAAGGTTAGTGGGTCAAATAAATCACCTAATTAAATCTTATTCTATTTAAAGATTTGTTTTCTTTTTTTTTTTCTTTTTTTTTTAAATGAGAAATTAAAGAGGTTTTGAAGAATATAAATGCCAAGTGAAGCAATGAGTTTTATTTTTAAAATAATTCTTATAGATGCATTATGTTACAGCTAAATCTGCCTATTACAGGTTTTTCATTTTGGCTTTAAATGTTATATAAATTATTATTTAAACATTTATTCACATGACAAGCCTATAATCAACCCCCTAGACCATCTGATGGCGTAGATGTAAACTTATTAAAATACGATTGCCATTTAATGAATTAATTTAAAAATGCAGAAGCAAGGCTGAATTTCGATTAACAAGTAATGTTCCGGCAATAAACAGTCTATGTTATTAACTTCAAACAGTGATAACATTGCTTAGAGTAATTTGAATGAAATTTTCAATATATTAAATTTGAATCATCTGTTTAGAATTATTATGCTAGCAAGTACGGCTAGTTCAGTATCAAAATCGTACATAATGCATATTTAATACCTTAATGGAAGTAAACCTCTTATTTTTTTTTTTATGGCAGTCAGAGGTTTAGTGATGTTTTAAGTGAGAATTAACAATGAATCATACGAAATAATATAAAATATTAAACATTAATATTTTATATTATTTCGTATGATTTTCTATTAAAGATATATTATGTAAGATTTCGATATAAAAGTTCAAAAATAGATAATGCAAAATGAATATATCAAAAATTTCATTCAAATTACTTTATTCTGAGCGCAGTTATCACAGTTTGAAGTTTTGACACGATGTGTGCATTGCTTGTTTATTATCGTATTTGGTATTTTCAGACTTAGCCTCGCTTCTCCTTTTTTAAATTAAATCATTAAATAGCCAAATCCTTCTTATCTACATAAAACCGGAGTCAACCGATGGTCTAGAGCAGGGGTGTCAAACTCATTTCGATTCAGGGGCCACATAAACTAAATTTTACATCAAGTGGGCCAGAGATATATAAAAATATCACGATAAAGCCAAATGTCCTTGAACTTTACCGAATACTAAAAACAAAGCCAAAGTCCTGGACACAGGTAATTTTTGTATGCCTACATTTTCATGTGGACGTATTATGCCATCACCCCTGTCCGTCCGTCCACAATTTGTTTGTTGACACTCGACAGGTCACTCTGTTTATCCGATTTTGATGAAACTTAATATATATCTTTATATCCCAAAGATCTCAGTCCCTTTCAATATTTGCGCATTTCAGGCCATAACTTTCTGGATTATGTCCCCTGATTGTACGAAAAATCACTTTTGTTTTTAGCTTGTTCTCTATCCATTTCTTGCAAAATGTGGGCGTTCCTTGCCTGGCAACCGCTGGTTTAGACTGGTTTCCAAATTGCCAAGATATAATATTGAACACAACGTTGTCTTGTATTACATACAACTTATATATCTATGACACACAGTGCAAAAGTTTTACTGAAACCGGAAAACAATAATAAATGATTTCCATCTCTAGTTTCTAAGAATTATTGACATGTCAGTTTATTGGAATTTGTTCCACGAGCCACATTCACCCCTTGGCGGGCCGCATGTTTGACACCTCTGGCCTAGAGAGTTTATTATGGTCTTGTCATGTTAATAAATGTCTAATTAATAATTTATATAACATTTGGGGCCTAAAAAAAAACCTGCAATAGGCAGATTAAGCTCTTGAATAATGCATCCTTAATTATAGCACTTTCAATGAAAAACAAAATATTTGTAGACATAATATGAGAATTAGTCATTAATTTGAAGTACAAAGCTAGTCTGTTTCTATCATTTTTTCCTTTATAAAGTTAAGTGTAAATGCTTTTAGATGGAGTCACAATATTTGTGAAAACCATGAAGGTATACATGATCTGTTGACACTTGCACACAGAAGAAGTAAAAATAGTTATATAATTGAATTTGTTTATTGCATTGTTTGAGTATAAAGTCTAATGCATGAGATTGTGAGTTAGAATAACAACAATATATTTATATTTCTACATATTTGTCATGTAAACTACAGTAATAAACATATTTATTTATATATTTACAAGTTGTGTAGGTTTAAAGGGACAGTCATATATTTAGTCATATAGCAAGTTTTTCTTAACAGGGTTTTGTAACTCATTTAAAGAATTCCTTTGGGGGACTTGGTAATTGTGATGATAACTTACCACTATATCTTATGCATATATGTAGACATGACGACCCAGGCATTTGGGAATAGAGTGGAATTCAGGGGCTTTTCACGTAAAAATTTGTATTTTTGCGAAAACATACCGTTAATTGCAAAGAACTGTCTAGGATTCTTTCATCAGAATGAACCCATTTGATTGACTTATATACATCTTGATTAGCTCCTTTAAATCTGGCAATAATTTCATATGAAAGAATGTTTTAATAAAGCAGGAAGTCATTCTGTATACTTAACTATGTATTTTAATTTAAGATATAATGAAAATGATATATTTAGTTATTTCTTATTAATAAATGCGAAAAAAATATCTAAACATGAGAATTAGACAAATTCAAAAAAAATTCTTTAATTAAATTAGTTTAATGCCACGTATAAATGTCTTTGGTTTGGTTTGACCTTGTTGATTTTATAATAATAATAATAATAATAATAATGTGTTTATTATTTCAGTAATACGACGACACGGTAAATTGATGTCTTTTTTACGCACCTTCTTCTCTACACGGCCAGCCAGAAATCAGTTAAAACAGTCGGGTATTGTTAAAGAACGAGTTTTTGGCTGTGATCTTGGTGAACATTTACTCAACTCAGGACATGATGGTAAGTAGAAGTGCTACTCATCTTGTTCTTATTGTTGCCATGTTTGGGAACCACAGTGGTTCATTGGGTAGGACGTTGACTTCCTAACGTGGAGGTACCGTGTTCGATCAAGATTTTTGGTGTGGTTCCACCTTGTCAGTGATGTAAGACAAATGGCCTGGCAAGGGACAAGGTATAGTCATTCTAATGGTACGAGAAAGTAAGGTCTTGTGTGCACATTGGTATGCGCATAAAAGAACTCTTTGACAGTTGGAATTCACTGCATAGTGTATGTTCATCTCCATTAGTCCAGTAGAAGCAGAACAGTAGGACATTAAACCTCATTTCATTTCATTTTTTGTTGCCATGTCCATGTACAATCGATGTGAAACTGAGGTCCATAATACGCTTGTAATTTGAATAATCTGTAGAACCTATGAGAAGTCTTAGAAGTAGAAATGTCAGTAGTTAATTGACTAGAAGATAAATTCTGTAATAACAGGAATCAGTATGATAATTGAATACCTGTATGTCTGTAATATAAATATTGATTTTTCCAGATGGGTTCTCACTTATCATTTAAAAACTCAGTCCCCTTTTACAAAAGGGGAATGCACACAAAAGATCCCTCAGCGTTTGATAAAAGATATGTAGGCAGAAATTCGAGGAGAAATGACTTAAGTCAAGTATATATGAGACATTAAACCCCATTCTTTACCATCATTTAAACATATTCACACTTTTACACTTATACCATACCTTGACAACATTATCTGACTTGTTGTACTACCAGTAGAGAAGTATTTCAAGCAGTTAATTAATGACAAAAAAAGATCACTAAATGAACCAATCATGGTGCTTGTTACAAAACAGTAAATTTTGGTGACTTGTACATTGTGGAGATGGTCGTTCCTGTGTCATATAAACATGATATTGATTTAAACAAATCAGACTTTTATATAGCAAGAAAATATATCAAGAAATTGTTATATTTAATTACAGTGCCATTAGTATTAAAAAGTTGTACAGAAGTTATTGAACGTGATGGTATTGTAGATGGTATATATAGATTATCAGGAATAACGTCTAATATACAAAAACTCAGGTAAATGTGTTGAAATATTATATTTCTTGATATCTTCATCTTAGTTACATCTGCATCCACACGGTTGTTGGTTCGGTGTGTCGAATCCTTATCTTTTTACATTGTACAAGTCTATTTATCAGATGTAATTGGATACCCTCTTACATTTAGAGTGCATCAAAAAAATGAAAGTAACTTGTTCATAATATTTTTGCCAAATGATTATGAAATCTTTATTCTGTATGAAGAAAAGAATAGAACTTCTGATTACCATATTTTCTTACTTCGTAAGGACGTAGATTATTTGGGAACCAATCATGGGTTTCAAATCAAATTGTAATGGATTTGTTGAAATGTCTTATCGATGTTGGAATCTTGTTGTTTGTGGTGTTTAACATCCACTTCCACCGAAGGTTATATCGCAGACAAGATGTCTATTTTTATTATCTTTCCTGTGTGAGGAAATCAGAGTGTTGTGGTGTATTTATATATTGTATATTATAGGTTAGCTTTTGATGAAGATTGTGTACCTGATTTACGTGATGATTGTTATTTACAAGATATACATAGTATCAGTTCATTGCTCAAGATGTATCTTAGAGAACTCCCTAATCCACTCTTAACTTATCAATTATATGATAAATTTGCTGTAAGTATAGAACATTAATACAATACTAAACAATACAAAAATATTCTAGTTCTCAGATAATTCTTTATTAATTCACTCTTTTAGATTATTTAATAAGAAAAATTATTTTATGTAAACAATAATGTATATTAGATAATTATTATTTTGATTAATTGAATGATATTAAATTTACAGGATGCTGTTCGAGATGAAGATAACAAGTTATTACGTATACATGATGTTGTACAACAGTTACCTCCTCCACATTACAGGTTTGTCTATATCACTATTCTATATTTCAGATCTCTTAATCAAACAAGGGATAGTTTGGTGGCCGAGTGCCCTGTTATCTATGCAAGTCAAGGGTTCAAACCCCGGGGAATATTTATATAGTTGCCTGTCTAAACTTTACTATTTTTCTTACGCATTCCTTCCACTTCTAAATCCATGCTGCATGCAAGAGAATTATTGAAATAAATATTAACAATATATTTTTACCCAAGTGACCTCGTTAATGTCTGTTAGATATATTAATCTCCATTTCTTGCTTTTTCTGAATCCAGCAGTCGGTGACAATCAAATAAATTTAATTACATGCCTGTAAAATATCTCCACTCATTACCACATACGAATGATGCTTATCAATATCATAGTTTTAATCCACCTGATCAGTTATTGGGATTGACAGAACTCGACTTAATTCTGTGCAGAGAAGAATATATCTATAAATTATTATTTATTTTCAGAACCACAGAGTATTTAATGAAACATTTAGCCAGGGTAGCAGAGCATAGCCATGAAACTGGTATGCACTCAAAAAATTTAGCCATAGTGTGGGCTCCAAATCTTCTCAGGTAATTTAACATTTATTTATCTTGCTCAACATTTAAGATACACGATACATGACCATTGATTAGAAAATAATTCAAACTACCAGTAAAATAATATGTTTTGCCAAAAACATATCTTACTTCAGACTAAGCATATTTTAAGCAGTACAGATCTTAAACATACATTATGGAAGAGCTAAATCTGCCTATTGCAGGTCTTTCTTTATGCCTGAAATGTTATCTTAATTATTAATTAAACATTAATTAACTTATCCAGACTCTCGATCTCATCGCTAGCCTTTGATATTTATTGGATTAGGATCTGATTTGTTGCTCAACTTTCATTCATGATTAAATCATGAAATGGATAATCGAGACTTACGTTTTTTATCGTACCGACATTAGTAATGATGATCAAGGCTAGGCCGAAAATTCAATCGCTAAATTCTCGGTTCACAGTTGATCAATTTGACTGAAATTTTCAGAAAATACCTTTTACATTAGCTAGCTCTTTATCTAATCTCCCATAATGTATCTTTAATGCAGGTGCCATTATAAATAGTGTAAAGTAATTACCTTTATTTATTCTAGAAATTAATTTTTCTAGCCCAATAGAACTATCATACTTTCAGTTAAGTATAATGGCCTGAATAAATTACCTAATTATGTTTTTAGGAATATATCTTTGATTATAATTATTTTTATTTTTAGATCTAAAGAATTAGAGATGGGTGGTGGTGCTGCAGCGTTACAGGGTGTAGGAATACAAGCTGTTGTTACAGAATGTTTAATATGTTATAGTGATATTATATTTAGTGATAAAATGCCATCTTACTCATCACCCGAACTACAAAGTAAGTTCTATCTGATATACAGGGCTGTCGGTAATTTTTCACAGATGATTAGCAGCACTGCTAATCAAAAAGTCCAATTTTGCCAAATTTGATTAGCAAATTTAAAAATTGATTAGCAGTTTTTCAGTTTCAACATAAAACACCTAAATAACAAGATTATTTTAATTTTAATTGATAACAAATGATTAGATTTCATTCTTAAGATTTTTTAGAATTTTAGAACTTCTACAGGTAGCTGTGAACATTTCTGAATGAATGTAGACTTTTGGTTAGGCCTTATGTCTGAAGCAAATTCTTGGCAGTGGCTTCTTATTTCTTCATTAAAAAACAATTTCGTCTGCTTTTTATCGTGTGTTATTATTTTTGTTCAATCGGAAGCACGCGGTATTTTACGAATAATCTCGATTAACTAGACGCACGCGATATATACAATAATAGTTTACGGGAATTCTTACTTTGATTTCTCATTTTACAATACGTTTGTTTACATGTATTTATTTTTTATATTTTATTTACAATAGGTGGGGGATACACTGAATTTATTTTTTTTCAAATTGAATACTGATATAATTACTCGAAATTGGCATGTCTCGCAACGTGAGTGGTACTACTTGATTCCCTATTTCCGGTTTAATCGTCCCGATTCATAGAGTTCTGTCCCTGTATTATATAGTATAATGAATTGAATCTGGGTAGTTCGAGAAGAAAATGTCACACGGAGAATTCCGTTTTGTTTATAAGATTTATTTGATATTTTATACACGTTGAAAGCGTTGAGAAATGTGGATAAATCTTTGTGTCAATATCCAAAATGACAGGCATATTAATGATTCGCAGTTACTGCGAATCAAAAACGTTAGATTTTAATTTTTGATTAGCAACGGACAAAATATGTATCGCAAATTGCGCTGCGATACTGGTTGTCGGCAGCCCTGCTGATATACATGTATATTTGAAACAATCTTAAGTGTTTCTTCATGGTTGTTTGAATGTTTGAATATATTTAGAATAACAGTATTTAAACATCAATTTTTTTATTAAAATATAATAAATAATATCTAACTAAAAGTATGATTTATAAACGAAAATATATTTTTCTGTGGTCTAAGGGGAGGTAATCATTTTCATAACAAGGGAGGTAATTTAATGGTCTCCCTCTAAAGAACTACTTCATTTTTATGCAGTTATTTCTAGTAAGCAGTAACTCAGTTCTATGAATTATTTGTTTTGGCAGAAGCGCATAAAAAGCCGAGACCGAAGTCTCTGGCAATATCAACACCAACAAGATTATTAACATTAGAAGAAGCGAGGGAAAGGGCGTTTGTAGGTGGTTTAATTCCTATGAATCAGAAATTTATTGATGTTGGTGGAGGTCCTGATAGTCTTCCAGCTAAATATCATACAGTCATAGATTTACCAGGGTATAAGTAAGTTATTATTTAACATCATTTTGTTTCCTCAATTTTTTTCTGACAGTTTGAGCCACAGTGGCTCAGTGAGTAAGGCGCTAGCTCACTAACCAGGTCTGGGATATGACCCCTGTGTTGGAAGAGAAAGTTCCCCTGGATTTTCTTATGTGGTTTCCCCTTGTCAGTGGTGGAGGAAAGAGGGCCTGGCATGGACACCATCTAGTCCTTCAGATGGGATGAAAAATTAATGTCCCATGTGCACATGAATTAATCCTTGACAGTTTGAATTTGAAATAACAATACTGTATATAATCTGACCTTAAAAACACATTTGGTCACAATCGTTTTGATCAATAAAAATTAATTAGTATAACTTTCTAAAATGTAAGAATGACAGACTTTGACAATAAATATTCATAATTTGCTTCTTTATATTTTCAGAAAAAAATCTGTCTCAACTAAAACTAAGAAATCTCCAGTTAGTGGATGGAAATCTATATTTTCTAAACCAAGATCTGGCAGTATTAAAAAAGCACGTAAATCCAGTATTCAAGGTATGTATATAGATCATTATAACTTATCTTTGGTGTTGTTTGGGTTTTTATTGTCGCTTGAGTAACATTTGATTTTCCCTTCTTGTGATACAAACAAAATCCTTACTTGTTATAACTTTCTATTATATCCTTTTACAAATACACTAACAATTCAAATTCAAAATAAATTTGGGAATACAGGATATATTATCAATAAATGTTCACTTTTTTCCCTTAAAAGTTAAAAATGGGCAATTTGTAGTATTAATTATAATAATATAATGGTGCTGGTTACTTAAACTTTATATTTCATCAAACTCTCCCTGATTCCACTGCTTTATTTATAGGTTAGGCTTAGATTATTTACATCATTTTATTAAAAAAAATTTCCCTGAATACACTTGCCCAACCCTACGTCCTTTTATAAAGCTTTTCACTGAGGGTGGTTTCTGGTTTTCTGACATCTGCACGCTTTTCCACAGATAATCTCAGCATAACACCAGTTCAGGGTAAAGCTCTCACGGAAGAAGACGTCCACAATTGGAAAAAGCGATTACGAAGTGCCAAAAGTGCAGAATCTCTGCTCTCATTGGCCAGTTCAAATCGCAGCAGCGGTGGTCGGATAGCTAAGGCACCAGATAACACAATGGTTTTAAATGTCTATAAAGGTTGGTCTCGCTCATCTGTCGTCGTAGCACTTTTAACTTCTCTTTCATTTTGTTATTGTAGTATTATCATAGTAAACACACATCACACTTTAAACTATAATAGCATGATAGTAGAAATTAGTAAATAAAAAATGATCATCCGTAGGGCTTATGTTTGAAAATAATCTGTTCAAGAAAGACATGCTTAAAGTTTTGAAATTTTATTAAGTTGATAAGCTGATCCTTTGGTTTATTTCACTAAATTTTTGATTGATTTATCACAGCATGTTAATATCTTTATTTCTGAAAGTAGATTAAACTTTAATAATTTACTAGGACTATTTTATTTAGCTTACATTTTGAAAACTACTTACAATGGTAATCACTATCATGACTTTAACAGGGTTCAAACTTGAATACTCGCTGTCTTTCTCTTAGATTCCTGACATTACCTTTCTGTTGGCAGTGGGTGGGTGCAAATGGTCTAATGCGTGAACATTAGATCATAAGGTCTGTCATTGAGCCAAGTGGTGTGGTTTTGATTCCCAACTTGTATGTGACAAGGAGTAGGGTCGCCTATCCGGCTCAGTGGTTTTTCTCCGGTTTCCTCCAATGCAAACAATTTATTGAAATAAAATTGAACTATATGTCAGTCCCAAAATGACCTAGTTTGTGTCAAGGGGATGTTAAACCCCATTTCTCTCTATTGGCAGCCATTAGTTTTTATTATTTTTCTGTGGAAGGGAGATAATTCAGTTTGAACCATGGGTTTAGATGTTTATATTGTAATATTATTTGCATGAGTTGTTTCAATGTTATAATCCTGGTACATCTAATATCACTTACAGTCTGAACTATAAAGTATTGCCAGAAAATTTGATGAGGCATGATCTAAATCTATATGATATTAATATTTGATGATGTTTGACAACAGACAAATACTATTAGATATTTAGTATATGAACAAGCATGCGCTACTAGATCATAAGGTCTGTTATCAAGTCAAGTGGCATGGTTTCAATCCCAAGCGTCTAATTGACAAGGAATAGGGACGTCTGTCGAACCTCCAAGGTTTTCTCTGGGTCGTCCGGTTTACTCCTACTGCTCAAGACCACTACACATAATTGAATAATTGAAATAACATTGTACCAAATGATCTGTACCATTGTACAAAATGGCCGTTAAAATCCATTGCTCATGAAATCATAAAAATTAAAAATACAGCGATAATTTCATATTTTCTAAGAAAGTCAAAACATAATTATTTTCTATGTCTTTTGCTCAATAGGTTGTCAACTCACTATTATACGATCATAGGTATTATTCTCCCACTTAAAAATCCTTTGACCCCGGAAATAATAACACAATTACCTCCCTTGTTTTTCTATTCCCCCCCCATGGAATAGCTATCTTCAAATGTTTGAATTTAAAATTGAAAATGATAATTTTGCCAATTTCTCAACTGGCAATAGTGAATTATAAGATTAATAGGATTATTCCTATCAAGGTAGGACTGTTTATAGATACCATCTAACGGTATTTTAAGGCTTTATTTTAATAAATTCTAAAAATATAACTTAAAAATATGAAATTGCAACTTTAATGTTAGACTAAAAATAAACTGCATAACTAACTCTAAATAATGTTAGACTAAAAATAACCCGTATAACTAACTCTTAATTTAAGATATTGAATTGTGTACCATGATTTTAAAAAGATGAAATAAATTGCATGTTAAAATGTATATTCCAATTTCTTGGATATTTTGTTTGTATTTATCTTATTGAATATGCTTCCATGTTTATTATAGCACATTATTTGCACACCAAATTAAAGTACTTTTATTTTATTCAGTCATTTGTGAATCTTATAATTTTTTTCGTTATTTTATTTAAATTGATTTTTTGTTTGTGTGCCTTTTGTTTATTTTTCTTGTTTGGTTCCATCTTTCAGAAGAGCGACCCCACCATAAAAGATCTTTATCATCCGATGCTACAGCCATTTTATCGCAGCATTCCCATATTCCCATATTTCTTGAAAGTGGGCGTGAAATGCCTATAGATGTTGATTCGTCTGTTGTACCTCATGGTATGTTGTGTTAGTCCGCTCAGGGCCTTAAATATTCACATTATTTTCAAAGAATATCATTGTCTCACAACAACAATGGAGGCAATTGGGTTAAAAACAAGGAAATTTTTTGTCTGTATCTGTTTATTTTAAGTGAATCATTTGTTTGTGTATTTGTATCATATGTTGTCTCTGTATTTGTCCCCTGCCTTTCGAAGAAAGCAGGGGACTATTAAAATGGGTTCGTCCGTCTGTCTGTCCGTCTGTCTGTCCGTCACACTTTTTGGGACACAATAACTCTCTTCCTAATTGAGCTAGAATATTCAAACTTGGTGTATGTGTTTATTAGGTCAATGCCTTGATGGAGTTCGAAGATGAGCATTTTCCGCTTAGGGTAAGCAGAGATAAGCAATTTGATTGGTTGATGCTTTGGGACACGATAACTCTCTTCCTAATTGGGCTAGAATGTTCAAACTTGGTGTATGTGTTGATTAGGTCAATGCCTTGATGGAGTTCGAAGATGAGCATTTTCCGCTTAGGGTAAGCAGAGATAAGCAATTTGATTGGTTGATGCTTTGGGACACAATAACTCTCTTCCTAATTGAGCTAGAATGTTCAAACTTGGTGTATGTGTTTATTAGGTCAATGCCTTGATGGAGTTCGAAGATGAGCATTTTCCGCTTAGGGTAAGCAGAGATAAGCAATTTGATTGGTTGATACTTTGGGACACAATAACTCTCTCTAACTGAGCCAGAATGTTCAAACTTGGTGTAGGTGTTTATTAGGTCAATGCCTTGATGGAGTTCAAAGATGAGCATTTTCTGCTTAGTGTAAGCAGCGATAAGCAATTTGATTGGTTGATGCTTTGGGACACGATAACTTTAGTTCTAATTAAGTGAGAGTGATGAAACTTGGTGTATAGCTTCATTACATCAATACCTTGACTAAGTTCGATAATGAGCATTTTCTGCTTAGGGTAAGCAGAGCGATAAGCAATTTGATTGGCCGAGACTTTGGAACACAATAACTCCCCTTCTAATTGAGGTAGAATGTTCAAACTTGGTGTAGGTGTTAATTAGGTCAATGTCTTGATGGAGTTCGAACATGAGCATTTTGTGCTTAGGTTAAGCAGAGATAAGCAATTTGATTGGTCAAGATTTTGGAACACAATAACTCTCATTCTAGTTGAGTTAGAATGTTCACACTTGGCGTAGGTGTCTGATAGGTGAATGCCTTGATGGAAATTGAAGATGAGAATTTTCTGCTTAGGGTAAGCAGGGATAAGCAATTTGATTGGTTGATGCTTTGGGACACGATAACTTTAGTTCGAATTAAGTGAGAGTGAGGACACTTGGTGTATAGCTTTATTACATCAATACCTTGACTTAGTTCGATAATGAATATTCTCTGCTGTCATGTCATGGCTGAGTTCAATGATTTACATTAGTCGATGCTTTGGGACAAGATAACTTTGATTCTATCTGATGGAGAGTGCTGAAACTTAGTGTATAGTTTGATTGCTCGATACTTTTGAAAAAAATAAATGTGCGATTAATAAATATGTGTCATCTATTTATTTTTGGATTTCGGCGGGGGACATCAGCCTCACTGTTGGCTTGTTTCCCCTGTTTTCACTGGTTCTCAAGGCGAGCTAAATCATTCATTGCCTGCCAAATCATTTTTGTATGTATATATGTATCAAACATTGTCTCCAAAACATGAGCTCTCAGGGCTAGCCAAATCATATTTGTTCTTTTCTTCCTATGTAGGCATATAATGATGCCATTAGATGGGTTTTTTTTTGTGGACCAAATAACCACAACTCATCTTGCTGTTCTTCTTTTTTTGGGGGCAATGCTCTCTTCAAAAATCCTAAGGCTTCGATCGATTCAAGTACGATCGATGTAAAGGTGGCATGCTTGTTCCTTGGCAAATTATGCATCAATTGCTCAGTTCCTGGGGGCCGAAGGGTTTGCACGTGCGCGCTGTATCATAATGTCTGTCATTGAGTCAACTGGCGTGGTTTCGATTCCCCGGTTGTACGTGACAAGGAGTAGGGTGCTTGTCCAACCTTGTGGGTTTTGTCTGGGTACTCCGGTCTTCTCCCACTGCTAAAGACCCCTACGCACAAGTGAATTATTGAAATAAAATTGAAGCATGTGTCAGTTCTGAAATGGCCTAGTTTGTGTCTAGTGAAGGTTAACCCCATGTCTCTCTCTCTCTCTCTCTCTCTCTCTCTCTTGCTCAGTTCCTAGTTCATATAGTATGCTCATACTTATTTTTTAAACAGAGTAATATGGAAGTTAAAAGCAACAGATTTGGTTGCCATCCAACTTGAACAGAGACAATTAGTTTCTGAGAATGTTTTTACCGTTGTTACATGTTTGATATTGTGACTTTCTATAGATCACCATCTGTAATTATCGTAATATGTATATTGTCACCAGTATATTACAGAATCTTTTTCACATTCTGTAAAACCTTAAGCTCATAAAATCAATCAGGTCACATTGATTTTAGGGTGGGTGGGTAACTTTATTTCAATTTTGGATTATACCAGCTTGTGTCAATGGTCAAAATAAATTATGACATAATGTTTTAATCTTCAACAGTTTATTACTTATTGGATAAAATAAATTGAGCTATAGTAATTCACCTCCTTCAAATAAAAAACATTTCATATGTACTGATTGAATTTATCATCCAATTTTCAAATCTCATTTGATTGAACAATGTGGTTATATTGAAGAATGATTTTTGTTGTTTGAATTAAAGTAATATGAACATTTCTATAGAAGTTTTGACAAGTATCTTCTTATTGTTATCAAGTACAATCGCTAAATGACACTTAACGACTATGTTGAAATATTGTTGATATTTCCGGTAGAAGACAGTATTCACTTGATATTGACCATGTTTATCTGTCACACCCAATAATATGTTCATATGTCATTGTATATATATATGATCATGCAATTTATTGGCTAATTCGACAATGAGGTCGTGTATTCAAAGGCTAAAAATAGAACTGATGTTACTGACCTATTTTCAAATGTAATCATAGAATGACTTATTGTGCCGAAATCTACTTAGATGGCCAAGTCAGGATGTTGACCTAATTTCTGAAATCTGCTTGTTGTCAAACAACAGGACATTGTTCATTCAGTATTAAAGAATAATATTTTTGTGTTTCTGTAAAATTTAGATTTCCATTTATGTTTTTCAGTTATGGAAGACATAGAAATGTCACCATCAAGAACGTCTAGACCAATGAGACGTGAGGATCCAGGAAAAGGTTCGTTCATTCGTGGAGATTCGTCTAGGTTGCCGTTACATCATCGTCGTACACCATCTGCACCTAATACTCCAAATCAAGAACGTAGTACGACTAAATCTCAACAGGTCTCGGCTCATCAGAAGACTCTTTCACAACCGGCTTTAGAGAGTCCTTCCCAAGTTCAACGTAGACAAGTGTACACATATATCCATTCATCCGAGGAAAGCTTAAATGGTGAACATTTCATTGATGGAAACACGGGAAAGCCAAAAAACAATCTCTCTCCAATAAGTAGTCAAGCAAAATATGCTAAATCTGCTGAAGAACTTACTCCTCAAAAACGTTCAGCTAAAACTCCGCCTAAAGGTCGTAAAAAAACTAAAAATAATTCACCTGATAAATCACCTAAGTCTCCACCATTAAAAGAAGTGGTACAGTTGCCTGAAAGTCCAGGTGCACGGAGAAAAATTAAGTTGGGAGATTCACCTGCAAAACCGTCTGACACAAATCAGTATTTCTTCTCTCGGACTCATGATTATGCCGAAATAATGTCAGATGAGGAAAATGGGCGGAATCGTGATTCTAGTTATCGTGATAGTGATATTTTGTGTTCTCCGTGTGATATGAGAGATTTTATTGAACACATAGATAATAAATTCGCCAAGCATAAACAATCGAGTTCGTATGTTGACGATTCTCCTGAGAAAAAAGAACGCTTATCAAATGGTTCTCAGACTTCGTGGCAAAATAATGAACAATTTAACAGACGTTTAAATGATTCGTATGATTACGCTCAGGTTCAAAAGCGAACACCTCAACAGAATGGCTCTCAAATCTCTCCTACAGTGGCTGGTTTAGATTATACCCACACTGATAGTCAGAGGTCACATGATATTAAAAACTATAATTCATCAGCTAGTGCTAATAGAGAAGCTGTGGAACTCGGTTCACACATCCACAAGTCTTCATCAAAAAACAAAATGTCAAAATGTTTAAGTGTGCCGTCTGACATTGCTAAATCATTAGAAAATATTACTGCCGGTAGTAATATGGACTTATTGTCATCTGTTACTATTAGTGAATTATCTCAATCAGTTGACAGCTTTAATCACAGTTTTAATCATGAAGAGGGTCGTTATGTTCGAGATCCTCGCAGACGGCGAAGTGCATCATGTGACAGTTTAAATGCTGCCGATTCACAATTATGTCGGACTTTACGTGAAATAAATCAACAAATGGACAAAACTTTTCAGCAGAATGTTGATAGGGCACTACAGTTAGAAGGGGAAGGTTACCATCGTCATGAACACGATCGAAACAATGTTCACTCTCTACACTTGTCCGAGTCTTACCCTTCTGCTGTTGGTCAAAAGAGAAGTTTTCATAATTCTTACGAATGTATCCCAGATTCAAACTCAAAATCTCTAATAGAAGACCATCATGAAAAACTTTCTAGAGAAAATCCAACTTTTCTCTCGAGTATACCGTTAGATTTATTTGAAAATAACACAACAGAAATATCTAGCAATATGAATAAATCTCCAAGCTATACTCAAGATACTCACACAAACTCTATAGCAGGAATTTACCGTCGACGAAACTCTTCTTCATCTGACTCATCGACCGAAATGGCTAGAGTGGATGTAACTAGACAACTGGGGGATAAACCATCTTTACATCATCAGTATGAGATCAGCGGCCATGCCATGTTTCCTGCTGAAGATGAAGATCAAACAGCACCTTTCCCTGTTGATCTTACTAGTTCGCAACTTTATACTCAACAGTTGAGAGATAGAGAGTTAGCATGGAGAAACAGTGGTTCATCTGATGGTCCTGATTATGCTAGAATAAATAAAAACATAACTAGTCCCACTTTGGCATCGACTAACGGCTCTGGTCAAAACTTACAGAGCATACATCAACAAGATAAACACAGCAGTGTTATAATTAATACATCTTATGATGGACTGAACAATAATGAACCGCTTTACTGCCAGATTAATCGTGCCAATCCACAAACAATAACAACCAGTCCCATCACTTTCGATGCTAGTCCTAAACCTAGTCCCCGCTGCAGTCCTCGAAATCTTCAGTCCATGCCACAACAACAGACATCTTCAAATCTTTTTGTCAAATCTTCTCTACCTCAAACTACGTCTCCCATACCTGATGGCTGGCAGACACCAAGAACTTTCAGACGTTCAGATGATAACACTGCGTTCACCCAACAAAATATTACATCACTCAGTCAAAGTTTAAACATGTCTGCAGATCAGGTCATGAATAATCAGCTCCACACATCCACCTCTTTACCAGAAGTCCATGTGCATCAAGACACTCTTACAGTTCAGAAACCGACCATCAAAAAGTCCACAACTGTATCAGAATTGGAGATGGATTCCATCATACAAAAAGAATTGGAATCATGTTTCAATACAGAACCATCATTCAACACAGAACCAGCTGTTCAATCCACATATGTGCCAGTTCCAAAACCCAGGAAAACAGTTTCGGAATTGAGGGCAGAAGAAGATACCAGGGACAGTGATCGTATGACTATTGAAGATATCAAGCAAGCTCATAAAGCAGTCAGAGAAGGTGAAAAGATGTTGCAGATGTTGGATTCTTCTAATGCTGGTAAGAAATTGGAGGATGTTGTCATGGAACATATAGATGTACCAAAGAATACAAATGTACTCCGAGAACCATCTCCTAATTTATTTCTGAGATCATCGCCACACCCCAGAGAACCATCTCCTAATTTATTTTTAAGGGCTTCTCCAGTGCCAAGAGAACCATCTCCAAATTTCTTTTTGAGGGCTTCTCCCTTACCTGATGAAGCAGCACCAATTAGAGCTTCACCAGTACCTAATACACTTGTAGATGATGGTAATGATAAAATGACCAATGAGGATATTAGAAAAGCTCATAAAACTGTCAAACAAGGTGAAAAAATGTTGAAAGTATTAGATTCTTCTAATGCAGGAAAGAAGTTAGAAGATGTGGTTTTTGAGCAATTAGATCCTACTCCAAAGTCTAGAAGCAGTTTTACAGAACGACGTACAGAATTAGAAGCATGGCCTACAGCTGATCAGCAACCACAACGACATAGCTGGCAATTTTCAGGACGTCAACCGGAGTTTGATAATTCTCGAAGATTTTCTCCACAGCCCATAGAAATCCAACATCGGCCAATGACTGAACAACCTGCACAATCTGACCATAATCGTATGACTATCGAAGATATTAAACAAGCTCATAAGGCTGTGAAAGAAGGTGAAAAAGTTCTCCGTATGCTGGATTCCTCAAATGCGGGACAGAAAATGGAGGATTTGGTAAGAGAACAACAAATGGAAGCAGCACCAAAACATAGATCCCAAATACCAGTAATAGATTATAATTCACGAGATGTCACCATGGTGAGTCCTAGACCTGACATGATCATTCCTGATCAATATCCCATGACAAATCTTGGAATGGATATAACAATGAATGCTTCAAGAAATCGAGTGCCATCACCTTTTTTACCAAATGAAGTTCCTCTTACAGTTGTTACTAATGAACCCCCATTACCTGTTGTTCGAAATGACATACCAGTACTTACAACTGTTCCAGCAGCTTCTAAAATGGATGAGAAGGGAGGTGATGAAAGGATGACATTAGCAGATATCAAAAGAGCTCATCGAACTGTTAAAGATGGTGAAAAGATGCTCCAAATGTTAGATTCATCAAATGCTGGAAGAAAGCTAGAAGATGTTGTTTTTGAGCACATAGAAGTAGATTTACCAAGCAATAGAAATTCGGCCGATTACACTGTCATTCAAAAACCCAGCACAATGTCAAGTTCTTACTCCGATTCATCCGGTTCACACCATGGTCGACCTTCAATGTCAAATTCCTGGTCCGGTTCATCATCAGAAAACAGTGATACAAAAAAAAACTTCAGTACAAAAAAAAACTCCGATAATGCAGTTTTCATTCCAGCAAGTCATCTTCCCGCCACAGTAATTGAAAGCAGATGTGAAAAAACAGCCCCAGATCCCACAGGAGAAATAACAGAGTCTCAATTATTACGTGTAGAAAGTTTTGGGGAAATTGATTCAGAAGAATTTCAAAATGTAATCAATAGAGGTAAAGCTTTAATACAGGCTGACAAAGCTCATATCGACACAAAAATATTGCCTACGTCTCAGGTTATTCAAAAAAATACATCCCTGGAAAGTAGGATATTACCTGGACAACCCATTGCTGTTTGTCGAGCCAGTGATGTATCAAATGTTAACGTACCTCATGGGGACATCTTACGTGCGCCATCTTTCATATCAAGCGCTGTTGCTCCAGTTCCCTCACCAAAAGCTAGAACATCGGTTAGAATTGGCACAAATGACATACCCCCTCCACACCAAGAGGTCATTGAAGTAACTCGACCATCAGTAATAAAAGGCAAGAAAGGGCCAAAAGAAAACAAAAATGCAAAATCAGTTCACTCCTGTAAAATGTCCTATCCACCGCGTCATTTAGCTGAATATATGGATGATACTTCTGATTCATTAACCACTGACTTCTCTAGCACAGGTCCATCAGATGCTGATCCATCTGGGTTATCAAGTACTGATGACGATGTCTTTTCCGATGTCAATGAAAGTTCACAAGCCTTCAGAAGAAACAAATTAATTGAAAATAGGGATTTTGATTTCCGGGCAAGCTTAGGTAAAATGGAAAGGGTTTCAAGCATCGAAAAGGTTTCCAGTGATCCTGTGAAGATATCAGTCAAAGCAGTGGATGAAATGATCAGCAGTCGTTCCTCTTTAGATGAATCTTTGTTAACAATTGTAGCTGAACGGCATGATATATTTGGTCCAGAAGCAGAGGAAGAGCCTGGTTTCAATACAGGATCCTTAAGGGTCAAACGATCCCAAAAGTTAAAGTCACTAGTGGAACTGTTTGAAAGTGTGTCAGATAACAATGATTCTGATTCTTCTAGCCCCAGTACCAGACCCAAAGACAGACGCCATATGACATCATCCCAACCTTCCATGTTAACACATTCTATTGAATCATCATCAAAGTACGAGGCAGACACAGATGATGAATTAACACCTACTAGGGTAAGAACTAATAGCTTTCGTCACAGATCGCGATCCCGGTCGAGAGATCGAGCTAGAAAAAGCAGTGGACTTGGTTCAGACAAGGAAAATCGTATGCAATCAAGGAGTCCCACACCCAACCGCAAACCACCAGGTGGTGAACGTACTCGAGATTTAGATTTTCCTCCACCTCAAGGTTCACCAAGTGACAGTAGTTCCGATAGATCTAGAAAACAAAAATCTAGATCCGAAAAATATAGTAGTATGGGAAAACCTCCCAAATATAGAAGTAACTCTCGTACAAGAACTCAAAGTGAATCTTCAACATCAGAATCTGAAAGTTCGCTACATCATGATCATACACTCCTTCATAGACTAACCGATTGTGATGTTATTTTAAGGGATCAAAATCGAACAGATCTGAGATTTCGCGAAACTGCAATTCGTAAATCTATAGAGGATAGTCTTCCTGAAAGATGTGATTTACAACGAAGAGGCAGCATTAAAGAATTACGTGAATTTTTCGAATGTCGTAAATCTGACCCTGATCAAGAAGAATCAACTTCTTCAGCTGTTAAAACAAGTCAAGATAGAATCAAAAGTGTTTCTCCATCGTTTAGGGAGACGTCTGGTAGATCTGAAATATCTTCCACGTCTGCAATGAGGTTTAGTCTTGAACTACCCAGTGGATCAACATTATCACATGCCGAAGGAGTTCTAAAACCTCAGGCTGTGAGATTAGGACCAAAACCATTTTATGGTTCCAAAAAGTGACCATCGTTAAATCATCTGTGAAAATCAAGACTCATTTCTGTGAATGTGGAATATAAAATAAAAGAATTATTTGCTGGTTAAGTATTATCTAATATTGTGCTATATATTTACATAATTCAAAAAGCTTTTTATATTGTTTTTACTGGAGTACAAGGTGTGACTCTAAGCATTTCTTTTTATCTTGGGGGAAAGAGTCAATTGTAAATATTTGTATGTATGTATATCTTAAGTTTGAATTTTAAACAAGTGCAAATATATTCTGAGTGTGTTTATGTTATGATTGTCAGCAGGCTCTCTGATATATCTTTGTATATTTTTAATATAATACGTTTGTAAATATTGATATGGAGAGTGTGAAATTAAATATATCATGATTGAGCTCTGAATGTGAATATAAATCCAAGAATGTCTACATAAGATGCAAGATACATGTAGTGGGACAAAACTTTAAAAATGTAGCTGCTCAAAACTGGTGACAATGAAATTAATGCTTCAAATTTATCAAGATCTTTATAGAAATTTCAATATATATAAAGCTCAAAGCGTTAAGAACAAATTCATGAAGTAATCCCCCATCTGCAATATATAAATAATTAATGTCACAATATGTATATTATCAAAAATAAGACATAATATGTATTGCTTTATATTGTTTGATACACGAGACTAGTCCAACTGTACATAGATTTTAAATTAAAATTTTATTTCCAAGACAATGGCAAAAATTGACACATTCGAATTATATATGGCTTGGTTTGCTGATTTTAATATTTTAATTGTAAAGTTTTAATTTGAAGTGAAGATTATAGATATTTGTATTTATTTTATTATTTAAGAAATGTTTTTGTGCATATGTTTATAAATCTTGCCAGTATTTATGTAGCTGTCTTATTTTTTCTTCTTTCATCCGCAGTTTTTGTTCGTATTTCTGCACCTTTATTTTAGTTCATGCCTCATTAATTAGTAATTTGTACATTTAATACTTGTATCTTAATAATAGAATAATGGAGTTTTAATTTTATCATAATGTGTATTCATTTGTAAATTCTAGATGTATCTCCACAACCGCTATATTTTACAAACTCTTGCACATTATTCATAATTACAATAAGACATTTAGACCATTGTAAATTATTCAATTCATTTTCTTCTTTTTTTTTATTGACGTATGCCTACCACAATTATTTTTAAATGTTGTTTTTAAAAAAGATGTGTGTCTGCCAAATTTTTAACATTTTATTTAACAAAGTTGTCTGTTGCTGATGTTAGGGATGAATTTAGGTTGAATATAGCTTTTACTTCGGCTATAACTAAATATCATTAAAAACAATTCAATTTAAAAGCAGTGTTTATCTGTTAATTCAATTTGAATTATCCAAATTTAGAAGTTGATCATATAAATTTTTATTAAATTAGTGTTTGATTAAAATATGAATAGATGCAAATAATCCATAATGAGAGATAACATGTTAAAATTGTATAATTGATATTTTAGATTAAATGAAGTAAAAGTTATATATAACTGAGTGTTGAGAGTATAGATACTTAGGAAGCTGTTCATAATTTATGGACTTCATAATAAAGCAATTTATTTGTAAACTCAGTGTTTGCTTTCATTTGTTCAGATATTGTCCATGGTCTTAACTGTAGGTTATGTCAGTTAAGAATGCGCTAGACTTTATGAAGTGTCTATTGGGGTTTATGCCGACCTGTAAGGATAGGAGTATCCTAATACTCCTCGCAGTGTTTCCTTTGATTAGACATAAACCCACTCGAAGGGGATTTCTCAGGTCATTGCTTCAGGAATATGTGTTGGCCATGGCTCCACTCTGAAATCTTCCTAGATCATTGCATTCACTGGCACATGTCAACTGCAATGCAATAATTTGCATACGGATATTTCTTGTTGAATCTGTTTTTAATGAGCAGTTGTCTCTACATGGAATCATCTAGACATTTATTAATCTAAAATGTGAAATTCACATCAGCAACAATGATTAGTATACCTGTAGTCTGTTTAGAATCCAAAAGTACACGTAATAAACGCTATACTGGATTAGTTTCTTACTTCCTAAATTACACTGAGAAAAGAATAAAGAACATCCATAAACAGTTAACATAATACATTTTATTCCATGATTTGTAACAAAAAAAGGTTTTCTAGCACACAAATACAGGTTGGACTTCGGCATATTTAAACTGAACTCTGATCAATTCAAGTTACCAACATACAAGTACATCTTTAAAATAAAATTCTTCACCAAATTAAACCCCTCAATTATAGAAACTATGATCATTTTGACTAAGACTATATACAACAAAAGAAAATTGTTTCTAATTATTGTGCTAAAATTTGTAAAAGTGAAGATAATTTTACCAACAAATGATCATAATGACAAGCAGTGTAATATACATGCTAATCAACTTGAACCTACTTTTGATTCCCACTGGTAACCAATCATATTCCACTTTAATCAGAGGATGTATTTAAGTTGATGACAACCAAAACAGGCGTTACCTAAAACCAAAAATTGAAATGATTGCTTTCTGTCTCAGCGGTGGGCCTCCTAGCATCCATAACAAAAGAGTAGTTGGAAAGATATGTTTGTTTGATATTAGTATTCAAACAATCCAAATTTTATTTGACTTGTCAGTTTCATTTGATTTCATAATATTTCATTTGAATGATTTGATCGATACCAATGGGAATTAGTTTTGAAATAAATTAATGTTTAAAATAGTTTCTAAGATAAAATAACTGAGGAAATTAATAATTTAAACAATATGGGTACATGTAATACTTAATATGTACTTCTATGCAACTAGAAGGTAGTCAAGGCAAATTATTATTTTCAATAAGTCTATAAAAATTATTAAAATTAAGTTTAATTTGATATCCACCTCCCCATCCCAATACATTATCTGTAAATTATCTTCACTGGCACACACTTAAATATATCCACGATTTTATATAATCTGCCAAAAAACAAACGTCGAGATTTCATCTCTGAAGACAAGTTGTCATTTCACACAACATATATTTTATCCGAAACAACTCATTTATATCATTTTATAATATTTAACTGATCCGAACAATATTAATTTCTGTGAAATTAAAAACATTTTCATTTACAAGAAAACTCCTGTTTTTATGTCCGTATTTCCATATGAACCAGATTTAAATCGTTATGTTTAGCTCTATATTTGTTGAAATAGAATATGAATTGTGTCGTACAATAATATAATTTTTAATAACATATTGTTGTAATAAATTTTAACAAACATATATAACATCTTTTGATTTAAGAATGACACCGTAGGCATAAAAAACACTGATAATAATTGGACCATTTCAAAGATATTAATACCACAATGATTTGAAAAGCACTTATTAAACACAGAGGAAAATAAAATATTAAACTGTTGTCAAGATCCACAACCTTATCAGTCCACACATGTAAAATATACCACAATATGTCTTTCTTGTTTGTCTTCTCTTATACATCGTTATCATCAGTTCAGAAATATATCTCAGATAACACAATAATAGATTAAAATATAGAATATCTTCATTCATATACACCGACACACACTTTTATAGTTTTAAGATCATTTCTTACGATGACGAGGGCATACTATCTGGAAGTACGAGCCCATGTTGTTGTAAATGGCTACGGAGAATGGCATTTTCTTGTTTTAGTTCTTCACATTGTTGCCGAAGCAATTCGTTATCAACAGATATTCGTTCAGTCTCTTTTAAGGTTTCTGCCATCCTCGCGTTGGATGTACGCAACTCTGTGATGTAGTCACAAGCTTTTGATAATATTCCTCCCTTACTCTGCAATGATAAATTGACATTCTGAAAACAAAGTTAATAAAATATACTACATCTACCATCTTTCTCGCATACATTTCACATACATGTATATATCATACATAATTTTACTTTATAATTATTAATATTATTTAATAATTCAATTATATTTTGTAATAGACAAAATTAGTTGTGTCATAATTTATTTATCTATTTATAATAATAATATAACTCACAGCTCCAGTTTTAGCTTGTTCTGAGGCACAATCTGGTACAACTTTAGATAATTGAACAATCCAGTTGTTGATTTTGTCTCGTCGTCTTCTCTCAACTAAAACAAAAGTAGTAAGTTATGCAATGTTCTACTAAAACAAAAGTAGTATGTTATATAATGTTCTACTAAAACAAAAGTAGTATGTTATGCAATGTTCTACTAAAAGTAGTATGTTATGGTATATAATGTTCTACTAAATCAACAAATAGTTTTATGCAGTTGTTAACTTACTTCTTTTTGCACATAGACACTTTATGATAGTCTAGCTAAAAGTAATCAAGGTCATATTTGTTTCTTCTGTATGTTACACGACTAATTTTAGCCGCACGATTTGGGTTACCTTTCAAGAAATTGCAGGAATTTTTAAACTCAGGGTCGCTTACCATTGACATATGATATTTTTTTGTAAACCAAATTTTCTGTCTACAGTACATGTATGTAAATTCAACACCAAACACCATATTTTCAAATAGACATCAATACTGTTCAAGACTCGTCTAAAAACGACCAATCCAATGTTGAAGATATCAATTTAAGGGAAATAACTCTTTCCATGAAACAAAACCTCGAAGAAATTAAAACATCAACTGACCTTCATTATGTGTTGCTCTTCGCCTATCATCTCTGGGTGATCTACCATCCATTTTGGGTGTGTAAGACGTTCTTGGTGCAATACTTCTCTGATTTTGAAGCACATCTTGTGGGGACATCATAACATAAAACTGACCTGCTTGAGAAATAAAAATAACAAGGTGACAATCCATTTTGTTTAAGACACCTAAGAGAATTTTAATAGATCTAAAAAAAAGAAGAAAGTTCTCTTTTCTTCAACTAATTGTGAAAGCTTAGCAATATAAATAGTAATATTACCTCCAGCTGATTGCACTTGACCTAGAGTTGCTGCTGTGACATCAGCAGATGCTTGTGTTGTTACAGTTGTAGCATCCCCAGCCCCTTGGTAATAAGCAAATCTTTGTTCCTGTCCATCTGGAGTTGGACTTCCACCATTACTAAATGGACTTTGAATGACAGCCTATAAAATATACGTTATAAATATTAGATACTATACACAAAACTAAATAATACATAAATATAATTACATTATATACAGATACTCTTGGTACATCTCGCTGACACCTGTAAAGGGTATTATGCAGGGGCATAAAATAATCCAAGCTGGACTCATAGTTCCATAATTTTCCTACATTAATTTATGGAATAACTTTGACATTATGTATTTATTATCGGAAACAGGTGCATAGTGATGTTATTAGTATCTTAATCTAGTTGTTCAGTTTTCCATCACTTTCTGTATGTAACAATTGGACCATCTTCGTACATTGTTGACAGTAGTCCCTCAAATCCTTTCAGAAAATCATGTAAAATGTATGTGTTACCTGTGCTACCTGTGCCTGTGGAAAACCTGTAGTTGTAACAACCTGAGCAGTAGCTTCAGATCCATCTTGTGAAACCTGTACCACTCTATATGTTACTGGTCCACCTATAATATAAAAAAATAAATCTATGACTAAATTTCTTACTTTGAGCTAACTTGGAGGACTAAATAATCAATTATGGTTTCTTTTATATCTTTTAATTTTCATCAGTATTTATACATTGAGGAGCAGCCAAACTGTTTTCATCATACATTGATAAAAATACAGCAATACAAAGTTACCTTGTCCATCGGCACGAAACTGATACTGTACAGTAGATGGATCTAATGTTAAACCTTGACTATTAGCTACACTAGCTATAGCAGCTGCTTGTTCCTCGGTTGTTTCACCTATAACACAATATATTATCTCATTAGTAACACAATAATATCATTGATGATAGGCATTTATTGATTGAACATATTAACAGAAAGTATAATTTTATGCATACAAAATTTTACTAAATTAATTACTACTAGTACTATAAACACACATAATATAGATATGTGGATAGTAGTCAAATTCATACAGACTACGCAGCAACAACAACAATGAATACAATTAAAACATACACAAAAAGAAACCCTACTAGGTACATGTAATTTATATGGTGATACTAAATTATATTAGGATGAAATGATACTTAACCCTATTAAAGGTAAACAATTACTGAAAGAGAATGCATGTTTGTGGGATGTAAAGAACATAAAATATGTTAAAATAAATGCACAAGGGTAAACAATTACAGATTAATCAATGACGAAGATGTAACAAGGAAATCCGTAAAGATAACCTAATAGACTAAAAAACCACACCATAAAAAAAGAATCATGAATGATAACTAAAGTTTATGCTATTACAGGAGTTGGCTTGATAAAGATGAAAGTATCCTCATCTAACATGCCATAGAACTTGTAAAATTCAGTAATTGTGTATTCATAAAATTATACCCTGTGTTAATATAACACATACTTTTATTTATTTATAACATTATATAAAAAATAAAAATAACCATATGCACAACTTGGTTTATATCCTGCTGTGATGGTTTGAAAAACTGATAAATTTTTATAGAAATAATTATGAATGATGAATGAATAAGTTATGACTTGCCAAAAAGAAAACCCTAACTCATTCATATATATTGTCATCTAGTAAATAATAATCATATAGTAAAGCTACATGTATGTAATATTAATGTAACCATGTTAATTTGGACTATCCATCCTACAATAAGCCATGTCTGTAGTTTCAGTGTACATGTTTTATTATTTTTGTAGGTTATCTGAATTTCATTATCATTATTTATAGCTTTGTGTAATACCCACAATATAAAGCAGAATACAGCTAAGAAACTAGATTTACAATTCTTTGCATTTTTTTCTGTTTGTTTAACAAATCAAAACCAGTTTATTACCAGAATATAATTTAGATCAAAATATATTCAAGAACCAGGTTGACAGATGTTCTATTTCAATTATATTTTAATACAATTAAATTCGGGTACTGAAATATTAACCACATGTTTACTATTTTGAATTTTTGCTTTCAGGCCAAACTATGAAAAAAAACCTTAAATGTAGGAAATAACCACACCTTTACTTATTATTAGGTATTGGGCATTAAAGAGTTGACAGTTCTCGCTATAATAGTTAAAAAATAGATAATGAAAAATAAATATGTTCAATATTTCAGTTCAATTACTTCACTCTGAGCTGAGTTATCGGTGAATTATGCTGTAGCCTTGATTATCATTGCTACCATTATTACGATAATAAACAAAGTCTCAATTATACTGTAAATCAACACTTGAAAAACGTATTTAAATCTACTTAATATCGGAGTCACTCAGCCACCCAATGACATAGGGAGTTCATTATGGTCAAGGTAACTTAATTAATGTCTAATTAATAATTTATGTAACATTTAAGGCCTAAAGAAAGACCTGCAATAGGAAGATTTAGCTCTTGCATCTAGACTTGATTATGGTATTGTCATGTTAATAAATGTCTAATTAATAATTTAAATAGGTAGATTTAGCTCTTGCATAATGTCTGTTTAAATTTAATTAAATCAACAATTATAACTTCCACTAAAATGAAAGAGGTACTACAAATTTTTTAATGTATTTATAATTTTTGGAAAAAATTTTTTTCAAAAGGTTTCTGAATTCAAAATAAGTTAAAAGTATTAGTATTACCTTCTTGTACATGGGTTTGTAACTGTATGTGGTCTTCAGAAACTGGTGAATCATTACCCTTATCTTGGCTGTGAAAAAAAGAAAATAATAATAAATACTAAATCAAATACGTAGTACTCTAAATATTAATGATCCTGCATGTGATGTTTTCAAGTAAAATGGTTTGGGGGTTACATGAATCGGTAACCTAATAATTAAACTTTACAAGCATAATAATTCCTACAGACCTATCAGAGGCTGGATTATTAAGCCTATTCAAAGAGGAAATAAATTCCATTTTCATACACTAAAACAAGTACCACCCACATTCACAGACATGCATTCATTGTTAACTTATTTATTATTTTGTAAAGTTTTTCTCCATTTCTGCTAGGTACATGCATTGACTTTACCTAATAATTCATCAGTGAAGACCAAAAGGACTCGTTTTCCCTACTCCTCTACCTAGACTTATAATATTAAAGATAGGCTGGAAAGGATGCCTTCACGAAATTTAATTTAATATAAGCTTAACATAAAGCTTAAGCCAAGCATCTTTTTTCAAATATTTCAATGCAAAACAAATAATGTCATAAATCTTCTATTTTTAGTCCATTTAGGGGTCGTGATTCAGCAGTGTCTTGCGACATTTCCGTGTCAAACTGTAATTTATATGGTGATACTAAATTATATTAGGATGAAATGATACTTAACCCTATTAAAGGTAAACAATTACTGAAAGAGAATGCATGTTTGTGGGATGTAAAGAACATAAAATATGTTAAAATAAATGCACAAGGGTAAACAATTACAGATTAATCAATGACGAAGATGTAACAAGGAAATCCGTAAAGATAACCTAATAGACTAAAAAAACCACACCATAAAAAAAGAATCATGAATGATAACTAAAGTTTATGCTATTACAGGAGTTGGCTTGATAAAGATGAAAGTATCCTCATCTAAACATGCCATAGAACTTGTAAAATTCAGTAATTGTGTATTCATAAAATTATACCCTGTGTTAATATAACACATACTTTTATTTATTTATAACATTATATAAAAAATAAAAATAACCATATGCACAACTTGGTTTATATCCTGCTGTGATGGTTTATTAAGGCTGGATTATTAAGTCTATTCAAAGAGGAAATAAATTCCATTTTCATACACTAAAACAAGTACCACCCACATTCACAGACATGCATTCATTGTTAACTTATTTATTATTTTGTAAAGTTTTTCTCCATTTCTGCTAGGTACATGCATTGACTTTACCTAATAATTCGTCAGTGAAGACCAAAAGGACTCGTTTTCCCTACTCCTCTACCTAGACTTATAATATTAAAGATAGGCTGGGAAGGATGCCTTCACGAAATTTAATTTAACATAAGCTTAACATAAAGCTTAAGCCAAGCATCTTTTTTCAAATATTTCAATGCAAAACAAATAATGTCATAAATCTTCTATTTTTAGTCCATTTAGGGGTCGTGATTCAGCAGTGTCTTGCGACATTTCCGTGTCAAACTGTTTGGTTGTTAACCGCAACCGGCATGCTTGTATCATGTAATACAAATACTAATGCGGCGGCCTAGTTTAGGCATAAATGATGACCTACATTTTTAAGCTAAAAACTGCCTTATCACTTGAGCCAATTTATTTACTAACAATAAAACTTTAAACAATATCGACCATGGACCACGCCTACCACACGTTAAATATCAGTTTTGTAGCAGCCGACACTCGCCTTCCAGGTGACAGAAGTATTCCCAGTCACTGCGTGTATATTTCGTTCACGTATTTGCATGATATGTCGGCGACTGGTTTTTCTGGGCAAACAAGCGATATCCGCCCACATTTGTCTTAGTTTTCTTTCTTCTATCATCACTTACCTTGTTTCCAGTGCTTGGTCTAGCATATCCATGTGGCTTTTTAAAGTGGTTTTGAATTTGCCAGGAAATATAGCAATTTGATCACGGGGCCAAACAACAGGTCATGTGAGAAGGGAAAATGAACATGTGACAGAAATGGCGGATCCAGAGCTCGTTTATAGCGCATTAACATAAGAACAAATTTCTGGAAATCAGCTTTCATATATTGTAGAATTATCAGGATTCAATATCGCCATTTGAGTCATATACACTGGGAAAATATATAAATGGGAATCTATTGTACCACCTTCAAATAATAGTAGTATCTAAGGACCTGGTATTCAGAACTATTTTTTATATCGCAAGCCGAATATAAGCAAACAGACTGGCCGAGAAGGCAAAGCCGGACGTATAATGCCGTATTTATTCTACTAAATAATCATAACCGAACGCTTCCTTTTAAGTACTTTAGTTGATATAAAAAACATTTATTATATAGATAGTAAACAGAATATTTGGGTAATTCGTATCGCCAGAAATATAACAGAGTGTAAAATTTGAATTAGATTAGTGTTCGTTATGAAGTTTTTGTGACTTTTTTGTAAATTTACAGATGAAGTATTTTGGGTTAGCCCATTCAGTCACTCATATAGAGACGTAATCCAATGGCACCAATCCAGAGAGAGAGAGAGAGAGAAATGGTGTTTAACGTCCACTCGACACAACCTAGGTCATTTCGTGACTAACATATGGTTTAATTTTATTCCAATAATTCGCTTGCGCGTGAGGGTCTTTAGCAGTGGGAGGAAACCGGAGCACCCGGAGAAAACCCACGAGGTTGGACAGGCGACCCTACTCCTTGTCACGATCGAACAACCGAGGATTCGAAATTACGCCACTTGACTCAATGACAGGCCTTATGATACAGCGCGCACGTGCTAACCATTCGCCCCCCCCCCCTCAATCCAATGAGACACTTCTAAAGTTGAGTGTATATACAAATGACTTATTTTTACAAACATATGAACCCCAAATTATTGAACAGAAAAAAATGACAAATGTCTCCGATATTACATAGATTAAAACGGTATGACAATGGGGATGCTCGATTCACAGTCCAGAACGTCCCGAATTGACAGAATTGCAATCGAGTAACGTGGAATTCAGTTCTGTCACAGTTCTGTCAGTCCCGACAATTACGGAGGTGGTGTGAGTAGAATCGTGACGTAATTAAAATGTATCGGCTGCATGGTTGGTTGAGATATTTACTGATTCAGTCGACGCATGCGTTGTAGCCCGAAATCCATTGCCACTATTTTTGGGATTGAGAGAATTCAATTCCGGAACGTTCAATCGAGTACAACCAATGTTATTTGAAAATGGAGAAACGAGGCTAAGCTTCGAACAACCAGTACGGTGGTTACAAACAATGCACACATCTTGTCTAACCCTGAAAGGCTAATATTTTCGCTCAGAATAAAGTAAGCCCTAATTTGAATGAAGTTTTCAATATATTAATTTTGCCTTATCTATTTTTGAACTATATTATAGCAAGAACGACCAGCTCTTTATCTGAATCTTACACAATGCTTCTTTAAGTGCGGTAATTCCCACGAACAAAAGAATGGAATGGAATTTTATTGCTTCGAAACGTCCTTTGAGGACAGTATATGATATATACAAAAGTATAAAATTAAAGTACACAAATTATACACGGGCTCCAATTTCGAGTAGCCTACTCATGATCTCTCCAAAAACAAACACATCACAGTATATCAATTTATTTAGCTACGTTCTCGTAGTTACCTACTCATACCAGACAATATAAAGCACACACACACTATACATTTATGAAAATAGATACAAATAGATAGTGGGGGGTGGATGGCCGAATGGTTAGCACGTGCTGTATCATAAGACCTGTCATTGAGTCAACTGGCGTGGTTTCGAAACCCCGGTTGTACGTGACAAGGAGTAGGGTATCGCCTTTCCACTGCTAAAGACCCCTAAGCGCAAGCGAATTATTGAAATAAAATGAAACCATATGTTAGTCACGAAATGACCTAGTCTATGTCGAGTGGACGTTAAACCCCATTTCTCACCACCTTTCTCTACAAATAGATATTAAATAGCGGGGTCCATAAAATTGTGCTAGTCCGGTTTTTTATTTTTATTTTTGTCACGGTGAGCTTGATAGAGTGGATTTCCTTGTTTATAGTGTAATATTCACGTAATGTAATCCAAATATCACCGGTAGATAATCTGCTGGCGCGGATTAAAATGAAGCCCATCAAAAGATTTTACACAAGATCTTAGGTGGCGAAGACGTATGTTTGCTTATATGGTCAGATTTCTTAAGTGTATAAACATTGCACAGTTATCAATATGTCGGTAAACATTGCGGTGAAATCGTGAAGTTAATTGCAGAATGGAGGGGGGGGGGCAAGAAACAGCGTCTTGTCGTTCAGATGAGACTAAAAACCGAGATCCCGTGTTAACGTTGGCGTACAAAAATTTACTCCATATATTTAGCACATTGCATGACGTACATACATGTATTATGGTCAATATAAAAAATAAACCTTTCTCAAATTGTTAAAAATTTATTAAATTTATTGTTATGAGCTTCGCCACAGACGGAGAATGCGAATTCTCAGTCAAATATTCTAAATATTCACATTTATGCGCGTTACAAAAGCAGGGTCTGGCAAATAAAAAATTATTTTATAGATAATCACCTGCTTCGAATTGTTGATGGAAACGACGTTATATAGCCGTTTAAAAACAGCGATTGATTAATAATCAAATCAATAACTTTCAAGTTGAAGTATTAGTGGAATTTGATGATTGTAATTCAGGGTAAGGGTTTCACGTGATATTTTAATTATAAAATAACTTTTAAAATATTTTGTTCCCGGTTGACGGTTAAGAGGTATTTTATTTAGGTAGCTACGGCAGGTGCGCGATATGACGTCATATATTCAAGAAATTTCCCATCATGAAAACGTTGCCGATTCCGTAATCCCCGTGTAAACGTCATATCCGGTAAATAAGCAACGTGAGATTTGTATGAAAATATCTGTTCAAGATGTTGGATTTTTTCAGTGTTTTTAGTAAAGGTGGAATAGTTCTTTGGTGTTTTCAAGGAACTTCCCAACTCTTCACACCATCTGTGAACGCTTTGATCAAAAGCGTAATTTTACAAGTGAGTAGTTTTGTAATTATGTAGATCTTCCTATGTAGTCAAATCAAGACGTCAACAAAATCATGAAAATGTGATGCAAAACATTGAAACCATATAGGCCTAATAATAATATTCAATATTGGCAATATAAATAATTATGTTGAAATCAGACGATAAATAATTTTTGGGTATAACGGTTCTTTGAGGTCCAGTTTGTTGTACCTTGATACAAAACTTTACAGTGTAACGATACTTATATTTGTTGTTGATTATTGGACATTTAATAAAACACGACACGGATCTCAATTCACTCACTGCGTGTTCCGGTCGGTATATTTATAGATACTAACATATATACAAAAGAATTGCCTGATATGAAAAAATAAAAACACTGGAATAACTACTACTGTCTGAGTCTTGGTAAATTTTAAACGGATTTCTTCGATTATGAACAAACTACTTAACTTTGGTTATTATAAACTTACCTGTGTGTTTGTAATGAACTCCCGTTCGATAAAATCCATTGCACAACTAATTATCACAACGATGAAAACAAGTTCTCTCTTGAAAAATTGAAATATCACAAACTTTTCCCAGAGAAAAATACCAATATGGAAGATGGTTACGTCACTCTGCGGAAGATATCATTTTGTATTAGGGGTGACAGCATAGGAAATTCAAGTACACTTACGACAGGAATCCATGACCACTCGGACCAAACACCACTCGGTTCAAGACCAGTCGGACCAACTGATAGACCACTCAGCCCAAACAAATAGACTACCCGGACCATACAAAAAGACTATTCGGACCGAACAGAAAGACGACTCGGACCAGTAATAAAGTTTTGTTTTAATAAATTGATAATTGCGTTTGTTTTAAAGGGACAATAACACTCTTGCTGGCTTGAAAGCTCCAGAAAATAAATAATATCTCTATCTAAGTACTAGATGTTTAAGTGTCCTACCTGTTGTGTAAATTATCCATTACATCCTATTTTACTTGTCCAGAGGGTTCGAAAATATTTTTAAAAGTTTATGTTAGACGTTTCAAACCATTATGTTGAATATTTCAAAATTTTTAAATAAGGTGTGTTAAGATGAAATTTGTATCATCAATTAATTGAAATATTCTAAAATAGTACAATTTGTTGACCAGAATAAAGATTGGGACATATTATTCAGTTACAACAAGAGTGGTATTGAGCCTTTAATATGAATACTCGAACCAATAATAAAGTGATTTTTTAATAAATTGATAATTGTGTTTATTTTAATATGACTACTCGAACCAATAATAAAGTGTTATTTGAATAAATTGCTAATTGTGTGTGTTTTAATATGACTACTCGAACTAATAATAACGTGTTGTTTGAATAAATTTATAATTGTATTCCAAATCGCAAAATATCGAGAACCACACTTGTAGTCACTTTTAAAAAGGGACATATAAACGTCCGGTCTTCGTATTATTATGTGCTGTTTATATTAACGTATCAAGGGCGGATAACTTGAAAACGTGTCTCCCCCCCCCCATATATAGTAACCCAGGGGTTAGTGGGGTAGAACGGAATGAAACCACTGGGGATACCGCGAATGTGGAAAAAGTAAAATTAGGCTATCAGACAAGAACAGTATACCCGTATATGTAGAAACTGTCAAAAGTCTGGACATACCGAGTCTCATTGCAAGAGTAAATAAGAAAAATTAGATTGATATTTTTTTTGGCACCATTATTAATTAATTTTAAAACTAATCGTTGATTTATTTTCCGTACACAAAATTGAACTAAACAACTCTAAATATAAGAATTCCGTATAAGAATTATTTGCTTCTTTGTATTGTGATTTAATAATAAATAAATAGCATATTGTCTAGCCTTATAATATAATTTAATTGGTCCGACTGGTCTTGTTTTGGTCCGACTGGTCTTAGTCCGAGTAGTCTTTAGTCCGAGTGGTCTGGATACCTACGACAATTGGCATTGAGTTTGAGCGTTTGCACACATAACTACCCGCATTCCTGTATTTAGTTACCGTCTTTTACATTCTAGTAAAATCTCTGCAAATTTTATAGCTTTACTTTTTGAATTTTTTTGTTCTAATTATTTGATTAGCGACTCGGATGGGATTATTTACTTTTGAACACGCATGCCGCACAAACACAACTATACATTCGTTTTACGGGCTTTATCACACTTCGGTCAAAACTGTCGAATCGAGAATTAATGTTCCGCTTCTTACGGGGTCATACGGGCTTAGTAGCATTATATACCATTATATATGTTACTGAAGCGGTTATTATTCGATCGAAAGAATGCGTATAAAATTAAAAATACACTCAGAGAATTCGGAGGTAAGCTTCATGATCCTTGTTAAATTATTTATAACATAAAGAAGTATAATAACAGACAGCTTTATGGATGACATTCACTAGGTTTATTAACTGCAACGTTTCAATGAGGTTACTCTCACCGTTATCAAGCAATGATAACGGTGAGAGTAACCTCATTGAAACGTTGCAGTTAATAAACCTAGTGGTATCATTGCTTGATAATGGTGAGAGTAACCTCATTGAAATGTTGCAGTTAATAAACCTAGTGAATGTCATCCATAAAGCTGTCTGTTATTATATATCACTTTCACTAAATGCCTTTCAAAGACAACATAAAGAAGATAGGATATTTATAGTTTATACATGACTTTATTTTTACGAGTATCCAGCAATCAGTGATATTTTAATTGTGAAGAAAATTTGATAGACTGGCGATCAATGGTTTCCATATAAATCTCCTATGTAATTGCCTTCAATTGATATTTTTCGTCGCCCAAACCCATATACGATCAAAATGATCGCGCTGTCAAACTATCTTTCAATGTTAACCAACCCCCGCAACAGGTATATTGGATTCGACCAATACGTCACGAAGACATTGTTGACATCGACTCACTCGAAATTACAAGTAAATTTTCAAATTTTTCAAGAGAGAACTTGTTCTCATCGTTGTGATAATTAGTTGCGCAATGGATTTTATCGAACGGGAGTTCATTACAAACACACAGGTAAGTTTATAATAACCAAAGTTAAGTAGTTTGTTCATAATCGAAGAAATCCGTTTAAAATTTACGATGGTTCACACAGTAGCTAGATTTTTTGAAGATTGTAATTATTTAAATATATATCTAATTATTATATTATATACAAAAATGATACCGTATGTTGTAAGAATCAGATAAATTACATATGTATAAATATAATTATGAAACCATCACAAATCAGGTATTTATAGTATTTTTTAGTAGGTCGAGATAATACGGGGTCTTCCCATATTGCCGACTCACTGAGATTTGGAAAATCGACCGCGGCACCCTTTGATTTGATTAAAACGGATTAAAAGCATTAATGAGGCAGGGACCAGTCATTATTAATATAGTTCACTGAAATTGATTTTTACCACAGATCATTATTGACTTTTTTGCAGAAACAATTATTAAAATTTGTGAAAAGTTTGTTGACTCCCCCCCCCCTTACACTGACATTAATGTCCCACCCCAGTGTAATTTCTCTGCTTTTGAGCCATTGAATGTTGATGATGTAATATCAGTGGTGTGTCGCATGAAGTGTAAGTCATGTGCTCTGGACCCAATTCCTACAAAACTACTAAAAGAGTGTCTGGATGAAATAGCACCAGCTTTGACGATTATTATAAATGATGTGCTCTCCTCTGGTATTTTTCCGGATGATTGTAGAGGAGGCCAATTCCTACAAAACTACTAAAAGAGTGTCTGGATGAAATAGCACCAGCTTTGACGATTATTATAAATGATGTGCTCTCCTCTGGTATTTTTCCGGATGATTGTAGAGGAGGCCTTTGTAAGACCTCTGATTAAAAAACAAGTCTTGACCGTGATGCACTCAAAAGTTATAGACCAGTGTCAAATATTTCATTTTTAGCAAAATTGCTTGAAAAGATCATTTTATCTCACTCGAAACTCACTGCTCGGTAAATTCCAGTCTGCTTATCGAGAAGGGCATAGCACTGAAACCGCACTCCTTAGAGTGCATAACGATGTTATAGATATTAACAATGAAGACTGAATTTATTAGAATTTTTGGACTATGTTGGACTGCGTGCAAAAATTTAAAATTGTGTTATGTTATGTATTATAAATTTAAAAAAAAAAAAATAAATGCTCCCAAAATTATCTGCTTAATGAGGTTTATCCTTCAGCTTGGGTCTATTGTTCTTGGCCACTCATTCCCATAACGTCGACCAAAATTTTTCCTCTAAAATTCGGTGAGTCGGCGATATGGGAATGAACCGATAATACTAATACTAATAACACTCAATACTCGCATTGACCCAAGAGTAATGGTAAAATAAACCCAAGGAACATTGCTATAAAATTATATACTGTTATTAGAATTGTTTGGGAAGATACAATATTTTGAATATTGTGAAAGTTATGTATCATCATCATATAAATGTAGCCTGCGTGTATCACTTATTTCCACTGTGTAAGTGCAGTTGACATGTAACTTTTGGCATGATTGTAAACTTGACATTTGAATTACCACTTTACAGTGAGTGAAATATGTAGTATAGTTGTTGATGAATGGTGTCAGCACTGAAGAACCTGTGAACTCCTCACAGTAGCAGCAATACAGGAGTTGTAACTAGGTTTGGTGAAAAGGCAAAGGGGGACAACTTAGGAACAACAGGTCACAGAGCAATGAAATTTGAAAGGGTTCATCCTCTTAGGCTCTTATGATCCCAAAACTGTTGTCTCTATGGGTTAACAGGCAAATTGTTGTTCAAGAGCGACGATGAGCTTAAAAAAAGTGGTGTGTTTTCACTGTCTCAGACTGAAACTCATATTATAGGCTATCCATGTCTGGTATCGATATCAGCACAACCCTAGTGCTTACAATTTTAAAACAAGAAAGCCATTTTAACTTTTTTTTTTATAGGAGAGAAGTGGAAGCAATTCGTTCACTCATGAAAAGTTGGTACTAAAATATAAACTTGACAATGAGTTTGAATTAGTTTTTGTTGTAAGTACTTTTCTGAATTGTTTTGAATCACAACAATTATTACTGGTACTAGTGGTACATGATTTTGGACTGAGTTACATGTGATATCTGTGGTTCTTGCTTGACAGTTGACACACATAGCTAGGAGGTCAAATTATCAACAAAATATACATGTATACTAAATGAATCATTGATGTAATAGAGTCTAATTTAATTGTTTTTGGCAGGTGGCGTATCAGAATATAGCGAAGCTGTCGTATGTCGATAAGTTTTTAACCGATATTCAGATTGAGTTTAGAAATCGGTATAAAGATGTCTTACAAGATAAAAATTATTGTGGGACTTTTAATTTCTCGGATGCCTTTCAAAGTATTTTAAGACTTCGAGAAAGAGAGAGTGAAGAAGAGGCAAGAAAGCCGAAGTAAGTTTATTTTTTGATGTGTTTCTTAGTTGCTTCAATTAATCTTGAGATGAGCATCTAAGTGTTGAAGGATGTCATATTGTTTTAGTCTTGGCGGAGGGGGAATGGTCTTATTTTCTAAAAAATATATTTTAGGTCATACACAAGGAGTCATGTTTCGTGGTTTCAATTGCAGACTTGTATGAAACAAAGATTAGTGTTGCTTGTACAACCTTGTAGCTTGTTTCCACTTTTACTCCCACTGCTATTGACTCTTATCACGCATGTGAATTATAAATAAAAATTGACCATATGTTAGTCCAAACAATGACATAGTTTGTGTTGAGTGAACGTTGAACACCATTTTTCTAATTAAATTAAGTCGGGAGCTGAGGAATAACTGTATTTCTGGGTATACATGTATGTGTTTGATTTCACCTCTCCTATAAATAATACCATCTCCTATCACAAGTGTCAAACCCCTGTTAAAAGATTTATCAAAATCATGATAAATTTATAGAAGAATGCCCGGCTTCGCTCGGGGGTCATAACCCCGAAACCGGAAGTGGTAGACTAACGCCACCTGGCCTATGTTACTCCCAGGTCCGAGCTACCCCTATACCCCAAATTTCAGACTCGGGGCAGACCTAGTGTAGCCGCCAACCCCGAACAGACAGACAGACAAACGGACAGACAAACGACAGTCACAAATATTAGTATAGATAAGTCAATGTGTACAGCCAATCTGTAAGATGATGTTAAATCTCTTAAATTATACACTGAAATTCGCTTTGATTGGGGTTTTCCCATAGATATATGATAAGCCATTACCATTTCAAAGCCCAAACATTGTAATTAACGGAAAGAATAGTCATTTGTCTGAACAAGTGTGGAGATTTAACAAGTTGGTAACTTAAACAGATGGCACTACAGTCCATTCCATTCTATTAAAATATTTGGCACACAGAAATCACACAGACTTTCAGATCCAATGCACACACTTTAAACATTCAGTCACCCAACCTCCTTCAACGATATAGAAGACATTTTATAATTTAAATTCTGAAACAGCTACGAATTTAACCTGAAATAAATTCTTTCTTAATTACTACTTCCTTGACAAAAAATCTTCGAAGCTGTTGTTTCATAAAGTTCATCACTGAAAACTGATGACAGACATTTTGGTAATTATGTTATTTATTGTTTTATCTTACAGGCAGATGAAAACATTTGAAGAATCCAACAAATCTAAAAAAAACGTATCATCAATGATAGAAAATAAAAAAGACACCGGTAAAGATAATAAAAAACCTAAAGGAAAAGAAAATAAACTACCAAAAGGTAAGAATAAATAGTTGTAAATCAAAATTCAAACAAGGAATTAAAATAAGACACACAAATGATATAATGCTCTTCATGATTAAACATATATACATGTAGCTGCTTGGTCTTTGTTATTGTGTCATTATCCTTAGGTTTCATAATGAGTTATGGATCTCTTAATTTCTCTCTCTCAGTTGGAATATCCAGCCGCTGAGAAATGTACGCAGATAATGTTTTGGGGATGAAATTCATCAAGTATTTAACTTAATTACAGAAATACTTTTGATAAGCCATCTATTTGACCCCCAAAAACTTATTTATATCAGAAAGTATAACAAATATTACGAAGCATTAACCACTGTGTCTTAATGTTGCTGTTTTAGTACAGTTATTACTTGTGCATCGCTCATAGGCGTGGGTACTGGGGGGGGGGGTGGCCGCCCCCCCATTTTGGGCACCAAATGCTGGGAAAATTTGGGCACACAATTGAACTTTGTAAAAGTTGTATGAAATAATATTGCGTTCTTGAATGTGTCCAATTTAACAGCGAATTTATTATTATTATGTAACATACTAAGAACCTAACTACAGTCAAAAATTTCCCCGTATAATTAATATACATCATTACAAATTCTAGTAACATTTGTAGATTGTCAACTTGAACTACTCTTAAAGTATCACAAAAATATGTGTTTGGTAACAAAAGTATTCTCCCATTTTCCTATCATTGTATTTTCGATTGTGACTGTTAAAGAAATATATCTCTGGGATCTTAATATGATCAACTGGATTAGACATAACAGCCTGAAATATTTTATTTAAGTCTACGTCCCCTGGACGTGTTATTTCTCACATTAGAATATAATTTTATGTATTGATTTTATTTATTGTAGTTGTTGAGACACCAGCAACTCCTGTTAAACAGTATGTGGTAGAAGACTCGTATAATACTAATACTAGTAATGGTGCACTGGATGAAGAAACTATTCTCAAGAATAGAGCCAAATTATTCAATAGAGGCAAGAAGCCAAAAGCAGAATCGTAAGTTGATATTCCATCTCAGTGTTGGCTGAGAATGTTCCTCGTGATTTTTCAGCTGGGTTTACCCTAGTTAGTGGTGCATGTCAACGACCTAGCATGAAACAGCTAATGTTAATGAGATGAAAATTGCTGTTGATTTCCATCAATTTCAAATAATTACAGTCGTTAATCATTGAAAAATCCAGATGGTGGTCAATTCATTCAGATCACATTTATGGACTGCTCATAAGATTTAACTGCTGTGGTTAACTTTCTGTCAACTCATCTTTACAATATCTATATATGAAAGTACATGTATTGTAAATATATTACAGTAAAAGTCCAGTAGCTGAAAGTGAAAAGAAGAAAGGTAAAGCTGCTAGAAAATGGGATAATGCTGGAACAACTAAAGATATGGTTGATTTAAATTATTGTCAAGAATCGTCCAATGGTCTAGAGGAACAACTGATAGCTACATCAGAAGCTGAGGTTTGTTTTAACTGACATGGGTCTCTCATAAAGAATAGATATAAATGGATGTTACAATACAACCTTGTATTAGACAGAATTTCCAATTTTGTGAAACGAAAAATCATCACCCATATATATATCAAAAACTCCTGAACAAATGGCCAAACAGTGGTTGACAGTGTGTTATAATTTACTTATTTCATTTATAGCAGGCTTAGTGTGCCATTTGAGCTTTTAATTTATATTTTCTTGTCATTTGAAATAGGATACTTACAGATGATAGTAAATTTAATGTGTCGACTGTTTAACTTAATTATGCTTTAAAAAAAAAGTGTGGAATATTTTCATATTTTATTAAAAGGTTTGTATTTTTTAGGTTGCTCTTGTTGGACAAATGAAAGGAAGTTTACAAGATATAGAAGTAGAAAGTAGTGAAGAAGAGGAGAGTGAAGATGATGAGAGACCAGTAACTACATCTGCTAAGTAAGTTTTATTTATTACTCTGTTATACAGGGATGGTGTCATTCATTTATAGGTCAAAGGTTAATTAAAATTCTACAGCAGCATTTCCACCTATCCTTTGTAAACATTTTCGTGTACACATTGGCGTGCACGTAAACGATCCCTTGACAGTTGGAATTCGATATAAGAGAAGGCCGTAGTGTCACTGTCCGGGCAAAATTTCTCTCATAGCACACTGTATAGCGTATGCCCGTCTTCATTAGCCCAGTTTGGAGCAGAACAGTAGGATGTTAAACTCCATTTCATTTCATTTCAGTATGAACAACTAGACAATGTTTTTTGCCAGACCCTTCGTTCTGTATTACTGACATGGTAACTATCTTCAGGTGGCTCCTCATTCTTTCAATGTTATATTAACAGTATTGATGTTTTTATTTTTTTAGGTCTAGTAAATCTGCTGGTGGATATGGAATGTTTAGTATGTTTAAGAATTTAGTTGGATCAAAAGCTTTAACTAAAGCAGATGTGGAACCAGCTCTTGATAAAATGAGAGACCATTTAATTGGTATGTATTTATACAACAACATTATATAATACTGCTCTGTGGGGGTAGTTTATCTGGTTATCCATTGATGGTATGGATTAGAATACAATTAATGCCAAACCACTTGTTGTGAGATCAACCATATTTATTCTCTCTAGTCTTTAAATAGCCTCGGACATCTTACGGAGGGTCTGGGTCAGTTATTCACATTTGACGAAATTTTACTGGATAATCAACCACATAAAAAAACAACTCCCGGCAATTGAACTTTTTAGCTAAAGTTAAGAATGAATGGCACTCCTTCCCGGAATAATCCTACACTAGGGTGACCACCTTTACTTGATCATATTGCGAAACATTTCAGAAAAAATATATTTTGCGCAAAAACCCTCTTTTTTTCTGCCACATCATGGGCAGTGGAGGTTTTCAGCCAGAGCCCCATATTTGTCTGTATGATAGGGGGATCACGTGGCTAAGTGGGTAAGACGCTGGCTCGCTAGCCTGGAGGTCGGGTTTTCGATCCCTGCATTGGCCGAGAAAGTTCATCCAGATTTTCTGGCGTGATTTCCCCTTGTCAGTGATGCAGGACGGAGGGCCTGACAAGGACAGCTGTCGAGTCGTTCGGATGGGATGAAAAACCGAGGTCCCATGTACATATTGGCATGCACGTAAAAGATCCCTTGACATCTGGAATTCGATATAAGAGTAGGCCATAGTGCTGTTGTCCGGGCAAAATTTCCCTCATAGCCCACTGTATGGCGTATGCCCGTCTTCATTAGTCCAGTTCGGACGTTAAACCCCATTTCATTTCATTTGCCTGAATGATAGAGATTAGTCTCTCAGTCAAAAATTACATAATGGGAAATAACTCCAAAGGACTCCAATAACTAATAAAGGGGAGCAAACTCTTCCATGAAAGGTGGGATCGACCCACCATGTATGCAGGATATGATGAGATATAATTACTATGACACTTTATCTGAATCTTTTTTCAACTTAATTTTAAAGCTTTTCCAACTAGACCATTGGTGATTTCTGGCAGTATTTTTATTGTATCCTATGTCAATCTATAGATTTGTCATCTTTATTTTCCAGCCAAAAATGTTGCCTCTGACATTGCACAGAAATTATGTGATTCTGTTGCTGTAAAACTAGAAGGAAAAGTTCTTGGAACTTTTAGTAGTGAGTTGATAGTTTTATTGTTTGTTTTGATGTTATTTTAAATTAATATGATTTCCATTTATTTGAAAGTTTGTATATTTTAATATTACTTGATTCTCACTATACTTACTACGTGCAGGAGGACCGCACAAGACATAAAATAGTTAAGACAAACATGCGGACAAGATACATAAACCACAGAGACATTGCAATCAACAAACAACATAGGTATATATGAAATCCAGTGAATTGATCGTGAGGACCAACTTTCTACTGTTTCATAAATATACTTGATTAGATACATTTGGTGGATATTCTAAATGTTAACATGTCCATAATCTTGTTGTTTATTTATTGTAAAGTGCCCCTTAACATGTTATATGAAAGGGTGCACTATGAATATGCTGTAATAATAATAATAACTTCAAATAATGTGGTTAAAAATTCAACTAAAACTCTTGTTAATTTTCCTATGGTGTAAAAAAAATAAAATTTGTGAATGGAAAGATGTGTAGTGTATTTTTCTTTGTCCAACATGGATTTCTGGATTTTGTGGGGTAATGGCCAAGTTTAGATTTTATTTGTATCACTCTAATACAAATTACATGTGATTTTCAAATAATTTTGTTTCTATTTTTACTAGGAATTACAACAACTGTAAAATCGACTCTACAAGATTCATGTGTTCAGTTGTTGGCACCTAAAAGACGTATAGATATATTACGTGATGCTATGGATTGTAAGATAAAGAAACGTCCATACTGTATAACTTTCTGTGGAGTGAATGGAGTTGGTAAATCTACCAATCTAGCCAAGGTAAATCCTTATACTAATTACAGTATTAAGACCTCGCCATTATTTACGGTCTTTGATAATTTATAACACTAAAATTCATATAAAGCCGTAAAATTTTAATATTTCCACCCTTTATTATTGTTTTCACGTTGCTATTTGTTTGTAAATTTAATTTTGAAGTAAAGTCTTTTTCAATCTGATCTTTCTTACCTAATGTTAATGACATTGATGACTTAGAAACAAGAGCCAATAAGTCCACTTACACACATGATCAACTACAATCATGATGTTATATCGAAAACCTAAATAATTCAAGTATCTGTACTATAAATATATTGGTATGATACAATATACTGAAATTCAATTATCTTCATCCCAAAAATAGTGACAATTGAGTGAAATGGGGTGATTTCAGGGTAAAACATGTTGTGATTAATTCTGTCAATTCGGGACGTTCCGTACTGGCAATCAAACATCTGCCAATAAAACTTGGAAGTCGGTTCTTTTATACATCATAATAAATGATTGTTTCTTCTATTTAGATATGTTTTTGGTTGATTGAGAATGGATTCAAAGTATTGATAGCTGCTTGTGATACTTTCCGTGCTGGTGCTGTAGAACAACTAAGAACACACACTCGTAAATTAAACGCTCTCCATCCAGCAGAAGCTCATGGTGGTCAGCAGATGGTACAACTATATGAGAAAGGTTATGGTAAAGATGCGGCTGGTATTGCCATGGAAGCCATCAATTATGGTAAATATTTTATATATTTCTGTATGATATACAGATGAAGTAGCCAAGAAGAAATGTTTTACAATTGTTCGGATATAGTTGATCTATTTAATCTGTTCTATTGATTGAGAAGAAGAGTTATTTAAGTAATAAAGTATATTGTATATTGTAGCACGTGATAGTCATATTGATGTAGTTCTGGTTGATACAGCTGGTAGAATGCAGGATAATGAACCTCTTATGAGAGCTTTAGCTAAGGTATTTTATAGGATTTTCTTAGATAATAAACCTATAGTCTTTTTCAAAATAAATAAGCAATGTAAAATGTATGAATATTTGAAGAAATGATGAATAGATTTTGACGTATTTATCTTTAAGCATATCAAGAGATAAATGAATTCCTGTTTAATTTGTTATGATAATTACTGAATAGTGGATCATAATCTACACACATTGATAAATATATTATTTTCTGCTTATCAGAAGATAAATAAAATTTGATGTATTTATATTTCAGTTAATCAAAGTCAACCAGCCGGATCTGGTTTTATTTGTGGGTGAAGCTCTAGTCGGGAACGAAGCTGTTGATCAGCTGACTAAATTTAATCAGGCCTTAGCCGACCATTCTAATATGACTGATCCTCGTCTTATAGATGGTATTATACTCACCAAGTTTGACACTATTGATGACAAGGTTTGTATAAATATCTTGGCAATATTGTATTAAGAGGGGTTGGGTGGCCGAATGATTAATGCATGCATCATAAGGTCTGTCATTGAGTCTTGTGGTGTGGTTTTGATTCACTGCTTGTATGTGACAGTTAGTAGGGTCGCCTGTCAAGCCTTGTGGGTTTTCTCCATTTTCCTCCCACTGCTAAAGACCCCTAAGCACAAGCAAATTATTCAAATAAAATTGAACCATATGGTAGTCCCGAAATGACCTAGTTTGTGTTGAGTGGATGTTAAGCCCATTTCTCTCCCTTCTGTATTAAAATTGTGAACCTTATCAGTAAGAAAAGCTGGAATAATGCTGCCGTCGTTGGAACCGCTTAGTCAGTTATCAGGACTGACTGACCTCATCACTCTTCTGTTATTTGTCATATTCAGATTAATACATGTATTTTCATAAACCTTGGATGTTGCGTGGCTGAATTGTCAACACACATGCACTTTAGATCATAAGGTCTGTCATTGAGTCAAGTGGCATGGTTTTGATAAGGAGTAGGATTACCGCGTTTTCTCTACGCCCAGTACCGAAATGACCTAGTTGTGTTGAATGGACATTAAACCCCATGGCTCTCTCTCTTCTAATAACCTAATCATCAGCAGATGCTTCTCAAAGTGTTTCAATATTATAGTCATTTACAGAGCTGAATAATAATCAGAATTCTACCCAGGTTAGGGATTGTTCAGTCCCCATAGTCACATTCTCTGATATTTCTGCATCTTTTCAGTCTTTATTAATGTATTTTTACAGGTTGGTGCTGCTATATCTATGACCTATACCACAGGTCAACCTATAGTATTTGTAGGTACTGGACAAACTTACACAGACCTTCGTAATCTTAATGCAAAGGCAGTTGTTAATTCTCTTTTGAAAGCATAAATTGAATTTTATTTCTTTGTACATACATACATTGAACTTTATTTTACCTACAATATTGTATCTATATTGTCACATCTGTTTTTATTTCTGTATCTCAAATTCTGTTTGTATGGTATTATGGTGACCACTGGTCATGCAAATAAATCTTAATCCAGTAAAATAGTGAAATGTTCTGTAAATCGAATATTATGATATATTCTGATAATTAAAAGTACATCTAAAAGTCCACTAAGAATCACCAAATGCTTTGTCAAAATCAAAATTTTTTTGTTCGTCAGTCAAAAAAAGTCAGATTCTTATAACGCATTAGAGCTCACCAAATATCAAAAAAATTTGAAATAGCTGAGAAGAAAGCCAACCACATGTAGGTAGCATTGCCTCTATGTATGTTCAGTATTTATCTGTTGTTTTTCTTTATCCCCAAAATATTGGTCTGTGTCATAGCGAGTTAAAGGTTGTCACTACATCAAATACTTTATGTTAATTATATCTGTTAAATTTATGCTATTGTATATAAATGATATTACTGTCTGTTACCAAATTAAATCTGAATTTTTTAAATTATTGTCAATCCAGATATAAAATAAATGTTTTATTTAAATATATTATGTAGAGAAAAAACAACTTTGTCATAATGGTGTTGGAACTTGGCCTTTATGGTTGTTTTACTAAATGTCCACGTCCGATTTTTGGTGTGGGTTTATATTTATAATAAAATGTTTAATTCTTGAAATTTTCTTGTATTTAATATGAAAGTTGAAAAATGAGTTTAACAGTGTACTCCAACACTATAGCATATCGAGATTAATAAAAAGTTGATCTTTAATTCATCAGTTCACTTCAGCATTGCTGGGAATCCCCATAAAAGTTTGTGCACACAAGCTTGCTCCTCACTAAATTTAATTATGCAGTATGTGTGTATGGGACAGATTCCCCCAATCAAAAATCCAATGCTTTAGATCATTTTGCCACCCAACAAGCATGTACTAACAGTAGAAGACCTTGATTATTCAATGTAGACCCAACATGGAATGGGTTCATCTAAAAAATTGAGCAATGCAGTGGAAAAATTTTTCCAGTTGTAAGTTGAAATTTTCTACACCACATGCCCACAAGTTTTTGCCTTTGAGATTTAGGACATTATTTGAAACCAAATACGCTGGAAACTCAAAATCAGATACTAAGAGTAAAGTTATTTCATTTTAAATGACGAGACCAATCAGATTGCAGTAGGCTATTTAGACATGTTCCGATGTTAATCTTCTGACTTACTGATGATATAACGTTAATTCAGTCATGGTTTAGTTGATATCCAATCACTGGAAGTAAAGTTATGGGTTTCATAGAATCAGATTGCAGTTGTCATCCATGGTCGAACATTGGTACATGATTGTGATCTTGTTCTTTTATCACAATCCATTCACAATAAGTCAACCATGTAGCCGAGTACTTTATGCACAAATGGGGTTTGAATTAAAATTCCTACCATCCTGGGACTAAGTTTTCAGCAGACAGGGGCCTGGACAACAGCACGTTGACAAGACCGACCAGTTATCTTACAAAGACTACATAATTGCACACTACCAGTACTCATCCTACTGCAAGAGGTTCACATGTTAATCTGTGCCGACCCCACCCAGTTAATGACTTGATTTTTACCCCTTGTGACTACTTTTCCCTGTAAAATAAAGTTATGGTCTCTGTGGTTTGTTTACTTCTCATGTCTAGTTTACAACCATGATTCATTATGTTTGACAACAGTCACATCAGTGTATAATAATGAATTCTCTAGAATTAAAGTTATCTTGCTCGAAAGATAGGCAATAATAAAATTGACCAACATATAAAAAAAACAAATTTTCATAGGTAATGTTCATAAAAAAAAGACGAAAGTTTATTCACATAGCACACAATTGCCTTCATTTGCAATATTTTTTAAACCTATATTTTTTTTAGCCAAAGAAAACTTACAAAATACATTATCTTGAAAAAAAACCCCAAAATCATGCTCTGTACAATAACGTTGAAAATGACGCAAATTGCTTTTAACAGAACAAGATTAAAACTTGTATATTTGGTACAATGTACAACCAAAGCTGATTTTAATAATATTTAATTAAATACTTTTAATACTGTGAATAATTTGATTAAACACAGGATTTAATATCAAGCAAAATCATCAATAGAATTTAATAACTATACCAGTATTCAGAATTTTACATACAACTTCCCTGAAAGAATATATTTATAAAAAGCATCACCACTGGCAGATGAATTAATAAATGTGTTGAAATCAATGAATCTGGTGAACATCTGTAGTGATATGTGAAACAAGCTAGATATGGAATAATTAATTCCATGAAAGAATTCAACTTGCTAATAAACTATCGAACCTCAAGCGAATAATGGATTTAATATTTCCAATACAATGATCCAGTACAAAATAAATTTAGCAATATATAATAATACAGGCAACTTTGTGGATAACATTAACAACATATATCAACTGCAACGTTTCAATAAGAAGGTTACTCTCGCCGTTATCAAGCAGTGATATTGACAGTAATCTTATTGAAACATTATCCATAAAGCTGTCTGTACTATTACAAATAATTTACATGTTGGGTGAAAGAATATAATTATTTTTCAAGTTATGATTTCATCTACCAACAATCCCAAATGATATACACTCAAAGTTGAGAGATAAATTCACTTTGGTTTTTTCTATGAAAATATTTGACACAAATGTTTATTATTCTATTTGGTATAAAAATTAAAGTACAAATTAGATAAAAATACTGTGAAATTAACATAGATGTGGAAAATATAATCACCGAGTAAAAGATGTCTACCCACTTTAAGTAGAAATTTGATTCCTTTCTCTGATTTTACTCTTCATGATTAATTAAAATTCTTCTTTACACTAAGCACAACAATGTTTTGATGACCACAAAATTATTTTTAACAAAATTCATCAAATATAACTTAGAGTCTGTAATAAATAGAATATTAATATGACAACAACTAAATCAAAATTCAATTACACAAAAACGATCCATATAAGAAGAAGCCATGAATTTTGTCATGTGAAAAGTTTTTCTTCTCTCTAAAGAACTTTATAAAGCTAAGGAACGCCAGCTCAAAACTTCTGTTGTACAGCAGACATTTTCTCCACTTGGCTGTCTTCTGTTTTATTAAAATCTGAATTACCTAAAGATGACAGCCAGTAACACATTGAAAAAAAAAAAAACAGTACATAGATTGATTCCATTTAATGAATGGAATATTTTCATAACAAGCACAACATTAAGATCTGAAAGCTGAGGTTTCTTGGCTTTAGTTGAGGACATTGAAATATTTTCTATAGGTCATGACCCTTTAAAATCCTTCAACATCTGGTATCAACCTTTAAACATAACACAGATAGAAAATTTAGTAGAAATACACTTTATAGAAAAAAATATTCCTGATTTAAAAATTGACAGTTGCCTAAAAATTATTATTTAACCTATTGCCAATAGAAGTGTTAAACTATTGATGCTTCATATATTCCATATCTACAAAATTGGCTAGAAAATTTCATATACATCAAGTTCAGATTTTCTAACAAATAAATATGTGTTTAACTCTCAGTAACAGCTGCATTGCTTGCTTAAAGTGATATATTATTGATGTAGTGAAAAACTATGGATCAATATCTAGACAATATCTTTCCATGAACAGATTTAACAGTTTTTAAATCAGAAATTACAATAAGTCTACAGATTAATAGACTGTATTGCTTATAGATTTGTTATGTTTGATCGAAAGACTCGATTATCTTCTGTAATCACAATCTAATAAACACAAAATATGGTTATCCATATCAGGGATAACACTCCATATTTTAGCATGAAATTAATCAGATATTTCATCATTGTTAACTTAATATTCAACAATCGTAGATATATACAATTAAATGCAAATTGTGTGACTATAATGGATTACAGATAGCTGTCAATCAAAATAAACTTTTAATCATATCTCTTTTTCGGAACATTTTGTAATTCATTCGTTAATCAGACAAAAAAAATTGTGGAAAAAAAAAATTACATTTGAAATTTGCCATATAGGATTGTGAGGGAGGGAGGGAGAAGTTATAATAATATAATAACTATTAACAGTCTCTGTATATTATTTTGAACTAGAACTTCTATTCACACGTTTCATAAAAAATAACATGTATAATACATTATATATAAACTGCATCAATTTTTTTGTCGTAATGTGGGAAAACATAGTTGAAAGTTTGTAGGTTAATATTCCCCATTATGCCTGTAATAGATGGTCACTCCAAACTTTCCTTTAGAACAACTCGACACACAGTTTATCCACACTTATATCTTAATCCACTCCAAATTTATTTACTATGTAAATTAAGACGCTGATCCATTTGATAACATGGGTTCTGTTGGATTATTGTCCGGTATCATAAATGCTGTTGCATAAGGGAAAATATTGTGGCATTGTGCCTGATAGTCTGTTGCCTCACGTTCACACATTCCAAAATCTCCTTTACACAGAGAATCAAGTACATCTATACACACCTGAAAAACAGAATAAACATATTTTCAATGGCCGGTTTCATAAAAAAAAATATTGTTTAATGGTAAGCACATTCTGTCTCTTATCAAAAATTTGTCTTTGTAAGGTTAAGTGGAACAGTGATCTAAATACACTGCCTTGATTGAGTGTCACCTAGTAAATATAGTATTTTGTCTTTCCGTATTTGAATGTATATTCGTCTTGTTTATGTGACAAGTGAAGATACTTAACAATGACTTGTCTAACATTAAATTGTTTGAATCAGTTTTATGTTTGTCCAGAATAAATCTTTATCTGAACTTACCAATCTTGTTACACCTTTAACATTACTTGATACTGTTGTAGCTAATTTTATAGCTAATTCCCTTGTAGAAGGATCAATTAAATACATCATCTGACCACCTAGAATACATATTACACATACAGAAGAATATAATTACACCAGTTTATGACACACCACAGCTGGACAGACGTACTGAAATCTCCATTCATAGCAACCAAAACTTGTTAATTTTTACACGTGATTGTGTTACCTCACCATGGGTCCATTTCACAAAGAATTCGTAAATTTACGAACAGCACACTTCAATTGATCAAATCATGTGTAGTACCATGTATATTTATCTGAGTTTGTTTATCGGTACAATTGTAGAGACCTGTGGTTATATATTTCACTGGAGTGTTTATCAGACAAAAGGCCATCTTCTGTACCAATTAACCATCAAAATTTAACTCAAAATCATCTTTAACACAAAACATCAAACCTCAGTGCACATTAAATCTAAATATTCTTTTAAGATTCAGACTATAATTTGTTCATTCCAGGTATTACAGTGGGCAATTATAACTTATCTAGACATATAGTCTTGTACAGGTAGCATTAAACATGAGTTTCAAATAGTACAAATTATTAAAACTTACCCGCAAATAAATGAGGAAGAGAGTTATGATTACGATCTAGGAATTGTTGATTTATTCGACTTATTGGTTTATTATCTGTTAATTTTTCTACTTCTTGTTCTATCACAGTTTTAACTCCTTCACTTAATTCACCTACTTTCTTTACTGTAAATATCAAACATCAATATATTCATTTACATCAACCATTATCAATATTCACATACGTACCAACATGAAATTTCTGACAAATTCTGATAATGTAGATCAGAAGTTTCTATAAAATTGAAATAAAACAGGTTGTACAGCAAGTCTTACTTAATTATTATCATGTCGTGCATACACAAAGTAAACTTAATTTGGGGTTTAATCTCCACTCAACAATAACTAACATAATGGATATCTTTATATCAATAAGTGGGAAGAAACCAGAATATCCAAACAACTGCCCACATTTTTCATGTCAGCCTGTGAGAAGCCAATCATTTATCAGGGATGTATTATACTTACCATGTAATAAGAATCTAATAAAACAAGTATGAAATTGAGGATCATCTTTATCTATCTGATAACCACGTTTTATAGACTGTAACATCAATAATAACTTTCCTGTAACATAATTAAACAAAATACTTAACACAGACATCTGGCATATCAGTTTCTAACAGATTTTCTCTAATAAAATAATGTGCTAATTTAAGATAGCACACAAGACTACTCTAGGAAATAGATCTTGAATCCACTAAGTCATATTATCTACTGTCAATTCAGAGGGACAAATGCCAAATTTTCAACTGTGTATATGAATGCAATAGCCTGTCGAAACATGGCTTTTGTATCTTTATACGAACCAAATCGCAACCTTATAATAAATCTTTTCATATCCCAAGTGCCTTGATAATCAAGTCAAGTTCTATGTAGAAGATGATATAACCTTGATTATATTATATATATCTATACCATTCTATTTACCTTTTCTAGAATATATTTCATAAGCTACAACATGAGTTTGGACTAAATTAGGACTCAGCAGTTGAAGTGGTTTTAAAAATTTGATGGCACCCTCCAGTGGATTATCAGTCTGAAATAAATTAACAAGGACCAACATAAAAATACAGCAGACATCTTTGATATGTTTTATTGACAATTTTTTGGTTGAAAGTAGGTTTTTATTATATTTTTAATCAAGATATAATCTTACTTTTGCTAATTCATCTGGAATAAGTTCTTCTTCTTTCGGTCCATCCAGATCATTATCCTGAGATTTTTTATTCTGTTGTTCTCTTTTCTTTTGTTCAGCTAACTGTTTCTCTCTCTCTTCTTCTGCTTTCCTTTCTTTCTTTTTCTGTTTTCTTTTTAACTTTCGTAATTCTGCTGGTGTTAAATTTTCTACAATAAAAACAAAGTTTGTATTATGATGAGGTACACAGAATGTATTTATAAGAAATACATCAGAATAGAAAATTCCAAATGAAGTATTAATAACACACATTTTATTCTTAAATTGACTTTTAAAAAATATCATCCAAATACATTTTCCTAACAGCAAGAACTTATTAGTAATTGCTCACTTCGGTAGCTCCAAACCTGTGAAACTCAAGCAGACAACACTACAATCGTTTAAGATTTGAAATTTTTAAACAGTTTAAAACTGAAATTTTTTCAAAATCTTTTCCACATGATAATCTTTACTTTTTAAAGTAATAATAATGTAACAATCTTCTCCCACACGATGTACCATCACAGAAGACTTGAATTTAAATTGTTTTACTGAAGAACAATTATACAAGCTGAGATTACAGGTAACTAAAGTTTATAGACTGATAATTTGATTTCTTTTATTTCCTTATATTTAAGTAAGCTAGATGAGTATTCGTATAAATATAAATTATGAAGAATAATTACCTGAATCTAGATCATTGTTCTGTTCACTTTCAGGTGTCCAGGGATGATCATGTAGATGTAAATAAATCTGAAATAAAGTCAGATTATTATATTTTGGTTAAAATCCTAATTAAATGTTAAATAATCATTTTGAGTATATTTAAAGGATGGATCAAGGAAGCGGAGATCAGATATTGTCCAACAACAACTGTGAACAGACTAAATCATTGATATAAGAACAATCAGTTGTTGAATTCCACATCAAGTTTTCTCAGAAGGGGAATCCACAACATATCATGTTGTTCTTTATGAAGACAAAAATAGCTTTATGTTACATTTGTTCTAAAAGACCTACCTCTATTGCAATGTGAGCTGCTCGGACATAAAATGGATGACTTCTCAATTTATCTTCTAATTGTAATAACTCTACATAAGCTCGTAATGTCATCTTCCTCATACAATATGTATGAAAATCAAACTGATCTTCTATTATTTCAGAAAAATGCTATAAGAAAAAAAGAACAAATTTAACTTAAGTTTCAAAAGACATATAGGACTTTCAGACGATATACATTGAAAGTCGCATTACCAAAAATCATATTACTCAATCCTAAAGTTGATTGCGGCCATCTTAACTTCATATTATTTTTACTCCCTATCTTTATATTTTTATAATCATATGTTGACACCTGAACAATAACTCATATCATTACAGATGGTATACATATATATTACCTACGTTTTTTATATTTTCATTGAATACCTTTTGATCTTTATTTTGTTAAATTTAATTACGTAAAAGTCCTTCTTTAACAATAAAATTTACCCATTTAAAAAAGGTTACTGTTATAAGAACTAGGTTCTCAAGAACAATCAGTTGTTGAATTTCTCATCAATCTGAATCAGAAGGGGAATCCACAACAAAGCTCATCATATTGTTCTTCAGTCATTTTTTGTAAACTACAGAATGCATTACTCTTTTAACCAATTATATTCTATATGCCAAATTAAAGAATATTTCATAAATATCCTGCAAAAGGAGTAGTAAATGATTACAAATATCTCCTGTGCCTATTAGTATCACATGTATTCAAACAAAGGTTTTTGTTGATTTCCTTGGATTCTTCATGAAAGCAACACAATTTGGTTTGACCAATACAAATTGTTATTAAATATTCAAATCATCTTGTAATAAGTAATATGTGTTCACTTACCCTATCTATTTCATGACATTTTTTAAGTGCTTCTCCCCATTTTCCTAATCTTTGATATGATGAGGCACACTCTAATTGAAACCACATACATTGCATTTCATTGAGGTTTTCCATTGCCGATACTCCCTCCTATAATAATATACATTCTTATTGGCAATGACATTCATCTCTAAATACAGGCATAAAATAAACTCTTTCAATTGAACTCACACCTTCATAATTCAATAGATTGGTTTAAAATGCTGATTAGCGGGTGAGCACTATCTGCTAGCCAATAAAATGAAATGGGGTTTAACGTCCTACTGTTCTGCTCCGAACTGGGATAATGAAGATGGACATACGCCATACAGTGTGCTATGAGGGAAATTTTGTACAGACAGCAGCCCTAGTGCCTACTTTTATATATATCGAATTCCAACTGTCAAGGGGTCTTTTATGTGCACGCCAATGTGTAAACAGGACCTCGGTTTTTTTGCTAGCCAATAAAAGCCTCTAATATAAATGTATTTAAGTAGGTATGTGCTGAATACGCAGGTTACTGTTGCCAAAAAACACAAGAACTAGGTAGAAAGGTTGGTAACCCTCAAGACAATATAAATCTACTTACCCTTGTAAACTTTGAACACATTTCGGCAGCTTCTTGTATAAGATTAGCTCTAAGCATGTATTTACCACATTTTGAATTAATATATCTATCTGCTGTATCTAATGACTGGGCCTCATCCATTAATTTAACACCTTCATTTATATCACCTGCATGCTGTAATTATAATATTACACAAAATTAGGGCACAATGTCATAGTTTGTATGAAATAATTTCTTAACTATTATCATCTTTCACAAATACAGATAATAATGATAGCAACATTAATTCATTTCATAAGGATTTAACTCCCAGTGGCTATATCTTACATTAAAACTATATAAAATCTAGAATAATGCTTTTAATAAGATTAGGTCTAATTTGGATCGAAAGTGATCTGACTAATTTAATAAAACATTCAGTTGTTGAATTTCTCATCATTGTGTTGATCAGAAGGGGAATCCACAACATATCTCATCATATTGTTCTATTATTAATACTTTATCTAATATGTCTATGGTGCAATGTGAGATTTTAGGCAGACAGTACAGTTTCTTATATCTAATAAAGCTTACCCTTTTAATTTTGGCCTTTAAAACATATAATTCTATTAGTAATGGTGTATGCTCTAATGCAGCATCTACATACTCTAGAGCTTTCTGTGTCTGACTTAAATAATCATAATGTTGAGCTAGATAATAATATGTCCACAATAAGGCAGTGGCTGGTTCTTTTTCTTCGGATGTATCACCTGATAAAACAGAAAGTAAGCAGGTTTTTTTTAATAACGATGAATATTGTTATTAGAGATCAGGGTAATCAGGTTTTATAGAACGATCAGTTGTTGAATTCTCATCAATTTGAATCAGAAGGGGAATCCACAACAAAAATCATCATATTGTTCTTTAGAAAAAAAGCTGTAACCATTTCAAAATCTGAGCAGTAATATAAGCTAACTTGAACTGAACACTAACCCTATTAACTGCACATGCAATACATACAACAGAAAATAGAAGTGGTGAAAAGATAAGCATGTAAAAGTTTGTTGTTAACTAAGATACATATATTATAGATATAATTAACATGTATAATTCTATACAATTCCATTGATCCAATTGATTTAACGATCTGTTGTCAGGTTTACAAGGTGAGTTTATCAAGGACAATAAAAACTGTGCATTAACGAAGTAAGTCATTAACCGTATATTAAAACTGTATTTATCAAATTATTGTAACTTGATAACAATATACATGTATCATAAGTAATATCATCCATTAAATTACTTACAGTTAGCTTCAAAATAATCTGTTTCTTTTAAGTTCTTTACATAACTCAGAGCAAGTTCTTCTATAATTTTCACCTAACAAATAATAATCCAATTACAATTTATAATCTGTGCGATACAAATATATCAAATCTATTACTAATAATGACACCATGGTGTACCATGGACTTAAAAAGGGGGTGACTCCCATAACATAGTTAAAGACCTGATTCAACTTTAGTTACAGACAGCAAGTTATGTTCAAATCCAATTAAATGCAAAATTGGAGATACTTCTGCCTACTGAGGCATTGTCGAGACAAACATAACTTTCAATTTACGAGTCATATCAATTGATCGCTGTAATAGGATTTCTCCATCTCAACATATATAAATCTTAAAGAGATCAGATGATAAATGTCGTCTGTAGACCAATAGACAGGGACGACAACAAAATACAACATTTCAATGTCAGTGTATAAAAAGATAATTGTGTATTTTTAAGCTTACATATGCAATGGTAGGAGGAGTCAATGGCAAGACTGTGATATTTATGTAAAATGGGTATAGGGCTTGAAAATTACTCCTGACTTTTTAATATTATGTTGGTATCCCCACTATATAATTTAAAGTACACTTTAAATTTGAGATGCTATTAAAACAAGCAAATATGTCACCTTGGCTGGGTCTGTGTAAAGAGGTCTCATTGTCACAAACAGTGGAGGTACTCCTTTCCTAATAGCTGTCCGCAAAAATGTGTCTGTTAACCTTCTAAATGTATCACCTGAAAGAAAAATAAAGTTTTATTAACTATGTAAACACTAATATAAAAAGAATATTTTAGAATTCATGCAACTATTGTATTAAATGTTACACCAACCCAGCTCCTTAAAACGATCAACATTAGAGTGAACTTATTACCAAAACCAAACAAAAAGATCCAATGCATGTGATGGTTTACTTTCATGACAATTGTACATCTTATTTTAAGTCTATCTTCATTGGAAATTTACAAAGGAATGGTGTTTACAACAGGCACTTATTAGTTTGAAAATTCACAGAATTTTGAAGCCTGGATTACATGTTTTAAAGGTTATGGGCATTAACAATGCAGATAATTGATGGGCAAATCTGAATTTCTATAGGATTTGCTGAACAATCTCAGCTAACTTGAAAAAAAAAATCTGCAAAGAATTAAGAGGGTTTCTGCAACAAGGGGAGTAACTCTTCTACAGACTGTTGTGCGACTCTGAATTTTAATAGGGTTTATATTTTTTCAACTGGTATGTCAAACAATTTTACCAGCCAGCTCTGCTAACATTAATAAAAGTTAATTAATCAGAGATCTGTATATTTGATATACATTACCTGTTGTAAAGGTTAATGGTAATCTTTTTGGTGCAGTTGCCCGTGGAAACTTCTTCTCTTTCTCGGAATATATCTTACATCTTTCTTCCACATTGTCTGAATAAATATATACCAGAAATATATTATAAAACTGATAAGGTGAGAGAAAAGCTATTTTAAGCAAAGCATTCGCAACATTAATTAACCAATTAAAACACTGATCCTATATCGTTTCCTTTTTTGAATAAACCTTTGTTTTGTTTGATGAAATTGCTTGCTGAGTCAAGTATTTGAGTTGTGAACTGAATCCTGGGAGACATCTATAGATCAACACACAACAAAACAAAGGTAAAAATAATTAGCCTACATCATTCAGGTATAAATGATGATAAATGGAATGAAATAAAATAATATGGGATTTAACATCCTATTGTTCTACTCCTACTGGGCTAATGAAGACGGGCATATGCCATACAGTGTGCTTTAAGGGAAATTTTGCCTGGATAGAGGAACTACGGCCTACTCTTATATCAAATTCCAACTGTCAAGGGATTTTTTGCGTGTACTCCAATGTGTACACAGGACCTTGTATTTTTTCATCTCGTCCAAATGACTATACATTGTTCCTTGCCAGGTCTATGTCCAGCACCGCTGACGAGGGGGAACCACAACAAAAATCCTGTTAAGCTTTCTCGGCCAACGCAGGGATCGAACATGGGACCTCCAGGTTAGCGATCCAACTATTTACCTAATTGCAGTGCATCTTCTAAGTATTTATAATATGCCCAGTTTTCAGGATTTCTGTCTGTTAGAGCCTGTGCTATTTTAGCCGCCTCTTCTCTTCTATTTAATTTTAATAAAATCTCAGCTGAAAGAAAACAAGAACACATTTACAAAAAGTGAATTAGTTTAAAAATTAAATGGATGGAATATGGGGAAGATGGATTTATGACTGTTTGACAAATAACTAACAGAGAAATAAGCCATAAAAGGGAAATCTAATTAGTAGTCATACCCTAAAAATTGTCCCTTTAAGCCTTGATTGCCCATAGTGTGTATACATTCATGGTGTATGAGCAACGGTACCGTTTTATCATACGTTCAATTTTTTGTGCACCTCAATCCAAGAATCAACTAAAACAACTGGTTATGGTGTAAAAGGTTGTTTATCAATAATATAACAAATAAATGACTAACAAAACTATAATAAAAACATTATAAATCAGCAATAACTAAAATACATTCCTTGCCCCCTGCCCATTAACGTTGGGCTAAATTAGAACCCCAAATTATGCCAAACCCAAGCAAGGCTGAAACCCAGTATATAGGATGACTTGCCCATTGCCTAAAATCTTTCTTTTAATTCTACAAAAACTAATGAGATAACATCGACTTACCTTTAATTTCTTGTACAGATAACCGATCTAATAACTGTTCATCATTTTCACTCAGAAATTCTAAGGCCTCCTTATACATCCCTGCTTCTCTCATAACAAAATTCTGGTACATCAATAACTCACTGTGTTCATAATCATATGTTTTTACCTGAAATACATAACAAATATTATATTTAACAGCAAACTCCACATGTTGAAAAAAGAAAAGGTGTAATTTACCAACACTGTTTAAATGAGATTTTTATGTGTCTCCTTTTATCACTACCAGTAATGAGAAACTAGGAAAACAGGAGTATATACAAAAATATCTCATGATATTGTATTATAACATTGCTAGGTTATTGTACATCCACCTACAACAAAAAACAGAAGAGGCTACTGTCATAAATCATAAACTTTACATAAGTTGTTCACCAGTAGATTCAAAAGCGCTGTATAGCAAATTAATCAATTTAAGTGTATGTGAGTTTTGTCGACAAATAGCATCCAGTAACAAAGTTCATCCTCATACTTACACTCTGGGTTTTTCTAAACTCATCTAAAATTCTTAACGCCATGGTATAATCTTTTAATAGATGATAGGACATAGCATATCCTATCCATGATGCTCTCTGACCAGGTCTTAATACCAATAGTTGATACCGTGTATCCTAAAACATTCAATGAATATATTGTCTATATTAATTAAACAAAATAATTTACATTTTAAACAACAACAAATAATACAATATATCATTAATCTTCCATATAAAGAAGTATTACCTTTTACAACAATTGATGTGATTTGGTAATACAGATTGATAGGGCAGTTAAAGGTTAAACAGTACCCAAATATGAGTCTAATCTGCCAAGCCATCATTTTGAACTCTCAATTCACAAGCTTGTATAAAAGAATGTGATGAACACTTGTGGAAAATATTCGTTAGATTTTCGATAATTAGCTAAATCTATTCTTTGTCAGGTACAAGTGGCGAATCCAAACCAAGCCACTTGACTGAATGACAGACCTTATGATGCAAAGCACACGTGTTAATCATTTGGCTACCCAACCCCCCTTTTCTTGATGAAAGTGATAACTCTTCAAATGACAGACTAGTTAGGAGTTTGATTAAAGGTTTGATGGAGCATATACAAAATAATGAAGATATAGCTCTCCGGTGCCAGGTATGGTACGTCAAAATACCCCAAAAATGTAATATGTAGTTGATTTTAGACCTTACCTTGTAACCTTCTAAATCTCTCATTTGTATTTGTAACAATGATAAATCTCGTAAGATCTGTAAATTATCCTGTAGAAAACAAGTAAATGTAATAAGAGTGAATGGCACCATTCCATTAGACAAGACTCACAAAACAAGCGACAACCTGGATTGTAAAAGTTTGTCAAAAATTCTTATCTGTCATCACCTAGATTCAAATCGGAGAACATGCTGACGAGACCAATGTGATACCAACATACAGTAATAATTGTCTTTTTTCTCCAGAGAGAAGTTAAAACTACTTTCCTTCAAACAGTTTATATACTTATATTGACAATACCTTGTCCCACTTAAGAGCATGCCTGTAACATTTAATTGCCTCTTCGTATTTTCTATCTGATCTCTGTAGTAACCCATACACATGCCAACCTAGATACTTCATTAAGGAGCACAAATACTAAATGTCACAATATCAAATACAATTTTTGGCAGAATTCAGATTCTTAAACTTTTGGATGCTTGGTTACGAAGAACTTTCAGGACTTAGATGTTAAAATAAGTAACAGGCTTATTCAACATTGAATACCAAGTCAGATAAAAAGCTAATTAAAATCAAAATTTTCAGTTAAATCAATTAACTAAAATGAATAAGGCATATTAACCAGTGTCCTTTTAGACATATTTATTCAATATCATGACACGAAATGTACTAAAGGGTTTAGTAAAGGCTTTTACTTCTTATGACACGGATGTTCAGAGAATATTAACTGGAATGCGTATAATAAATAGTATCGTCAAGTTGTTAAAAAAAATTAAAAATTTATGCCAACGTATAATAGGGGGAAGGGTTTCCCATTTTATGGCAAACAACTGGACTAATGTAAGTTTTAACAATATGTCCAACGATAAGACTTCAGTTTTTTTAGTTTAATATCAAGGATACAGACATGACTCTTGAGATCATTACGTAATCCTCTCCTGACATAATCATAGGCTTCTTCTTTTCTTCCTAGACAATTTAATGTCAGACCTTTCATAGCCAAAGTTTCTGAAATTATTAAATTCATTCAAATATACACACATTATAGATATTCAATGTTCAAAGTCATAAATAATCTCCTGGACTCTATGTAATCATATACATGCTACAATAAAACAGTAGCCCCAACTAAACGGTTAATAACTGTACTAAAAATCTACCTCCATGTTCAGCAAATTTGACGTTTGTCAAAATCTGTTTGGCAAATTTTAACCCACTTTTATACTGTTTCTGTTCATAACATTTCTGAAACAAAATCATTTTCAAATTCTATTACATTGTCATTTTTTGTGTATAATGCATATAATAAATAATGTACTATACAAATTATGTCAAAGACAACTTGTAAAATATCAATATTGAAACTAAAGTATATCAAATGTACTTCTTGTAGGTCAAACAACAGTGAATCATTTCTTGCCACATCTAACACAAGTTTATAATAATTTAACATTATTTTCAAGTAGAATTTTGTGATTAAAAAACATACCATACACAAAATATGTTTGAACTGACGAACCATTACGAGAATCGAACATGCACAGACTGCATGTTTTTGTAATCGCAAAATTCTACTTGAAAATAGTGTTGCATTATAAATTTGTATTAGATGTGGCGAGAAATGATTCCTTTTAGTGAAAAATAAGCATCACTGTGAAAAATAGAAGATAAGGATTCCAAAATACCACAGAGGTGGGAAAGAGCTATACTATGACATAGGGATGGATAGGTACGGTCTGTGGAGAACACCCAATGAGAGACTGTTCCTAAAGAAACTAGGCTACACTGAATGATAGCCTACTATCAGCACCTGAAGCAAAATCACAAAGTCTTTGTCATGTAAATGCCAGAATTAAATCCAATCATATGTATTTTAAATTACAATGCTGAGTTGATGCTAAATATAATATAATAAATAAGATCAGATGTAAAATTATTCTACATGAACTTCATCTCTAATTCTTCATTTCATCAATCATGTCAATAAAACGGAATAGCAAAAGGCAACCTGACAAATGACAGGTTTGACTAGTAGGCTAGAATCTGACAGTTTTATTATTGTTTGTGGCTTCTAATGTGGTAATGGACATGACATGAAAAGTTTCTGCTTTCAAAAACCATAAATTTATATTTGCCTACTTTTGTTTTGCATAATTCGTTGGAAGAAAATGAAATGGTGTTGTATATTAAATTTAGCACAGCGCCAAAGGACCTTAAAATGTTAATATCGTGATACTGAAAACTAATGCCTGTCCCCTTGGTGATCCCGATGCCCTTTCATCCCTGAAATGACGCTTGTCGCTTTTGCAAATTAAGTGTTCATTTTATTTTTGGATAGGCCCATTCATTTACTTGCTTGTTTATGAATTAGAGCACTTACCAATATTCTCTTAAAAAGAGCATTCTCTTTGGGAGGCAACGGGTTTATGGATGGCATATCGGTTGCTTTTATACAAATCAAGGAATTTACAGGTATTGAAATCTCAACCCAAAAACAAGCACCTCGTGGTGCGAATTCCGATATGGCGGATCAGATACTTCCGTCAAGTCACGCAGGAAAGGAACCTGAAATAATTTTTATAACACGATTTGGTGAATACTGAAATACTTTATATCATGTTTAAACAGTAATCATTTGAATAAAAAGTAAAAATTATTTTGTAAAAGTTTTCCCGAAATGCACCAAATGACGTAAATTTCCAAGATGGCAACTTCCAGTGAGTTGTGTCAAAAATAATCAATTACTAATTTATTCGTAATTTCCATATTTATCGACGTCTAGTCATCAATAGTTTTTCAAATTCATAGTTTACTTTTTAAGGTCTCTTTCTTAGACAACAAATATGAGCTCCCATCAATCAATAGATCAATCAAGGGAAGTGAAGCCATCGTCTGGAGCTGTCAAAATTGTTGAAAAACAAGCACAACGAAGAATCTTTAAAATTATAGTAATTGGTGACTCTAATGTTGGTAAAACGTGTTTGACATACCGCTTTTGTAGTGGAAAATTTCCTGACAAGACTGAAGCAACCATAGGGGTTGACTTTAGAGAAAAGACTGTGGATTTAGATGGGGAACAAATAAAGGTATTGCCATTGGTAAAATAGACTATAATACTATACTATCTATTATAGTAGTTTGCAAGTTGTAGTGTGGTGTGGTGTGGTGTGAAGCTGTGATAAACATTGAGTTGGAATCTGCAAATGTTCACACCAAATAATGCTAGATATATTAATGTAATGTTATATCTAAAACATAACTAGATGGTCCTATTACATTTTATAAGTCACATACAATATACAAACATATTTTAGCAGATGACGCACAAATATGGACATCAATTAAGAAAAATTGGATGCAAGAACAAAATGTGCAATTGCAAGGGAGATTGAATTTGATTAAATTTACAATGAATCATAATTAGTATTATATCATAATCTTTTTTCTTCTATTCTACAGCTTCAGCTTTGGGACACTGCTGGCCAAGAGAGATTTAGAAAAAGTATGGTACAACATTATTACAGAAATGTGCATGCTGTTGTATTTGTGTTTGATGTTACAAAAATGAGCTCCTTTGAAAATATGCCACAATGGATAGAAGAATGTGATCGACATAACTTGGACAAAAATCTTCCCCGTATATTTGTGGGCAATAAATGTGACATGAAAGATAAAATAGCAGTAAACACAAATTTAGCCCAGAAATTTGCAGATAGTCATAACATGCCGTTATTTGAGACCTCAGCAAAGGATGATGAAAAGGCCAATCATGTGGATGCTATATTTATGACAATGGCGCATAAACTGAAAAATGCCAAGCCCATGATGTCACCACACATGTCACGTTATACCCCAGGTGAAATAAGAGAGGTGATTAATGTACGGGCTAGTCCACATCATAGAGGTCTTCAATCTATTAATCCTAATGAAGAAAAAACTGATAACTGTGCTTGTTGATATTATACTGACAGTAGTTTTAAAATACATTTTATATACCACATCACATCAATTTAAAATGTATCCCTTTTGAGAATCGAGACTAATATATCTAAACTAACATAAAGTTTCTTGGCTGTTCTAAAACATCTGCCATTTGTATTTTTCAAATTTATTTAGAGACTCTTTTTGTTAAACATAGTGATATTTACTATTCTTTGTCAGATGCAATGATATATGCGGTTTCAGATCTTGTGGCTGTATTCAAATCACTGTGATTTTACTAGTTGCTATGCTTATTTCAGTTATTGCAGGCTTAATAAATATCCTAGATCTCTAATTTCAATTTTCCAGGTCGTTAGGAGCATCATATTTTCAGATCAAAATAAGTTTTGTGACTGGACAGTGAAACCAATGGCCTTATTAACCTTGAAGGAACATATCTTTCAAAAACTTGTATTATGATAATATACACTGATCTGTTTCTGCATTCTTTACTGAATGTAAAAATTCCTTTATATTTATTGGTATCTTAGATGTAGCACCAGATTGGTATTAAATGTTCCTTAAGGAAAATCAAATGGAATTGAAATTACTATGATTTAATTTAATAATAATATGTAAAGTCTGATTTACTGAAATTGAGTGCAATCTTTTTATCGCCCTGGTACATTATAACTGTGACGATATGAATCTCCCATTTTATTTCTCAATAAGGAAAAGGGTTTCTTTGTTTAAAATCCATTTTGTCATAGTTTTTAAACAAAAATATGGTGTAAATTATATGAAGCTGAATTAAGCTTGGTTCACACTATAGATCTGTAAAGACAGTGTTGAGTTTTAAATTTTAACCTCATGCATTAAAGAATCAGATGGTTCAAACTATAGATAAGTCACAGTTTGTCTGATAAACTTCTCAGTTGGTGGCTAAAATCAAGGAGAATAGATCTAATCTAATTGTTTCTTTCTGTAGACATTTGAAATGACTTTGACAAAGAAAGAGGATAACATAAACAAATAATTGAGAAGTTGTCTTGAAATCAATAGTGGGAACCTGACTTTTGATGTATATAATTATTACTGGTATTCAATATTCTCTCATACTCGAACAAATCAAAGAAAAAGGATTTGCGTAAGATTAATGTAATGGTACATATTACAGTAGTCTACATTTACATTGTTCTGTAAACATCTTTTTTCATTTGACTATTTGAACCAGTAAGACATTATATTTGCTGGTTTTTTTTTGTTTTTCAAATGAATCGGTTCAGATGAACATCGTTGTTGTACAGTTTGTAATACATGTATATTTAATCTCAAGCGATTCAGATGACATATCTCACTGATGGTCCAAAGGAATCAGTATGTATATATGATATCATTCAAGGAGTTAAAATAAAGGGAATAATAGCTTTTTCATGGCCCTTCTAATTTTATCATTTGCCTTTTTTTCTCATTTCTAAAAGGTATATCTTAAAATCACTTCAATCAAGAATAAGTTTATTATCATAAAATGAAATGGTTGATATTTTTTCAACAGTATGAAACAGTAGATTAAAGTAATATTATATTTATTTACAGCCCATCCCAGATCTTCAAGGTAGCAAAATGTTCTACTGTCAGAAAAGCCTCAAATCCTGTATTTTTGTAAAATTAGTCATTTTCCAGGACTAATTTAAATATGCAAAACTGTTTATTGTCATTTAGTTTTCAATTGTCTTTTTCACAATGTGAAATCTGTGATTTATGAGAATAAACTTGTTCTTGGTTTGACCATGTAACATTTGATGCAACTGCCTTCAGAAATTCAAATGATCTCCAAGCTGTTGTTGTTCTTAGTGTTTAACGTCCGCTTCCACCAAAGGTGATATCGCAGACAAGTTGTCTTATTTTTTATTTTCATTATCTTAGCGCACATGCAGGGGTCTTTCCTGTGGGAGGAAACCGGAGTACCCGGAGTAAACCCACGAGGTTGAGAAGGCGCCCCTATCTCCAAGCCACATATGCTCACATCAGGGATTGGAACCACAACCGCAAGCCAGAGGTGACCGGCCAGCTAGAGGTCGAAGCATGACACTCTAGACCACTAGGCCATCCCAACCCCCCTGATCTCCAAGCTTAAATTCCCTTTATTTATACTCCCAGTCTGCAAATGGTGTGTCTATATATTGAATTCTCCCTATATATAAAGTGAATGTTTATTGTTGTGTGCTATCTTACGTTTACTATACAAACATTTATTGATATTTGTTTCTTGTTTTTGTTATTTTAAAGATCATATATATAGATATTACATTGTAAATTTTTTTATGGAGAAGTATTAAAGTAAAGTGTATAAATTATGTACCCCCCAAAATAAGTTGGAAGCTAGGATTCATTTCAAGGGATGTTATTTTTTATGTGAATGAAACTGTGTTGTATGTAGTAACATTTGAAATTTAGGTTGTTTTTTTTCCTTTGATATAAATTAATGAATGTTGAGTTAGTAACAATAACATTTTAACTATTAATAATCATTCATTTGAAAGGGGAAATACCAACAGGAATGTACAGTATATATTAATTGTATTATAGAAATCTTATGGTGCATTACAAAGAAAATTCAAAAATCTCTTAATGGGTTTTCAAGAAATATTCACTTTACTACGCTTTTGCTTTATAATAAAGCTCAAACAAGTATTTAACTATTCAAATTAGAATCATTTTTCAAGGTATTTCAAACAGATGTTTTAGTATCCGTTATTTGATATCAATTAAGTCTAATGGAATTTGATATGTTTTTTGTCGGTATAAAATGTTTATAAATGATATTAATTCAGTAAAATAAAAAACAGTAATTGACAATCCGTAATAATTAATTATGTTTTTTTATTGGTTCTTATTAGGTAATATGAGTCAATAATTTGATTTTTCCAGGTCATTACAAATAATATATTTTCAGATAAAAATATGGTTAGAAAGGTTAAATGGATGACCTAATTATTTTCATGGAAGTATATCTTTCTATAGTCGTTGAATTTTTAAACAAAAGTTTAATAACTAACCAATTTCAGAATATAAGAATATAATTCTGCACTTAGTTATTTTATTATCTAATCTAAGTTAGGCACCAAACACTTTTTATGTGACATTTCACTTGGGCATTATGTAGCTATAAGTTATTTGATCTACATATTATGTACATAATTATTATGGTTAGATCGCAGCAAAATATATCATATTAATGTTGTTTTTCAATTTAACACCAAGGATTATTTATTTATTATGCTGCTTTAAATGTGTCTCATCTAGTCACTACTGATGTACTGTTAAATGGTGTTAAATACCGCATTTAACCAAATAAGTGCCTCTATGTGCTCCCAAATTCAAGTCAATATACACTGCTGGTCAGTATTTTGCCACATGTCCTTGACACAAATTGTTTGGTTCTTTCTACCTACAACCGGAATCATTATGTGCAATAGATGAGAGCTTTAAAGAAATAGAGCAAATGGCAAATCATAGGTGGATTTTTCAGATGTGGGTCTTCCATAGAATATGTGCACTTATTTGATTGAATATAGTATATGAAAAAATAAATGAGTGTTTGGGGTATTATAAATTTGTTGATTTTGTTAGTGAAAATGTGGAAAAAGAAAAATATATGTGCATGTTGTGTCTGTACAGTTTGAGATGAAGCAATTGAAAATTAAAAATACATGAAAATTACAATTTTTTACATTTTTAATAATTTATCAGATGTGTATTTCATTTTTGGATAATTATATTAAAGGAGAACTGCAGTTGTTGCTACTTCTTTATCTGTTTATTCATTACATTAATGTTAGAAGGATAGTTTCAATAATTATATTAAAGGAGAACTGCAGTTGTTACTATTTGTTTATCTATTTATTCTTTACATTAATTTTAGAACAGTAGTTTCAATAATTCAAATTATTTTGCCTTGAATTATTGAAGGGAACTGTCAGTCACTGTAGATAAATGAAAAAATAATGTGCTTTAATATTCATTTTTCCTTTTATGAGGTTCACATAGTCACATTAGAATGAGGAATAGTTATCTTGGCATATGATGCTGGTTTGTTTATGTACAGTTTTCCTTGTAATGTCACAATTTCTGTTCAATTTGTTAGTTAAATGGCAAAATTATCAGTGTTTTGGATTTTGCATTCTTGAAAATGATTCAATACTAGATAATAAATGAAATATGAAAAAAAAATCTGAGATAGCTGAACTTCTCCTTTAAATGACAGTAGGAAACTTACTGAAAGTATTTGTGTTTGAAAAAGTTGTATCCATGTCAGGATTGAAAACACAACAGTAACTGTGATAAGTTTTTGGTTGAAAGAAACAATACATACACTATAATCAATTATTATTGTTTTTTTTTTTTTAAAGAACAGTTATTTTATATGCCTGTATTAATTGTTCACAAAATGAATTATTTGTAAATAGTGTGTAATAGATTTAAACAAAAATTTATTTGCCTAAAGTTGTCTGTGATTTTGTGTGTTGAAATATATCAATTTTGTCTATATATAAGCGCTTGGTACTTGTTGCTCTCTTCTTTATATAAAGCAAGAATGTAATAATATATAAGTTTTATTGGAATTGCATGAATTGAGTACATATCTACAATTATTTTCCTGATAATATGGAACTACATTAATATAGAGCTGGAGAACTTCTTAAGGTATTTTAGTTGTTTTGATTCAAAGCGAATACTGGTACCTACATGAATAGCCATCTTTGTTGTTTTAATCAATTCGCTAGGGGAAAAGTTTTAAGGCCAGTCAATTTGCATGTTATCATTAGGCCCTAAAACACTCTATTGTCTTATTATTCATATATTCCAGAAAATATTGTTTCTAAGAAGGGTCTTAAAAAAAAAGATTACTGTAATTGAATAAACATTATGAAAAGTAAATAAAAATCATGATTTTACACTTAATTGGACCAAATGTGACCATTTTTTCCTGAATTTGGAAATTTCAAGCTGTGTGTGAGGGTTCAGTATTGAGTGTCTCACATGATTTGAATAAAATTGATTTCAAGCCCATGACATAAATTTTTCTGGGATATTGAAATACACTGTAAATGCAGTTTTATGGGTAAGAATTAAGATATTTGTAGTTTCTGAACAAAATTTGGTCCCGGTTTGCAATTGATAAGTATTATGATATAGCTTTTGTTAAGTAATTGGATTAAGATTGTATTTGGATTAGTAATAAAAATATTTGAGAGATTAAAATTGACACTTGTGTAGAAGACTTGACCTAATTGGTAGATATGACCATATTGTAGTCAAACTGACTAGATATAACACTGCTGTGACATTGTTATGTATATTTTACTACACAGCACTGTTTCTCTAAAGGAACATGTCTTCCATTCATATTATCATAGACCATATATGTATTATAAGGTCCATGATATATAATATCTCATTTGGTTTACATAAAAATACTTATTTATTTTTTTAATTAGAAACAACACCAGTAAACATGTTTTTCAAATAATTATCCTATGGCCTTCATTTGTGACACAATTAAAAATAAAAATTAGCACTATAAAACTCTTAAATATTATTAACTACAAAATGTTTTGTGATATGCATGGTTTGAAATTATACCCCATTTGTAAATATTTCATCATTATTTTTGAAAAATAATTAATTATTAAATTCAATTTCATCAAATTTTGTTGTGGATTCAGTATAGAAATTCTTAATTTTTTTTTCACATATTGTAGCCTATTACAAATTGGATAAGAATTGGTCCATCCCCCCAAAAAAGGAGTATAGATTCAAGTGAAACCTGATAAAAAAAAATGAACAGTCTCCCCTAACCCACACCCAAGCTTTTTAAAACATATTTCAAAAAGTATCTATTATAGATGTTGTTATTATATGGTGGTTGTTGATGTCTGCATGATTCTTTTAATCAACTGATGAACTATTAATAAACTGTTAATTTTTAAATCATATCTCCATTGGTGTTTGAAATTTATCTACACATTCCTCCCACTCTGTCTCTTGTCACGATTTGATCATAGCAGCCAACTAAATTGCAAGATCTCAAAAAGCTTTAAACAATTAAAAAAATTCTGTTGTTATGAGTCATTAAGTATTGCTATATTTTTAAATCTTTTGTTGTTGTCTGTTTTAGATTTATAAAATATTGAGTCTTGAATCTTGATTAATTTTCAGACTTTTATAAGGATTGCAGTGTAAACGAGGGGAAGGTCGAGATGGAATTATTTAAATGTAACTGATTTCATTTTTTATCATGAAATTTTTGTGGGTTGAATTCAAAGCATGATTATATTATCTCTTTAAATTTTGAATGTCTAAGTAATTATGATTATAAATTATAAAATAAAATCATTCATATCTTGAATAATTGTTTGTAATTAAAGTTACATTGATAGATACTTATAAGACTTATAAGTCCAACATGTCATACGATACCTGTAGAGATGTAAGCACAGTAGTATAAATTGTCAGATACCAAATAAAACAGTTTTCAACATCCCTTTTACTTCATCTGACACATGCATGTATTTTCCTTGCTCTCAATAGTGTTGACGAGGACTGACATTGCCACAAAACAATGTGCCAAGAATTTACATGTAAATATCCAAAAAGGGTAGAGGGAAAGGCATTCTTGTTGGATGAAATATTGTTGCTTGCTCTGGAGATTAACCACTGTAATTAAGAAGAAGAAGGTTAGGGCGGCCCACAATGTTAAATTATAGATCCTACGATACCCAATTTGGAGTTTTGATTCTATGATCGAATCTGAGAAATAGGACACTCTTGCCAAATTTCTGGAGTTTTCTCCCACTGGTCGAGACATGTTCATGTCATCAGACCTCCCAAACCATTTAGCCCATCAATCCACCTTAAGTTTCCCAACCTGGTGGGTCAAGTCAAGAATTAAGGTATTATTCATAAACAAGTTAGCTACCCTTTCTACAACATTGATCCTCTATTCCTTTTACAATCTCTACAATCTTTGGACGAGAGAGTGCAAAGCCATAATCGTGGCTTTTTGATCCAGGAGGTATGTCAGAATGCAACAAATCTTGTCCTACATTTCTTTATGTGTGGTTTAATGGTCGAGAAGAGCAAGACATTAGGTACTATATAGATACTTCACAAGGGCATTAGCCGGAGAGTTGTTTCAGTATATAACATATGGTCTTGCTCTTGACCATTAAACAATTTAGGGTACAAGCCTCTACCCTGCAGTGCATTTCAATGAAATCATCACATGAGGTTGGACAAGCAACCCCACTCCTTGTCACACACATGCGGGGAATCAAAACCATGCTACTTGACTCAATGACATACCATAACCCATTCATCCCACCCCACCCCTTCACTTGCCATGTTAAATCCAAAAATAAAGATTTCATGATATAATCAAGCCAATATCTTAGAAGCTGAGGTAAGATAACAGATTTCAGGTTAAAAATAGACACTTTTACCGCAAATTCAAGCTTTGTAAATCTCCCCATCATGATGAAAATCAATAAATGATCTTGTTCATTCTTAGTGCAGACAAGATCGTATCGAGACTAACATGATACAATTTTATTTCACTAATTTGTCTGTAGCAAGTGGGAAGAAACCAGAGGACCCTTGAGACTGGGCAGGTGACCTTACTCCATGTAACATACCAGCTTGGTACCGAAACCATGCCAATTGATTAAATGTCAGCCCTTATGATGTAAAGTGCATGTGTTAAATCATGTGACAACCAAACCACTGTCAAGCTGACCAGACATTTAATTGCTCTCAACTGTGAATTGTAACTGATGCAAATAAAGTTGTTGGGATTCAGAAAACACAATACTAAAAGTAAAAGATGAAACTGGGTGCTATTTTTCAAATTTTATTTTTATTCAGTAATACTGAATTATCATCTAACATTTCAGTTAAATTTTCCAAGCAGATGTCATAATACAGTTTTGAACACAGGTAGAATAATATGAAATGCATTCATTATGCAATATAACAATCTTTAACAGAAATATTCAACTTTACAGCACTTCTTTCAAAACAGCGTAAAATAAATACCCTTTAATTCAAAATGGATGAGATGAAACTATCTCTGTATCAAAATTGTACAAAAATGAAATTTTATTAAAATTATTGCCACTACTATCCTTGACAAATTGAAATGAAATGCTAACTCATAAAATCTGATGTACAACGCTGATACAATCACATAAATAAAATTAAATTATTTTACATAATAATAATAGTAATTCTGTATTTACATGACATTCACACTCACTCACTTCTTGTTTATATCTACATAACTTAATGAACTTAATAATAAAAAATATACAATTCAACAAAAGGTCACTTTTTCTTAAATTTAATTACACAATATTATTTTATAATAGTGTAAGTATATACAGTACCTATATACACACTGACCGATTAAAATACAATTACAAGACGTAAATATATACATTCAAGCTTTAATTTACTCTGGTAAGTTGTCACCTTTAAAATTCTCACATATTTTGACTAGATCTTTTAATTACTTCACAAACAAAAAATAATACACTGATTTGTATTAAAATTTGAAAATACAGTCTTTTACTCCGGTCAGATTTAATATTATCAGTATCTTTTCAGGACTACTGGAATAATCAAGATGTCATTTCTGATGACTCTTTCTGATCATCAACTGATTTCATATCAGTATCTTCTGAAGACTCCATTTTAACAGGTTCGGTCTCAAGCATTGGTTCAGTTTTGATTTCTGCTTCCTCAGATTTGGCTTCTGCTTCCTCAGTTTTGACTTCTGCCTCCTCAGTTTTGACTTCTGCCTCCTCAGTTTTGACTTCTGCCTCCTCAGTTTTCAATCCTATTGTTGCAACAGCGGGTTCTTCTGGCATAGATGTGACGTCTGAATTTTCAGTGATAGGATCACCATTATTGCTGACAGTGGCCGACGATGTGTTGTGGATGGGTGATTTAGGCATTACCATGGGTTCCGATTTGATGATAAGATGAGTGATGGGAGCAGGATTGGTTGTAGGTATATATGTGGAGACTGAGGATTGAACATTACCATACACTTTGTTACCACTGTGCTGTCTATTAAAGAATGGATTCGTTTCTGGAGATTCAGTTGGAGTTGGAGTTGGTTCCAATACAGATTCCTGTAATAGAAAATCATTGATATAAATATTTTAGCTTTGCAAAGACTGGTTAATTCAGTGCTAGTAACTGTTGCATCATGAAATGAAGTTTAATGTCCTACTGTTCTGCTCCGACCTGTTGCATCTTGCAAAATGTCTAAAATTCATATACAATTAATATACATAGTTGTGACTATATATATAACTACATGTATATAGAGGGTTAATGAAGACAGGATACACCATGGCCATGCAGCATACTATGGGGGGAATTTGTCTGGACAGTGCTGCTCCGGCCTAGTCATATTTCAAGGGGCACTGTTATGTGCTCATCAACAAGTAAATCGGACCTCAATGTTTTCGTCCCATCCCAATGACTCAATCCTGTTCCTTGCAAGGACCTCGATCTGGCACCACTGACAAGGGGAATTCATGACAGTTATGTTTGAAAATCCCAGGAATTTTCTCTGCCAACATCGCGATCGAACCCAGCCAGCACTGTACCCACTGAGCCACAGTGACTCCCTGCTCAAAATATATGCGGAAGGGACAACTGCCGATTCCCCAAACTAAACACCTATCATTTAAGAAAAATGGGTTGAATTTTTGAGACTGAAGTATTGACACAGTGCATAGTTCAATATCTGACATTCTTAAATATCAGCCCAAAGAAATTAAAAATATTAATCCTTGTACTTACATCTCTAGCATCTTCAAAACATACCGGATGATAATACTGTAATAAATAAAATAAAAATATATTACAATCAATACAACACATTTAGTCTTTAGAATAACCTTTTAAGAAATCAGAATAGTCACACAAATTGAAATTTTGTTTGATACTTTCTTGTAAATAGACACAAGATTTTAAATGGACTTCTTGTCCTTTTTACCACTAATATAAACTCTGTATTCAATATGAAATTTTCTATTTTTAATTATTAGACGAACGGGATTAGCTTAGTTTATTTACCTTTCCATTAACCAATAAGGCATCACGTAAATGCCAGTCTTCCAATTCTTCATGCCAGAACTGTTCAAACTGATCACCACAAGTACAGCATACCTTAAATAAACAGATCATGATAATTAGAATTAGAATATATCTAACTATTTACCAAATAACAATCGGTGCCAAATCTTTTAAATTCAAAGATGTTATTTAGACAACCGAGTCAAGATCAATGTTTTATTCAAATCATCAAAGTGCATTTTCTGAATATTGGTAGAAATTGATTGCCATTATTTTTTGAGTGAAACATATCATAAACATCTCACAAAGGCCATACAATACATATTAATCATTATCTTTCGACAATCTATCTCTAGTAATATGAAATACAATAAACACTTACATTATCTGCATCTTGTTTTGCTGGAGGTTCATTAACAACATCAGCATTTTCAGGAATTCTGTAACTCAGAGCATTATCATTGGGATTCATCATATTCTCAAATACAGTGGAGCGAGCTGAAAAAACAATAACAGTTTATTATTATATTATTAAAAGAAAATATTTATATAGTAATTTGTCCATGATGTCTGTTTACAATCTATGTGAGCAGGATAATATCAACTAGTATGAATGTGATTTAACAAAATGAAATGGGGTTTAACGTTTTACTTTCTGCAGCAAGTCAGCGCTGTATTCACTGAGCCTATGATGGCACCCTGTTCAAAATATGTGGGGGAGGGATCATTTACCAAACTTATCCCTCAAACTAAACACACCTCTGGTTGCAAAATGACAGAATATTTGACAGAAAAATCTAATGAAATGAAATGAATGGGGTTTAACATCGTACTATTCTAATGGAGCTAATAAAGACAACAATACGCTATACAGTGTGCTATGAGGGAAATTTTGCCCGGACAGTGGTGCCAAGGCCTACTCTTATATCAAATTCTAACTGCCAAAGGATCTTTACGGGACCTGGGTTGTTGTTTTTTGTTCCATCTGGACGACTAAAAGAAAGATAGGTTGCCAGGCAACGAAACATATAAATTTCACAAAGATCGGATGTTAACTTTTGGCATTAGAGCGTTCACAAGGTTCAACAAAGAGAAACAAGGGCCATAACTCTAGACATAATAAACAGAAATTGCTGAAATTCAATAAGCTTCTTCGTTTCACTTATTTAAAAAATGCATATAAATTTCAGAAAGATCGGATGATAACTTTTGGCGTTAAAGCGTTCACAAGGTTAAACAAAGTGAAACAAGGGCCATAACTCTATTGCTGAAATTCAATAGGCCTCTTCGTTTCCTTAATTTAAATATTTCATATAAATTTCACAAAGATCGGATGTTAACTTTTGGCATTAGAGCGTTCACAAGGTTCAACAAAGAGAAACAAGGGCCATAACTCTAGACATTATAAACGGAAATTATTGAAATTAAATAGGCTTCTTCGTTTCACTAATTTAAATAATGCATATAAATTTCAGATAGATAGGATGATAACTTTTGGGGTTAGAGCGTTCACAAGGTTAAACAAAGTGAAACAAGGGCCATAACTCTAGAAGTAATAAATGGAAATTGCTGAAATTAAATAGGTTTCTTCATCTCACTAATGTAAACAACATATATCAATTTTAAAACAATTGGATGATAACTTTTGGCGTTAGAGCGTTCACAAGAAATTGTGGACGATGGACGGACGGACGAGGGCAACGGCAATATACGACCATATTTCCATGTGGGCGTATAAAAATCTATTGGATTATAACCAGAACGTTTTAAAATTAATGTCAGTAAGTTAGATATTAACTTGTAGAATAAAAATTAAACTTACATTTCTCTTCAGATTCTTCAATTAGTTCAAACAAAATCCAATCCTGTAAAATAAGCAAGATAAAAGAGATTATACTATGAAAATAAACTTTATCTAATGTCCTTTTAAAATTCAACATATTAAGCAACAATCTGAGTCAATAAAATGTCTTCTATTTGTACATATCATTTCTGTAAACTTTACATATATAAAATATAATTACTCACATTAATTTCATAATGCCACTGTCGATTCTTAGCCATGTTAAATTCATCCTTTCCTCGTTTATTCTGACGGAAATGCCAATCAAGATGTTCACGATATCTATCTGTATCATCCATAACAAATCTCGTACCACAAGTTGAACACTGGATACCACTATATAACCTCTGTATAGCACCTTTATAATATCTGTAACATAACAAAAAATTGTTTACATATATTTAATCAACAAAAATATAATAAATCAAGCAAGCTGAGGAAAGAGTCTCTAATAGAAGACACTCATGAAAGAATGATTTACCCTATTTCTACAAGGGTGTCAAATTTGAACTACATGTAGTACAGCCTTACAATGATATGATTTAATTAATAATAAAATGTCTGGAAATAGTTCATTGGATAATTTATATCGGTCAGGTTTTATTTTGAAAATATAAGGTGGGGCATAATCCATAAGCTTGCAGTGAATAATTTATATTTTCTTGACTCAATCTGTTAATCAATGACTGCTGCTGTATCCGAATATTAAATTAAATATGATGGGCTTTAAAATAAGATAAAATTACATGTAGGTACAGTTTAGATCCAACATATTGATTGAATACTATTAATGATGTGAAAAAACATGGCAAAACGCTAGTGATTTCTTGTTGTTTTAATCTGTCTTAATTCTATACAATTTTTTTCACTGGCTGAAGCAAAATGGTAATTACAACTGATAATAAATCTTACACAATCTAATTTGAATAGAATTGATGTTATTGGACAGTTAAATCACAGCGAAAATCTCTAAAAGTAGTAATGCTCTTTGAAATAACACATAAATCATTTTAGTTACAAGTACTTACTTTTTAAGACTTTTTGTGTTAAGGTCTGTTAAATCAGGAACTGGTTCTATATTTTCTTTCACTTCTTTAACTTCTTCTGGTTCCAACTTGAATGCCTATTAAAATATATTTTATTATAATAATCTAGGTCGTAATTATTATCAGATGTTATTTTTGTTCTGTCCATTTAAAGGCAAGATGTTCTGAGTGTAACAACAGCATGATTACATAACTATTTTCATGGCTTAAAAATCAAAGCCTTGATCTAATCCCAATCTGTACACTAGGGGTATTGATAGTATTTGCTTTTGCTTAAATAATTACCTGTGAGCTAGGTGCAGTATTGTTCTTATTGTAATAATCACCTGTAAGCTAGATGCAGTATTTTTCTTAATGTAATAATTACATAGGAACTAGGTGTAGTATTGTTTTCAACGTAATAATTACCCGTGATTTGTGGTAACAGTATGAATTAATAATTACCTGTGAACTAGGTGTGGTAATAGTAATTGTTTTGGTATTCATCACAGTGCTTGTAACAGGTGTAGAAGTAGCCGTTGGAGTCGGATTAGTTGTAGATGTTGTCTTATTCTGTTCAGATGTTGGCACAATTCCAGCAGCAACTAGTTTGCTAAACAATGAACTGATGTCCATAGTACCTGATGAAGTTTGACTTGGCTGGGAAGCATCTGAAATAAACATTATTCATTTTAGTTTTCCACACTCAATGAAGTTATGGGAGAACGAAATCGTGTAACAGAGAAATTCGAGAACCTGAACCTGTGCCCTGCCCCTTCTCAAACAAGTCGGGTACAATATTTAGACACTTCGCTAACACAGGAAATTTGAATACTTACTTGGCATGAGCATTGAGAGAACATTAACCACACTAGATGCTGGTTGTGTTACTGGTGGATTCCCTGGCATACCTACAATACATAAATGAGAAAAATAAGATAAGATACGTTAAATAATGACCAACAATATGAAAATGAAGTTATTGAATAAAACAATCTGAAAAAGATATTATAATTTATTATAAAGAGCTCATATATTTACCTCCAAATGGTTGTTGATTAAAGCCTGTGTTCATTGGTTGCATAACATTTCCTACTGGCATCTGGTTCATACCCATTGAACCTGGATTCTGCATGGGATTCATGAACATTCCCGGTCCCATTGGCATTGGTTGAGTCTGAACAGGACCCATCATTTGTTGAGGACCTGGCTGGAACATTCCTGGTCCACCCTGAGGACCAGGACCCATCATTCTCTGTCCAGGGCCAATCATTTGACCAGGAGGCATCATCTGACCAGGACCCATTTGACCTGGGGGTACCATCTGTCCCGGTCCCATCGGTCCTGGTCCCATCTGACCTGGAACCATTTGTCCTGGAGGACCAACCGGTCTGGGGCCCATAGGACCAGGAGGGCCACCAGGTACCATTTGTTGAGGTCCGGCAAAACGACCATCTGGATTGGGACTGTTTCGATCAGAATCAGGAGGTATTGGGTAAGTGTAATTTAGAGACAACCTGGTCTGGCTTAATAAAACTTCTTCAAAACCATCTGGCATAACATCTAATATCTTCAGCTGAGGTACAGGCCCTTCCAAACAGCATGTATGAATACAATCATTTACAGTAATTTCTTTAGGTATACCATCAAATTTTATCTCATGCCATTTTCCATTTATAATAAGCTCATGGCCAGGTCCACCAAGTGCAATGAAACAAGGACGGACTCCAATTCTTATTTTTGAAGGGAAGTCAACTTTGACCTCATATCTTTTATCATCTATACATACTATCCTAGGTGGTCCATCAAAACGCACCATACGTGGTTCACCATTTATAATCAATACCGGAACTCTGCGGTCCAATTTTAAATCACATGGTTGACCATCTACTAAAATCTGTCTTGGTTGAGGTTCAAATCGTAAATCATGTGGTATTCCATCAACAAGTATTTCTCTCGGTGGACCTCCAAAACTGCCTTTCTCTAATCGATCAATCAAGATCATCATATCACTGCCATCAATTTGTATCCCATAATCTTTGCCATTCAAACTAATCTTCTTTGGAGGAGAGTCAACACGAACTTCCTGGCGAGTTCCATCTATCCATAATTCCTTTTTACGACCCAGATAAAAAACATTTATAACTTCACCGCTTGGAAGTTTAACCTCCTTGGGAGGTTCACCAAAATTATACACCAGCTGGTCATCAACTGTTATACCCTTTAGTTTAGGGTCAGCATAGTAATAATGAGTATTTTTACTCATAGTGATCATCTTTGGTTCCGAACCCTTAAATAATTCAAATGGTTGATTATTAACAATGATTTCTTCTTTTTCACGCTTTCGATAAGCACCACATGTGGACCATCTTGGATCAAGTACTGCTGGGAAAGATTTGGTTCGAGGTTCTGGTGCTTCTCTACGACCCATTCTGTCATTTTCCATTTCATGCCTGTCTTTTATTCTTCTGTCTCTTCTATCCATATCCGGTCTGCCATCACCTCCGCGATCCATATGGTCAAAATTATTCCCTCTTCTGTCCATTCCTCTTCTATCTAAATCTTCACGATCAATGTCTCTATTGCCACCACGTCTATCACGAGCATCTCTAACACCTCTTCTACTACGATCACCTCTCCGATGTTCTCGCTCTGAAATCCTATTATCACTATCTCTGTCTATCATACCTCTTCTATCATTTTCACGATCCAATGGTCTTCTTTCATAATTGCGATCATTGACCCTTCTTTCATGATCTCTATCCATCATTCGGCGATCTTCTGAATCTGGTCTATTAAGCCTTCCAAAACCATCAGCTGGTCCATGGTGAGGTGGTCCTTGATGTCGATTTTGTGGCTCTTCATGTGGTCCATGATGAGGTCCTTCATGAGGATGCCCATGGTGCGGTGGTCCATCATGTGGTCCAAGGTGAGGTGGTCTGTCATGAGGTCCATGGTAAGGTGGTCCTTCACGAGGAGGTCCATGGTGTGGGGGCCCTTCACGAGGAGGTCCATGGTGTGGGGGCCCTTCACGAGGAGGTCCATGGTGTGGGGGACCTTCACGTGGAGATCCTCGATGTGGTGGCCCTTGAATGTGAGGCCCTTCACGTGGCAGTCCTTGGTGAGGGGATCCTTGATGAGGAGACTCTTCAATATGTCGACCTTCCTGTGGAGTTTCAAGTCTTTCCGCTATGTCCATTACATTCTTTGAAGGTTCTAGTTCTAGACTCAGCAGTGGAACGGGACCACATGGCTTCATTGGCAGATCATTTCTAGAATCATATTCTCCATGTGGGGATCGTCTATCAAAGTCCATGGAATGTGGATGATTTGGTCTTTCTTCAGGTGGATATCTGTCATGTTGGTTTACATATTCTGGACCATTCTGTGGATACCTTGGATGCCGGTCTTTTGAATCTCGCATTCTATCCATCTGTTCAAGTGGACTTCTTGCTCTATCCACTCTATCCTGAACAGGATCTCTTTCTCTTTCCATTCTGTCTCGTGGGTCCATTGGTATATTTCTTCTTTCCGGCAAATGTGCATCCCTCGGTCTGTCCATCATATTATGATTATGCCTCCTATCATCCAAATCAGTTTTTTCAAACTGATGTTCTCTCGGTTTGTCCATTCTACCAGAGAAGGATGGTTCTCTCATTATGTCATGTCTTTCTTGGTCATTTTGATCTCCAGGGTGATCTATCATGTCAATAGGATTAGAGTCTCGTCTATCTTTATGCGAAACATTCACTCGTTCATTAGCAAAAATTGGAGGGAAGGGGGGAGGTTTCATCTCAGGTGGAGCACCACTTCTTAGATCCTGATCAAGGGCATGTGGGGGAGAAGTGAAACTCTCTGACTGATGTGGACTACTTTTCCTTTTATCAACTTCAGGTTGATAAATCTGTGGAGGGGACATCCAAGATCCTTCATTCATTCTAAGGTCAAATTCAGTATCAAATGGATTATTTTGGGGCAAGTTACATTTCTCAATGTTTTTGTCCTGGCGTTCATCTTTATCACTTTGGGCAATATCTGGTATTTGAGCTATAAGGGGTTCCTTAAATATCTTAGGTGTTGAAGGAGCAGGATTTGGATCAACTAAATCGGGATCTTCTATTACTATACAATCATCATCATCATCTTCCTCCATATTAGTTTCCCTAGACTTCACTAGTTGGTCTATAACAATTGGCTGTGCTGTTGAGACATTTACTTCCGGTTGCACTTTATTTTCCAAACCTTTGTCAAGTTTTTCATGAGTTCGAGATTCCAGTTTGGATGCTTGAGGTTTTGATGTACACTCTGGCGAAACGGTCATCAATACTTCAAAAACATTTTTACGGGCAGGTTCATCCCGTTTCTGATTTTCTTCTTCGTTGTAAACCTTACTTTTCTGCTGTTGCATGCGTTGAGCATCATAGAGAATGGAAAGTTGTCGGAGAACATCTTGATGTTGTTGGTGAGTTATCGCTCCAGCTTTAAGTTGCTGTTCAGCTACTTTAAGAATAACTTCCTGATTATCTAATGTCAGTGCATCCGGTATTTGTGCCGACATGTCAACTGAAACTTGATGTCTAGCAGCAGGTGGTGGATGGGAAGGACGTCTTCTAAGATCTACATCATGGCCAGATTCTATTTCGTGAGATCGTCTGCGATCAATTTCTTGTTGGTAATTCTCTGGGTGATTTTCTTTAAACTTTGCCCATCCTTTCTGACCTGGACTTTTGAATGGGATTCCTATTGGTGCAGTTCTATAATCTATGTCTTCTGATCCAAATAAATCACTGAAAAATACAATAAAATTAATAAATCATAATGAATTTGGTACTAGTAAAAATTGTTTCTAAATTTAAAAAGGGGAAATATAATAACATTCAAAATTGAATTTTCACCACTTTATTCAAAAAATGTAATTTTTTCATGGAAAATAAGTGGGTCCATAGTGTAGAATGGTGTAGAGCAAGAGCTACCTGCCACAATTTGAACAAATTAATACAGAGCATGTTTTTGCCACCATTAAAGAAACTAAATATATGGCATCCGATAGACAACATGGTTTCTGTGTCATACCTTATATCTTTCTTGGAATCGGTATTGCCAGCACTAATGTCTAATCTGCGTTTTTTAACATCTGGGAAACCGTCTGGTTCGGCACCAGCTTCTATTTTGGGTGACATTCTTTTTCTCTCGTCATCCATTTTTATCAACGATTCCGTTTGTCGTTTCTCAGATTTATTCCACAATTCAGAAGATTTTAAGTTATTTGGATTCCTTTCTTGATCACCTCTAGGTGACAATTTACGTGCAGGTGATCGCGACCTTCTGCTTGATCTTTCACTGGAATCTCTTTTATTGCTTCTTCTACTACTGCTACTTGTGCTAGAACGACCCTTTTGGTCCTCTCTGCGATTTGAACGAGGACTATATCGTGATCGGTCATCCATCCCATGATCCCTTCTGTCAGCCGATCGTCTATCACTATTACGCGACCTATCTGATTCTCTACTACTACCTCTATCACGATCTTTGCTACTTCTATCATCAATACTGCGAATGTCACTACTTCGGTTATCACTTTTAGACACCGGTTTAGTTTCAGTTTTATTTTTATCTATCTTTGGCTTTTCTTTTACCACTTCAAGACTGAATTTGTCTTTTAATTCACTTTTCTTTTTAGGTGGGGTTTCGACTTTATTGCTCTTTATACTATTGATTTTTTTAGGTGATTCAACTTTTTGAGGAAGAACCTTCTTTGGACCATTATGTTTAATTTTATTTGAAATATTTGCATTGGATGTCTTTTTGGTTGGAATGTTTGTATCTTTTTTAATATGTGTCTGAGCAGGTGGATTCAGTGGTCCATTAAATCTGCCGGAAGTAGTTGGATATGTTTGTATGTGTGGTTGTTCCACTGAGTATCCTGGATTATACGTTTGATTATGAATGTGTTGACCCTTTGACATGGTGACTTCTGGTATAAATGGTGTGATGATAGGTGGAGCAGTCTGAACTGGAATGTTTGTTGGTTCAGCTTTTGAAGCAGTCAAGATGGCAGAAACAACATCAGACTCTGGAGCAGGTTTTCTGGGATCACGAGAACGCCTTGGATCTCTAGCAGCCACTCGAGGATCTTTAGGTTTAGTAACTGGCACCACCGAAGCAGTGGCTGGTGCAGTATTACTTTTCTTCATTTCAAGCTAAAAATTGAAAAATAATTACAAAATTTACTATTGGTATTAGAACTTTTCACATATTTTAACGACTTGCTTTAATATCTTTTTTTTTCATAATTTATAAAGGGAAAAGTATAGTTTAGAGGTAAATCTTAGATTTGGGAGGAAATAATCTAAAATTCTAGAATAATGGTACCTGTTTCCTCTGTTGTTCTAATTTAGCTGTTGTTTCTGCTAATTCTAATTCCAACTTAAGTTTCTGTAATTCTTGTTGTTTATAAAGGGAAAAGTATAGTTTAGAGGTAAATCTTAGATTTGGGAGGAAATAATCTAAAATAATGGTACCTGTTTCCTCTGTTGTTCTAATTTAGCTGTTGTTTCTGCTAATTCTAATTCCAACTTAAGTTTCTGTAATTCTTGTTGTTTTTCAAAAAGCTGTTGTCTCATTAAAGCCTCTGCACTTGTTGGTGGACTAGCAGCTGGAGTAGGTTTCTTCTCCTATAATAATAGTCAATATATATGTGATTAAATACATGCATGGATTACAGAGGTTAAGTGAAAATCTTGTTTTTGTACAAATTTCATTTAAAGGCTCAATACCACTCTTGTTGTAACTGAATAATGTGTCCCAATCTGTATTCTGGTCAACAAATTGTACTATTTTACAATATTCCAATTAATTAATGATACAAATTTCAGCTTAACACACCTTATTTAAAAATTTAGAAAAATTCAACATATGGTTTGAAACGTCTAACGTAAACCTTTTCAAATGAAACTTCGATTTAAAAATATTTCCGAACCCTCTGGATAAGTAAAATAGGATGTAATGGATAATTTACACAACAGGTAGGACACTTAAACATCTAGTACTTAGATAGAGATATTATTTATTTTCTGGAGCTTTCAAGCCAGCAAGAGTGTTATTGTCCCTTTAAGACAATTTAGAAGCAACCATTCATATTTATGAGCCAATCACAAACACAAATCTTTACAAACTCGGCAAGGACTGGACTTATCCAAAAGCATTTTCAATTTAGTCAAAAGACAAATTTGTTGCTGTCAACCGCCTCGTTCAATTTAAATTGTCTGGTTGTCTGTCATTCATGAGTGGGGCTGCAGTATTCCAGCTTTCAGGGTAATGAACTTTCATACAGTATGCGGTCATTTTGGGACTAAAAAATGGTACAATTTTTGCATAGGGGTATTTAGCAGTGAGGGAGCTACATTGGCTAATTGAAGGCCTGACAAGAACAGCTGTCTAGTTGTTCGGATGGTCAAAAAACTGAGGTCCTGTGTACACATTGATGTGCACGTAAAAAGATCTCTTAGCAGTTGGAATTTGAGAAGGCTGTAGCGCTGTTGTCTGGGCAGTTTCCCTCATAGCACACTGTATGGTGTATGCCCGTCCTTATTAGCCCAGTCAGAGCAGAACAGTAGGACAACAAACCCCATTTTATTTCTTTTGCAGTGAGAAGGTAAGAGAGAGAGAGAGAGAGAGAGAGAGAGAGAGGAAGGTAGGAGAGAGAGAGAGAGGTAGGAGAGAGAGAGAGAGAGAGAGAGAGAGGTAGGAGAGAGAGAGAGGAAGGTAAGAGAGAGAGAGAGGTAGGAGAGAGAGAGAGAGAGAGAGGTAGGAGAGAGAGAGAGAGGAAGGTAGGAGAGATAGAGCGAGCGAGCGAGAGAGAGAGAGAGAGAGAGAGGTAGGAGAGAGAGAGAGAGAGAGGAAGGTAGGAGAGAGAGAGTTTAACCTTCACTCCACGCAAACTAGGTCTTTTTGGGACTAAAATAGGGTTCAATTTTATTATTTGGGTTGTGCGCAGGTCTTTAGCAGTGGGACGAAACCAAAGAACCCTGAGAAACACACCGGGTTGGATAGGCCACCCTACTCCTTGTCACATACAAGCAAGGAATCGAAACCACACGACTTGACTTAATGACGGAGCTTATGATTCAATGCGCACATGTTAACCATTCGGCCACCCAACTCCCGACGAGAAGGACAGGTAAAAGAAACCCTTGCTGAAGACTGAAGACTTGGGTGGAGTTGGTGGAATGAGAATTTTCTCTCAACAGTCACTTTTACAAACCCATTTTTTTAAAATTAAGTACTTTTTCCTTGTACTGTAAAGTGAAATGAAATGGGGTTCAACGTCCTACTGTTCTGTTGCAGCTAGGCTAATGAAGACCTTGTACTGTATTAAAGTGTACAAGGACAAATCTCATTTTTAGCCCATCAAAAAAAAGAAAAATACACATACACAAACTTCCAATTTCTGCTCCGATGGGGTCAACCCTCTACAAGCAAAATCCCAGGATAAACGCACCTAAAGGTTCTTGTTCAAGTTATTGATTTGCTTTAAGCACAAACTTTAGAAAATTATGGAATATAAATACACTTAGGCAGGGCCGGATTAAGACCACTAGAGACACTAAGCACTTTAAAGACTTTTTTGCCCCCATATATATGTAATTAAAAATATAAACAATAATAAACCATAAACAACCGTCAAATTTGTAGTTCAAGTTTTCTGAGGTTTTATATCATACATAGCATTATTAATTGTGACAAAAACTGACAAAAACAATGAAAATGTTTGAAGCAAACATTCTGTGGTGTCCCCATTCCCATGATGCCCTAACCATGTGCTTATTTTGCTTAATGGATAATCCAGCCCTGTATGTAGAGATACCCTACCATTACAAAATAATTACCTGTACTAAAAATTTAGGATTTACATGAATGCTTCCTTGTTCTGGTGGAGTAGCTGTGATGGGCCATGCTGGGTCAGTCGTATTAACCCGGACATCAATGGCATATAATTTCTTATTGGGTATAACATTGGTCCAAGTTTGTCTGAGTTTAAACATTGCTTGTCTTGTTTTTTCATCAACCTAATTAAAAGACAAACTGTTCAGGTAAAAAAAGCTTTGGGAAAAGGCCATATAATGATTAATTCAAATTATTCAAGAAAGTGTATTTTCGAAAGGTTATTCCAAGATAGTTCCTTTTCTTGAACGGTACCGATAAAAAGTTTCTCACTTCAGGTATTTTGCAAAAAGTTTACAGGGTTAACAGTCTTGACACCATTACCACTATTTTGTTCAATCTTCTTTTTTTTGTAAGCAACAGGTAAATAGTGTTTAAGTGTTATATGTTGGGTAATGGACTATATATATATATATATATATATATATCAATAAACTAGGAATGTAGTAGAGTTCAATACTTTACTCAGGTCATTTTGAGATAAACTAAGGTTCATTTTATTAACTTGGACTGGGTTTTCAATGGGTCGAGGAATTTGGTTTGGACAATATACTCTCACTCTTTTTTCTTGAAATGTCGAAATAGTTTTGACTTTCATGCCAATGTGTGCCTGGGTTGCCCCTAGCAGTTGACACATCTGCACCAACCCCGGAGAGCAAGAACTGATAACCAGCTTTCAAAATTCAGATCCTTCACAAGTCAAGCTGTGACACCAACCTTGGATACTGAAATATATTAAGCTCAGTGTCTTTGGCTTGGCTACAAGCCAAATCAGGAATACAGGTCAATCCAGATCCTTCCCAGATCAAGCTGGACACCAACCTTGGATACTGAAACATATTATGCTTAGTGTCTTGGGCTTGGCTACCAGCCAAATCAGGAATACAGGTCAATCCAGATCCTTCACAGGTCAAGCTGGACACCAACCTTAGATACTGAAACATATTATGCTCAGTGTCTTGGGCATGGCTACCAGCCGAATCAGGAATACGGGCCATTGTCATCCATTCCCACAGCTTCCTACTTGTCAGTAAGAATACAGCAACAGTGACCAGTGGATATCAGATTCATTTTGCAAACAAATGACTCCATACCGAGTAATTCCTTTTGTCCGACAATTCGATCTTTAATTTTTCGGGGCATTGTGCACCAAAATTGTGGACAGGACTTCCCCTTATTTCATTTTTTACTACATGGGCTTAAACACAAACACACATATTCCACACAAGCAGCTTTGTCATCCAGGCCACCATATAAAGCCTGCCTCAGATTTTCAATAGGATTTTGTTTCAAACAAATTCAAATGATTTGGGAGTAGGGAGAACTTTGCTATAGATATTGAACTGCAAGAAAAAAATTACTTAACTAATGGGGAATATACATACGTCATGTGATTTCCTATGCCAAAATGTCACCCCACCAGAAATTATCTAATTTCTATCAAACTCATTTAGATAATGGTGCGATTATGTGGTCATGGTGGTGAAAGCGTATCTACCAACACATCCATTATTACACAACTGTGGTCATGTTTCACATTACCCACATCTCATTTTTCTAGCATGACAACAATTGTCCACATTGCCAGAGCTACACAGGGATGTCTACAGCTGCAGAACAGTGTTCTGTCCAGATTTAAACCCAATTAACTCACAAGCTGCAAACAAGTCTTGATCAAGTACTCGTAGGTAGAAGACTGACAACTCTCCAAGGGGTTATCATTCAAACGGTGAATGAAATCTGGCATGAGGTTATCAGTTTGAAATAAATAATTTCTACACTATGGGTTTTGATAGGATTTGAATATGGTAGTCATTTCCAATAAAAGTATTGCAATTTTGTTATAAATGGGAAGCAGAGTCACCTACTTTTACTTGAAAAATACTGAAAAACATCCATGGGAGCTCACAACAAAAATGTAAGTGTAGCACAAACAGGCAGACAATTGGCATGTTTTCTGTTCAAGTGGTGTAGCACCCGTAGGGATTGTTTTGTATGTGTTGATCAACTAGCTAGCGGTTTGGACAACATTCAGGGACTGATTAAATGGCTGATAATCCAAGAATTTAGTTAGGCTTTGATATTTATGATAATTGGACAGAGTAACAACAAATACAAGCCGGAAAATGGATCCTCCCTCAGCTATGCTAGTTGCCGTGACAGTCCACTCACATGACGAACAAGTCCAGATTTTTACAGCCTTGGAGAGTTCGGTTCCTTGTTATTAAAATGAGACATTATCAGTGACAATATAACCACAAAATGTTCAAGAGTGCAACTTAACACTAACAAATGTCCTAATCTTTTGATTAAATGTGAAATTTTTTTACACTTTTTTTTTTACATCATTAAAGATACATTATGTAAGATTTAGATAAAGAGCTGGTAGTTCAGAAATAAATAATGCATATTGTCAAAATTTCAGTTAAATTACTTATGCGATTATCAAGTACCAATGATACAATAATAATAAAATGTCTGATTAATTTAACTTTAAATTATTAAATGCTACAGATGTTCGAATCCTTCTGTGAATAAATGTATAATTAATAATTTATATGACATTTAAAGCCAAATAGAGACCTACAATAGGCAGATTTAGCTCTTACATAATGCATCCTTATATTCATCAAAAACCACCATTCCCATATTATTATGAATGTAAAGCATTAGTAATGTTCAGGACTTGCAATAAAAATATGGTATGTAAAGGAAAGCTGATCAAGTGGGATTTTAGTTGGCCTAAATATAAAAACTAATGGCGGTCTTAGTGGGAATACAAGGTTTCAAACAAGACGAGAAAGCGTTTGCAAATTAAATATTATCCTACTCTTTCGCTTGCACTGTCAGGTGATGCATCGCTTCCAAGGGGTTTCCGACATAAATCCACTCCATATGTATTTAAAACCAGTTTTGGGAAGCAGAAAAGCACTTATTTATTCAAACCACTTTCCCCAAGTCTTTCTCGGTAATGCTTTAAAACAGATTCAATCCTTATTTACATCCCACATAAATATAATTCATTATTGCATTTCAGTGGCATCATTTTTTCCCAGACATGGAGGAAACTAGATCCTTTTGGGATTAAACTAATGGTTCAATTTTATTTCAATAATTCACTTGGGCATAGGGGTCTTTAGAAGCAGTAGGAAACAGGAGAAAAACCCTGAGGTTGAACAAGCGATCCTACTTCTTGTCACATACAAGAAGGGAATTGAACGATGCCAGTTGACTCCATGTTTGACAATTCGGCCACCCACCCTATGGAGCAATAGATGGATGGACATGGGAACCACGCCACTTGACTCCATGAGACCGTATTATCTAAAGAAAAAGAGTTTGACAAATAGGTCACCCATACCTCACCCTTCGGAGTAACGGATAGATAATGGACATTGGGGAATAATATCCAATCCCAAAAGCTATACTTGGCAGAGTATGCAATATTCTAGTCTTCTGATAGGAAGTTGCTCTAGTTAATCTACTTGTGGATTTAATCAGCCATACTACAACTTCAATTAAATCAAGGTCTATGGCAACCAAGCAAAGGATGTCACTAAGTGTTAAAATTTACAATAAAGCATTGTACAACAATTTATAATTTTAAAATTGGAGGTTTGATCAAAGATCAGATGTTGCTGTCATCGCTATTGTTTCAGGGTTTTAGTTTACTCCACCACAAAGTCATTTCACAGCATCTTCAACATAGGCCGCATGTTGTTCGTAAAGCACAAATACAGCTCAACCAATAAGATTGGTATTGTTTCTTGTTGGTATCTTCTTCAGCACCATTTAACAGTAATCCCACTCAACAAAAGATCACACGTAATTGATGAACAGCTGTTCTGATATTAGCACTTTAAGAGTTAATGATTTATTTTCATAAGTGTTAACACAAATCTATTTTAAATATTCTCAATTTATCACACATAAATGGAGTCAAATCACAGCTGTTAATCACATCCTTTATGACAACACCATTTTAAGGTCCATTTCAATTAACACAATACACAAAGGAAAGTCTATAAAGCATGTAAACTTTACATATATGCATCTTCAAATTCAACAGTATTCTTCTTTCTCTTCATCACTGTTTTTATTACTAAAGGGGATGGTCTTGACAAGTCATTTCAAAACAGGTACGAAGGCTTGAAGTGAATTACAACTTTTGAAATAACTGGACTATGCAAGTGATACATTATTTGAAGGATACAGGCTATTTGTCTAATCACAATGATGCAAGTAGATTAGTAACTGTCTTGATGATGGTCAAAATATACTGATAAAGAACAAGGAGTTGCCATGCAAGAGATGGACAGAGAACAAGCTAAACAAGCGATTTACGTACGTAATATTAGATGTTACTGTCCAACATACGTCAATATCAAAAGAAACCAAGATCTTTTGGATGTTTCATCAAAATCGGATAAAAATTGTGACCTCTAGAGTGTCCACAACTTTGGTATTACTTTTATACAATTTGCATACAAGGAGTAACCATTTTGTCAGGTAGTTTTGGTCCGATTTTCACGAATTTCAAACTCAACCGTCATTAGGATGTAATGGCCATATATATGTCAGATAAATATTGTGACCTCTAGGGTGTCCACAGGCTAAAGACATGATTTTTCATACAACCAAGGCCCACAATCCAGAAAGTTACGGTCCGATATGCCGGATTATTGAGAGGAACCAAGATCTGTGGGATATAAACATAAATTTTAAGTTTCAATTTAAATTCGGATTAGTGCTACTATTACTATTGCGATTCAGGTGCTACTATTACTATTGCGATTCAGGTGCTACTATACAATTTGTATCACAATTCATTACCAGGTCAATATTTACCAAGAAAACAACATGATAAATGAATAATTGATATTTTTACTCCTATGTCAAGAAATAAAACTTTTATTTCACGATATTGATCAAAGTTAGGATCAAAACAATTTAAGAGTGTGTGTGTACCTACCTATGGATAGTGTGTGACATGGATAATTAAGAGCGACATGTTACATGCAGTTGCCAGGCAACAAAACATACGCCCACAGCAGCTAAGTTGTCCGGGCAGTCAACAAGGGTTGTCACATATTCTCTTTTTTTGTAAGTAATGGAAACATTTACAACACACTAAAATCTGATTAACCACCTTTACAGCATCCACAAGATTTATCTAAGTGATCAAAGGCCATAATTCGGGAGTAATTATCGTAACACTGTATAAATTTAAAGTCAATCCACATGATTTTTTAGTGATTAAGGGCCTAACTCTGGCAGTAATTATCGGAAATCGTTGAAAATGAATAGGATTCTTCGTCTCGCGATCTTAAACATTGTATATAAATTTTAAGTTTATCGGATATTAACTTTAGCCCAGAGAGCATTCACAAACAATTGTGGATACCAGACCAACTGACGGACAAACAGGTCGACGACAATATTTCAATGTGGACGTATAAAAATAAGTGAATGCATGGACTATTTCTATTTTTCATTTTCTCTTATCTAGTAACATTCAATTATTTTTTGGAATTCTCAGATATCCTCTCAGAGTCTCATGTAACAACTTTTCATCTTCTAAAGGAATTATCCATGAGCAGAAATTCGGCCATGTATCTGTTATTTTCTTTACTTCAGTCAGTTATACAGAAGGAAAACTCTTGTTTTCCATTTCTTTGCGTCACTTCTGTTTCTTCAGATCTTAGTTACGCATCTACGCATCTTTAGAGGATTCACAAGCTAAAAACATGGGTTTTTTTCGTACAATCAGGGTTATAACCCCAAAAGTTACAGTCTGATATGCGCAAAAATCAAAAGTAAGCCAGATTTTGGGGATATAAACATATTTAAAGTTTCATCAAAATCGGATACAAATTGTAACCTCTAGAGGCTCCACAACCTTGGTATTGCATACTTTTACACTATTTACTTACAGGGAACGACCATTTTGTGGACAATCACATTATGGTTTAACTACTATAACGGTGATATATTTGAACAATTATTAAAATCGGATAAAAATTGTGACCTGTATAGGTTTCACAAACTAAAAACGTGATAAAAATATGGGCATATGTGTGTTGGGATAGGCTACTTCTGCTTGGAGAAGAATACTGAAATGTCAAACTCTTACGAACTATGTGTGCATCCACATCCAAAGCGTAGCAGTGACCAACGACGGTATAATATGTGCATCAATCAGTATGTTAAGGGCTAACATTCACGTAGGATTTTCTAATGTTACCAATCATTTCACCGTGCATAATTATTAGTAGTGCACCATATTCCAGATAAAGTTCCAGTACAATGAGAAGACCCGTCTGTTGATTGATAAGTTCATTGACATTATTAAATTGCTTATAAATCCCTCATCTCAGGCAATTTAAAGAAGTGTGTGTGGGAGTCTGTTGGCCAAGCAATTAAGTTGGAACTAAGTGTTACTACATTAACAGTGAAAATTGGTATAGGATGTACCAATTATCAGTATGTCTGTGCACTTTACAAAACCTATAAAATAATAAACTCTTGATTTCCTTTCACTGCGCGCAAAAGACACCGACTGAGTGGTACACTATAATCCAACCTGAAGTAGTGTGTCCAATTTCCAAACAAGAAGATTGATTGCAGAAGGAAAAAACAAACCATTTCCATCTCCAAACCAGTACTTCTAAGCTTCATCAAAAAACAATATTTCTACAAATTTATATAAATTTTCAAAATAACTTTCCGAAAATACACTTATTTTTTCTATAAATTACAAATAAAAATACCATAAAAACCAGACTAAAACGAACATTAAAATGAACGCTTCACATCATGTGGCAATATTTGGGGAATATTTACTGATCCTTAAACTTGAAATACACTTTCATTTTTAGTGAAGGGATCCTCTGAGAATGGTACCTGAATACCGGTGTTAGATAGGTAATGGTAAAATTAAATTAAATCTGAGAAGACCTTTAATGATACGTGAAGTATATTTTTTTTTATATCTTATTTTATTTTTATCATTACCTAAAAGACACCCAATATACCATCCATTTGTTCACTCATGTACCCAACACACCATTTAATACAAAATAAAAACCTTGATTTTATATCGTTAAATGTACAATACATTAATAAATCAATCAATATTATTTCTTTCAAATTTAACATCTTTTCAGAGATTTTATAAACACAAGTTTGAGTACCTTTTCAAAAGTCTCACAAAACATTTTGACAAGTTTTGGAGGGAACATAGTTCTATATGTGGAAGTCTGCAAATTCTTTATTATGGAGTCAACTAGGTAGAGTACAGGCAATTTTAAAGATGGCTTCACCTGAAGTGTAAGGAATATATTATTGAATTTAACATTTCAAATTTATAAAATATTACTAATTTACATCACCCAACAATTTTTTCATTCAGTTTCTCTGCTTGTCGGCGCCATTCAATTCAAAACACTGTTTCATCATCACCAGCCTTCACTGAAAAACACCATTTAACTGCATACGGACTTTAACACAAAATGTTCATTTCCATTAAATCATAACATCTTGGCAAATGTTCCATACAATCTGTAGCTAAAATGCAAATCTGTTATATTCCCCCCAATCCCTCGTTCAAAACACCCTTTAACAAACTCAGACCCTGTGGCACCATTCTTATAAAAGGTCACTGCCAATCCAGTCTTTCAAAGTAAACTTGTTATCTGGAAGAAGTTCCATTAATGTTATTTAAGCATGAATATACATTTAACTAGTTTTCTTTGATAAACTGGAGGCAATGGCCTTAAAGCTTCCCCATCATAAAGCTAATATGGTAATCACAAATTCTACATATCAAGGGTGTACATGTACCTAGTATCAGAATCAGGAAACTGTATCAACAATATTTCTCAAGTTATCGGTTATTACACTATAAATCAACAAATCACGATACTAAGCATTGGAAATAAAATTAACATTTTACAAAAATACTGATAAATCGATAAATGATACAGTTCCCTCTCTTGTGATACCCACCCTAAAATATGTAAATATATTTTATCCATTTCTGCACATTCACTGCATCATTCAATTTGTTCAAATAGCATCAGAGTCAATTACGAAAAATTATCATATTTCGGCATCCATTCGGGCTTGGATGCAATGTCAAGACATTTGACAAGATTTTGACCGCTGAGCTCCTATTTCATCCATTCAGCACAAATTGTTTATAAGGTTCAAATAAAACAAAAAACACAGTTTCAATATCATTTATTTTTCACAGAATAAATGCACACAAGCCAACCCAAATTAATCTCATTAAAATTTAATAGTGATCATGTGGCCTTTGGAAAATTCCAACATTAAATAGGATGTACTGAACTAATCAGGGTATTACTTGTGTGCATTTAACAGAGCATCATGGATTTTCATGTTGGCATTTTAGAGCATAGAGTAGGGATGGGCAATATCTGCTATTTTTGTCTTTCCGGGATGACAAATAGATATACAAATCACTGCTCATTAACAGTTGATGGTTTCCACTTCCTGTTTACGGGTGTATTTCGTAGGGGGATGAATTTTGAGTTGTTGATAAAGGTTCATCGTACGGTATTCTCTCCTTTAGCCGTTTGCAAACAAAATTGACAGAGAATAAGTCTTCTGCTGTTCAGCGAGTACCCGAAATACAACCAAACATCGCTTGTAATATTTCTCTTTGGAACAAGTTGGTGCTGATTGAATCGAAACTGACATAATGTCACCAGGATCTTGACCTGTTTCTTGAACAATTTTTTTTGTTCATGTTAAGAAGTCATTGCATTTTCTGAAGAGCAACTACATGTAAAGCTTTACCGGTTATTGGATCACATATTACTAGTTTTCAAATCAGCTGGTAATTTCGAATAACAAAGTTTACTTTTGTGAACATGTACTCCTCAGAAAAGAAATTTGCATTTTATATATAGTAAGTTGCAGATTCGTAATTTCAAATCTGTGATAATTTACGAAGATGATATTATTGACGATAGTGTCGCTATCTCTTTTTTTTTTACATAATATATTCATTACTAGAATTTTCATACCAGTTACAAACTTACAACCAAAATATAGAAATATTGCCCATCCCTAATAGAGAGTAAGGTATTTGACCCAATATAGAAGGAAAATTTAGAAGTAAATGAGCTACATATAGAAAGATCCTTCATGTAACACTGCATCTAGTTTTATATTAAACTGTGTGAATTGGGTATTCAACATACAGACACAGTCAGCATATTTTACATCAGATATGATACTGTGGAAGATAACTGAATGATTCATGATAGTTAATCGTAAATGTGTGGCAATTATTGTATAGTTTCTGCAGTCAGGTATAGTTTTGAATGTCGATTCATTTTTAAACTCTTACCAGAGGGTCGGTTAAATGAGATAGTAGCCTAGGCGTATGTTGAATATAAGTACTGTTGTGTTTTAGCATTATATGGCTGGCCGGAGAATATTTTTGTGATTTTCAAACTGTTATGAATTTATTCCATTTCATAAAGTGGGAACAAGCTTCAACAGAGTAGAGAGACTTGTTTGCTTCTCATCTGTATTTGCTTGCAGTACTGGGAGGTTTTACAAATATTTTGTTTTAAAGTAAATATGTATAATGTCCAAGCGTTTCAAGGAAATAATCCTTTACTTTGGAACTATGCATAAAATAATTTCGATCTGATAAAAATCATATCTTACTCGTTTCATTACATATTTGCTGGTGAGTGAGGTGAATGTTCTGATGGCTGCGCACAAACATTTTGAGTATATAACTGTCTGTAATGGTACAAATGGTTGTATGTTGTGGTAAAATATAGAAAAATAAGCAAATCTTGAGTAGATTAGTTACTATAAAAGTTTGGAATATATTATCGGATATAAATGTTACTCTTCCAGGCAGAGCATAGAAATGCCAATTATACAAAGTTAATTACAATGCAGTGTCTTCTCTAAATTAGACTGGCATTTTCTCAGCTATAAATATATGTCTTTGATATTCAGAGCGATATAGATTTTTGGAGTAAACATAACACGTATAGGGGACAATTGGACATTCGCTGACAAATAGGAGCCAATGTATATGTTAACAGCCAATACAAAAACAATGTATGCTTTACAATATGGAACATCTTAGATTATGCAAATTCTGTTCTGCGATATGAACTTCAATTTAGAAGCAAGGGTATTTATAACTAGTAAGTTACAAATTTTGGTAAATGGGTACGCACATATGCCATTATGATTGTTATTTCGAGCAGTAAACCCAATAGCCATTCTAAATAATTACACCCTACACTCTGGTAAAATGGTCTGTCTTTTACTCCAAGGGATAGCCACCATTTATATGGATCATAATAGATGCTTCTTCACAAAATGAAATTTTGTTTTGACACCCACCTCCGCTTTACACGATTACATTACAGTGGGAATGAGGATATTATGCAAAGTATGTTGAAGATTACTTCCCACTTCCAAAACAAATGCTTAGAAGACTCATAATATCTAATACCATACCCAAATACAGTTAACATAGACAAAGTTCATCTCAATGTAAGGTGGACATTAGTTCTAAATATTTCTGAACAAGAATCTTTGTTAAAGCCTGTCTCATAAAGAGAAATGCGTACACACCATTCGAAATATGACCATTACTGTTGGCTAGTTACTAAGTGTCAGCACTGTGACTGAGACTTTTACCGTTATGGCTTCGCACCTGTTCAGCCAAATAAGTTGGACAATATTTTCAAATGTCACAGATATGCAGATGGGGTGTTAGTTGGGACTATTACTATAAAGTTTCAGGGTCCAGGACCATTGTCATGGCTTTCCACACCACCCATTAAGCCAAAGAAAGTTGAAGCCCATTCTCAAAAGTCACAGATTGCCAATTGACAAAGCGGAGGTGTAATGTTGCAGGGGTACCGATGCGTTTGAAGCCAAATATGTAGAACAATAATCACATGTCTGCACAGATGGGTTTCAGGACCTTAAAACAAAGATCTAGTTCAAAAATATCAAGAAATCTGAACAATGTGTATACATGGCATCGTACTGCTATACGATAAAACAACAAATAGTCAAAAAAAATTTAATTAAGTATTCTTAATAAGCGTTCAGGTTCATAAAGAATTTTTATTAATGTTACAAAAGGTTCCATCTTTTTTGGTTATGTTTGCCACCTTACATGCAGAAATGTACTTTTGTAGGTAGAAATATGCAATACACAAATGAGACATACAGTAAAAAGTTTTTTATTTCACATGATACTGAAAATATGAAATTATTAGGAAAGAAAACATTTTTAACATTGCCATTGGATCTCTTCAATAAAATAAATATTGCAATACCGCCGTAACTTAGATTATAACCCGTATTCAATATTAGTAATATTTTCTGTATGTAAAAATAGCTTTTTACGTATGGGTCTATAAAAAAAACCTGCTCGATAAAGTACATGATAAAAGCAATGCGTCATACCGTTACTTTACTGGGGATAGTCACGTGGCCAGAGATACGATAATCAACAAGACGGCACACTACAAAAGACGCCATATTGCATTTCTCATGAAAATGGAGTATGATGAAGCTAGCATATTGTGAACTTATGAAGGCATAATTTATCTAATAGAATGATGAAAATTAAAACAAAATCTAAACAAAAACCTTCTGGATGTGGTCTTCGATAACATCGATAATAAGAGCCGCATGCTGTTCGTGGTCGTCGGCTAACATCGTCAACATGTTGATCAACGGTTTGCTGTTTTGGGATAGGTCTTTCAGGGACGACCTGTACGCCTCTGCTACTTCTGATTCCATCGCTAAGATATTCTTCTTTCGGTGACAATATTAATATTTACCAAGCCATGGATAAAACTAAAATGTTTTTTTGTTCCAAAGGTAAAACTACTGCAGCAATATTGTCCGCCGTCCTGGGCAGTATTCGAAGTGCCTCCGTCCACCTCTCCGGGTGTTGAGCTTCTAGATGACCTACTTTAACGTGATTCGCTGAAAGCAGAAAATGATCCTCTTTTCAACCAATAGCAATGAAATCCGTATAATCTCGAATGTCCGGACGCTTTTGGAATGAACAAAGATAATGATATCAATCCCAGGTCCAGTGACAGTGTGCAAAACACGTTGATAATATCCGCCCGAAAATATATTAAGTCATATTACGATTTTCAGGAATTACCTGCACCAAACTCTGCTCTTTTGAATTATAATAATGACATCAATAAAATTAAATCCAAATACCGATAATTTATTTGTCCTACTATTATTCTTTTGTTTATTTATATTTTAGTTTTTTGTTGTTGTTGTTTATCTAAGGTAAAGGAGACTCATCAATATTCAGGATTGACTGTGGTATATAGTTCGTTGGCAATCTTTTGCTTTTATATTGTTAGTTATACGTGTAGTGGGTCACGGCCGTGCCTAAGTGGGTAAGACGCTGGCTGCTAGCCTGGAGGTCAGGTGTTTGTAATAATAATTATTGATCCCTGCATTGGCGGGGAAAGTTCATCCAGATTTTCCGGCGTGGTTCCCCCTTGTCAGTGATGCAGAACGGAGGATCTGACAAGACAGACCCTGTGTCTAAGTCGTTCGGATTGTACGAAAAACCGAGGTCCTACACATTGGCGTACACGTAAAAGATCCCTTAACAGTTGGAATTCGATATACGAGTAGGCTGTAGTGCCGCTGTCCGGGCAAACATTCCCTCATAGCACACTTAGTAGACCCGATTTTATTTCATTTCTTACATACATGTAGCTAACTGCCCTTATAATGCAAGAGACAAAATAATCGAGACTACGAGACACTCTCGGTAATGACGTCATGTTTTGACTGATTTTCAGCAACATCCGGTACAAGCTGTTTTCTATCACGTCGTTGGTAATTTCGTGTATTTTTACACATAACTTAACAAGTGGCTCAATTAGTAATATGAATTCATTTACAATCTGATGATCTGGGATTATCACTATAAATGAAGCGTTTTTGACTTAATATTTTATTGTTGAACGCGATAGCTTGACTTGGATATTTTTGTTAATAACTGTTAATAACTTAATCCATAGATAGATAGTGTGAGACGTTAGTGAGCGCAAACTTTGGAGTCGAAGAGGCAAGTGCTGCTGTTCAAAAAATGTAATTTTGACAGTGTAAATAATATAATGTGATTTGAATTCTTTTTGCCGATATAAATACAAATTGTTTAACACTTTTTTAAATTGATTTTCTTGTCAAATTAGATATGCCATACATGATACACATGTACCCCAGTAGTTGTTCTTGCACAATGTATGTAGGATAACAAGAAAGACTGATAACAGTGTTTACTTTAATTCTTGTGAATCAGTTGTAGGCCCGAATCATTCTTGAAGTGTGTATGGTGTATCATGCAGCATTTATTTTTTTATAACCTGTTTATGAGCTAAGAATAACACGACTCCAAGAGTATATTTTCTTAATGGTGACAAAAACCAGGACGCAGATCAAACATTTTGTGAGAACAACAATTTAACAGGAACAGGCCTTGACATTTAATATAGTTTGAACTTTGACACATGCCCTATAATGTAAATGTTAAATACTTGACATAAAGTTCTCAGCATGTTGTCCAAAATGTTAATCAAGATAAAGATTATGGTTTCTTTACTAATTCACTAAGCAAACTTACTGAATATCTATATACCGTACATGTTATATTTTATTAAAATTAAAGGAACTAAAATTAACTGTAGAATTAGTTTTGATATATTGTTTTAATACTGATTGACAGGTTTCTCAAATCAAGATAAAAAAAGGTCAGCAAATACCTTTTACTACAGCACATGTTTAAAAACTAAAGCCTTAATGCACTATAAGGCTAATAGTCATTTTCCTTATATACTATAAGGCTAATAATAGTCATTTTCGTTATTATATAGATTTAACAAAAATAAATTAATTCAAAAGTTAAATATATATACCATCTTGATAGAAAATGTTATTATTCATGAGTAGCTGACTAAATGTAATGTTCTGGGGACTTTGACTTTATTAAGGAATATTCAATTTTAATGATGTTTGGTACATGTATACTGTACCCTGGAAGAATTAATTAGAGAAATATGAATTAATTATATTGTTTTCAGAGGTTTACATGGTACAAGCTTACATAGATTTATGAATATGAAAAGTTTGACTTGAAATTGATGATAAATCTTATTTTACAGAAAAGAGGCTAATTGATGGAAGACTATAAATATTTGTTTAAAGTTGTACTTATTGGAAATGCTGGTGTTGGTAAAACATGTTTAGTAAGAAGATTTACAGAGGTAGGTTCTAGTTTGTGAAAATCCCAGTTAATGCCAAAATAAAGTCAAAAGTATGCTTTCATAACAGAGTATTGTAGCTAATTACTTTAATAAAATGATTGTGGCTTTATTTTTTTATTGTGTATTATAAGCCTGCACATTCTTTTTACACCATGAAAGAGTAGGACGTTAAACCCCATATATTCATTTACACCATGAAAGAGGCTGGCCATATTGTCTGTTCGTGTATTAAATACTTAAGCGCAATATACTTAGCCTAATTTAATTTATAGTGCTCTGATTAATTGGAACTATTGTTATTTTAACACAATGTTATTAATTAAAATCCAATTAATTACATACCAGTTTATCTTTTATCTAGATATACTTGACACTTAAACAGTAATCAATTCTTGTAATTCATATACTTATTTATATAAGACAATTAATGAAAATTATTAAATACATTTTAGGGATTATTTCCTCCTGGTCAAGGAGCAACAATTGGTGTTGATTTCATGATTAAAACAGTTGATGTCGATGGAGAAAAAGTAAAGGTATTATATTTTAGTTTTATATATCCGATGATTGCAGTAAACAATGGAGAAATGTGTTTGACGTCCACTCAAGAGAAATGGGTTTAAGCTGCTCTTGACACAAACTATGTCCTTGGTTGAATCAATTACTATGAACATTCATTAATGATAGGTAGAAAAGGCATAATTTTGTCTTATTTAATCCCAAAACTATAAGCCAATAATTTGGATAGTTCACATCTTTTATTCTTGTTCTTTCTTCAAGACAATCCCATTTAAATCCAGGTGTTGATGAGACGTTAATTCAGTCTGTTCTAATTTCATTTCATAAAAGCTATGTTTTGTTATAATATTTTGTATTATAGCTTCAGATATGGGATACAGCAGGTCAAGAAAGATTCCGTTCTATAACCCAAGCCTATTACAGATCAGCAAATGCTTTAATTCTAGTCTATGATGTATGTTGCCAAAATTCCTTTGATAGTCTTCCACAGTGGTTGAATGAAATAGAATTATACGCCGGAAGCAAAGTTCTTACATTTTTAGTTGGTTAGTAGAATATATTGAATCTTTAGGGAACATCGTAAAATATCAACACTTGTGTCCAAATGAAGAACTGGGTGGGTGGGTTGAACAAAACTGTGGATAGAAAAGTACTGTAATGGCACACGGATAGGCAGTTGGGTTGGTGGGTAGAGATCTATCCGTGATTATTTGTTTGAATGCAGTATTGAAATTTTGCAACTGTCCCTTATGATACAAATAAAATTACTACACAATGTTGGTGCCATTTGTAATCAACATAGAAAACATATATTACATTAATGTATGCTTTTAGACCCATTTTCGTCTGTTTTAAGGTTACTTATGTAATATTTTAAAATATTTTTAGGTAACAAGGTAGATAAAATGTCTAAAGAAATTCCAACTCAAATTGGTCAGCAATTTGCTCAGAGATATGATATGGCATTCATAGAAACATCAGCTAAGGAGTGTGAAAATGTTGAAAGACTCTTTATGGATATTGCAAGAGGATTGACAAAAAGAGCCAGGGATCTGAATCTGCAGCCAGAAGAAAATAATGAATTCCCATCGGGAGGTTCGACCCCTATATCTACGTTTAGTTGTTGTAAGATCTGATTGTTACTTTACAATTGTACAACAAGATTATTATCGATAATATATTTATATACAAATATCGCCTAAGATCAAATGGGTTACAGTATGCTTAGAAAATGTTGTAAGTTTTTCATTCCAATGATGACACGCTTTGAATTTAACCAGTCACTGATGACTTACATTCAAGGAGCAAATTAAGAAGGAAATATTATGGAACTATACTATAAATAGTTATAATTACTATGAATTTCAAAATTATCCCCTGAAAGATATCTGAAACCCATGTTTGATCAAATACGATACATGTACATATATAAAGAAAAGATCAAAATATATAATGAACAATTCTGCATTTACACATTGCTTCCAGATTGAAAAAAATACCGGTAATTATCTATTCTGCATGTTTTGGAATATTATATATTTTGTCTACTTTAATTTGGGAAATCATTAAATTTCTTTTCTATGTTCTAAATAGAATCTTCGGATCACAATTTGACTTTTAGAAATTAAAGTAATAACAAATAAACAATTTTTGAAAATGACTTAAAACTATCATATATCTGATTTCTTTTGGTCGTTCATTTCATTAAAGTTTTTCACTGCAACAACACACAACATAACAACTTTAATATCTTGGGACCTCTTTTATTTTTAATCTGAAACATCTATTGGCTATAATATCTGAGATATTAGTCTTAATGGAGAAGTCCCAGATTTCTCAGGTTATCCTTTCATACAGGTATATTTAATTATGCGCACAATTATCATTTCTTAATTTCTCCAATAAAATTATTGAGCTGTTTGGATATAATTGCTGGATTTGCCTAACAGGGTAATGTAACTTATTTAATTAGGGTATTTCAGAGTTCAGTTCTATGTCTTGATAATCATGACAATCACTTTCTGCAACAACTTCTGCATATATATAAATATGGTTATCCAGACACACATATAATGTATTCGGATGAAGGTTTCCAAGAGGCTTTCACTCAAAATTGAAATTTTATAAAGTAAAATACAACTTGGACAAGATTTTAATTTTTTTTTAACAATTCAAGAGGTCCTAACCTTTTAAATTGATTGTTGTGCCTTGGTTTCGCCAGGTACAGAATTTGATGAGTTGACAACGAAGATGTTTGTTTATATATTGAGATAGATAACATGTAGATAAGTAGTATATGAAAGTATCCAACTTGTGTTCGAGATTTGGTATCACATACCACATTTTTTGAGTCCATCAGTAAATTGAGATGTAACACCAAAGAATAATCTCATATATGTAAAGCAAATATTTATTGTATTTTGTTTATGAATTCCAATTTGTGATGAATTATTTTTATTACTGAGATTAAATCTTAAAAAAATATAGAACAAATATCCATAGAATAGATAGAATTATACTAGAATATAGATGTCCATTTTCCATGACCCACGATCACTCGTCATTGTGACGTTGAACATCTGAGAACCCAAACTTTGATTTATATAGTTATACAATAATAGTGTATAATCAAGAGATTCTGGTATTTTTTACACACTGAAATTAGTGAGTGATGGCATTATGCATTTGCTTTATGAACTCAAATATTACTCCAAAAGTGAATGACAAGCAAACAGCATTTGAATCCCAAATTTCCAGAATCAGCATTGTTAACAGTGATGCTGGGTAAAGTAAAGAGAATGACAAATATTATATTATATTTAATAGTCCACTGATTTATGTATGGTATACCAGTTATTTTATATCACATTTAATCAAACTACTACCAGTGGAAAATATATACAGTTTTAAAATTCTTCACTCAATTTATATGTTTATTGGCATTTAACACATATTAGCTAAGGTGCTAATTACTACTATCTATTGCCATGGTTATAATGAAATTTTAAATGTATACAGTTAGATGTATTAAGGCTGGGGCTACATATATCATAATGATTGCATCCTTAGGAATATTAAATGTCTGGAATAAAAAAAACTACGTTACTCCTGGATAATCAAGCCATTTTATAACTGACAGATTAACAAAGGTCTGAATGAATCTATTTTACAATTCATGCCTTGTGACTTACTTATTGACCACTCTCACTTAAGCTAAAGTCTCACTAGTGATTGACAGTTTTCAAATTTTAATGGTTCACGATTGTCTGTAAAAAGTAACATTTTAGTGTTTGAGTCTGTAAAATGAATCTAAGTAAGAGACAAGTATGATAGGATTTGTAAGTTTTACTTATCGTTGAGACCAGTCTGCTTTACAGAGTATAATCTTAGATTATATTTTAATGTTGAGCAGTAGGTATATATGTTTCTTTATTTGATTCATTGATAATCATTACAATGAAAGCTATAATTCCTTCGGATGGGACACAAAATTGAGATCCACATTTGCATGCAGGTAAAAGAACCCTTGATGGCTGGAATTCGAAGAAGACTAGTCTTTGCCCCTCACATTGGATAAGTAAACATAGAAATGATCAGAGTACGGTAATGTGTTGATAAGATGTTAAATTCTACTCGATTCCATTTTAAAAAAGCCCACCGATTTAGAATGCTTTCCTTGTATATCCAGCCTTAATACATAATTTTATTATATTGTTTATTGCATAATAATGATGTCACAACAATAAAATCAAAAGTCAATGTTATTATAATAAGTACAGATCTTTATTTCATTGTTAAAATACATTATATTTGTTTGTAAAATATATACGATGTATATTTATAATTATATGTAAAAATATATTTTCTTTTTTTTTATTATATGATATAGATCTATCTGAATGTAGTGCTCTTTTGTTTCCATGTTGTAAACATGCATGTAGTATTATTTTCTTCTTTTTCATGTTAAATTTTATTTTTGGTCCCAAATTCATAGTGACTTAAATTTATATAATTTTTTATGATAAATGTTTTGATGAGCAATTTCTTTAATTATAAATATAATTAAAAGGCTTTTCTAAATATGCCATTTATAAATATGATTAAAAGGCTTTTCTAAATATGCCATTTATAAATAATAAGGATTTCAAGCTTCAAATACATGTCTATGACAGTCTGTAGACTTAATAAATGATTTTTGAAAAAAAAATGACTTGAAAGTTGACAATGATATGAGACATGTAAATTTTCCTAGCCTACTTTTGTCTGAAAATTTATCACAAGCTGCCCAAGTTTTTATAGATGTTTATAATGATAAGAAATTGTTTGTCATTTCATTAATCAATGTTTACACATATATATGTCTATTTTTGTTGTTGTTTTTTCTTGTTTGCTTTTTTTTTTCTTTCTGGACATCGCTCATCTAGGCAAGTGCAATTTAAATATTACATTTATATGCTCACATCCTACTTTACTTCCATATATAAATATATAATATAAGGTATGTTATATTGTTTCAGTATTATTATTTGTTAAGCCTTTTGAGTTTTTTGTCTTTATATCTTAGAAGCAGAAATATGTATATGTAATTTAGTCAATCCTGAAATGAAACTGGTCAGCAGTTACTTTCATGTCACAGTTATGACAGTGGAAAAAAAACCAAAGTCCCAAAATAGTCTTCCATTAGGTTAATATATAGGTTAAGTGGAATTTAGTAGATTAGATCATTTTATATGTATGTCGATATCTAAGGTCATTCATTAAACATGCATTATGCAAGAGTTAAATCTGCCTATTGCAGGTCTTTCTTTATCCCTTAAAGGTTATATAAGTTATTAATTAGACATTAATTAACTTACCAAACCCATAATCAACTATCGATGCCATCAGATAGTCTAGATTTTCAATAGATTTAAATATGATTTCTGGTTTATATTTAACGTAAAAATGAATAATGAAGACTTTGTTTATTATCGTAACAACGGTAACAATGACAGTGGAGGCTATCCAAGATAACTTGGCTCAGAGTGAAGTAATTTGACTGAAATTTTCAACATATTCCTTTTTCATTATCTATTTTTTAACTGAGAACTGTCAGCTCTTTATCTAGTCTTACATAATGCTCCTTTAAGGTTTTCTCTCAACAAATTCCAAAACACAAATTTTGGTATTATTTTCTAGAACCTTACTCAGTTAAGCTAGAATGCGAGGAAATAGATAATACAAATTATTAAACCCCACAAAAAATAATGAAAAAGATAAAAGATTTTCTGACTGACTGACCCTATTTTGAGGGGTCAAGTAACCGTAAACACAGGTATTTTTTTCCTGGGCCTTATAGGGAATGTGATGGACAGTATTTGTCATAGATACAGCATGAAAGATGAATGAACTGACTGTATTGTAACCCGAAAAATTCATATGTGCAAGATACAGTTTTTTTTGCTAGGTAATGTTTGTTTATATTGAAACAAGCTAATAGCTTTTAAAAAATGAGTCATATGTCTTTTATTGAACTTTAGGGTGGGCAAATTCATAGTGACCACTGAGCTCTTGCTGAAGTATCATCACATTCTGATATCACTAGGAATTATAAATAAACACTGTGTAGCACTCTCTGTCTCTAAGTTATTTTTCAAATTATTTTACATAGATATTGAGATATTGAAATTTGTCAGGACTGCATACCTTAAAAAGTATCAAAATAAGGAGAGATAAATATGTTGTCAGGAGAGGTATATGCTTAAGAATTTTTGTACCTGTTATAGTTAAATAACTAGAGAATCGTCATTGAATGTCATTTCCATATAAACAATTGTGCTAGTCTGATCTGACAGTATTACTTGTGGTATCTATCATGGATGTTTTTTTCTCAACTATTTTTATATATTTACAGCATTTATAAAATATATAAATATCATGTAAGATGTGTTTTACATAAAGGGGGTTTAGAACTGATGAATCATAGAACCTAGTAAATAAGCTCTAAAGAAAAGTCTCTGGGAATATTTGCAGTGTTGCTGTAGTGGCTATCATCACTCTAAAATGTGAGCTACAAGTCCCTACCCAGTGAAGCCAAAATCTTTACAAGGCTCCTGGACATGTACAATAATTTGCAGAGTGATTTGAATTGGGTGTTGATGTCCAGGGGACCATTTCGCAGAGCACACAAAAAAGTCAATAGCATTGTATAGTAAAATAAATAATGTTTGTGTACGTAATTCTTATAGACCCCCATACACTAGAGATCATTTTCATTTATAACAGCTTCATTAGATTTTATATTAAAGAGGACTTTTTGAGAAATACTGCCCATCTATTATTTTATATTTTATTATATGTATATGCAGGACAACAATTCTGATGAATTTAAAGTTGCATTATGTAAGAGCTAAACCTCTCTTTTTTCTGGCTTCAAATGTTGTATAAATTATTTTTTAGACATTTATTCACATAAGTCCATAATCAACTCTCTTGACTATTGGATGGCTAAGATATAAATTGAATTAGAAAATGTCTTCCATATCTTCATAAAAATGGAAAATCAAGAGGTTTACTATAGTAGCAATGGTACTCGACAATCAGGACTTTTTATGCTATTTCTTGTCAAAACTTCAAACATTCATAACTTTGCTCAGAATAAATTAATTTGAGTAAAATTTCAATATATTCCTTATCTATACTTGAACTTTCATAGCAAGAACAGCTAACTTTTTTTTATCTAAATATTACATAATGCATCTTTAATAATATTTTGGCTCCTAATTTATACCTTTTTTGCCCCTCACACTTTTTTTTTAAAATTTTCTTTATACATAAATTTGTGCATGCTTTGTTTTTTGTTATATTATGAAATATGTAAAGTGAGAATATTAAATATAATGTTATAGCTTTATGTAATATGAGTGTATGTTTTTTCTATAAAGATGATATTAATCAAGGAACAGTCATTTGAAAGAATAAGCTCCCTGGCATTCCTGAACATTTCAACTAAAATATTCATATATAGAAACAATGGAGAGAGATAGGCCTGGTTCTCTCTTGTCAAGAGTGGGGCTAACACGGAAACTGTGCATAGTCTTCCGTATGATACGAGAAATCCTTGTACACCCAAAAGCATGTAAAAAAATGTGTGGAATTTAATGAAGAGTTGGTAAAAATATCTCTATCTCTCATTGCATATGTAACCAACTATCCATTGACATAACAAATGACCACAGTATTGTGTTGACTTACAGAGACATATCCATAGAACACTTGGCCAGTGAACATGCTCTGGTGACAAAAGCTGAGACTCATTCTGTGGAATAATAAATAAATTAGATAGAAAATCTGTACATTAGGAACTGTCACATTATGGAAATGATGACAATATTTTATTGTACATGTCTGACAAAAAAAAATTGTCTATGAGACTTCAAAAGAGGGAGAATCCTGTGGTTTTGTCAATAAAGGAGCCAAGAGAAGAATGGTCCCATGAATTAGTAGATCATATATATATATATAACCTGGACTGAGAAGTATATTACAGATATATTTTATCTATGACACACTATGACAGATACAACAAATAAACAACCATTTTATTATACAAATTGAAAGAACTTATCTTATATACATATAAATTCTGAAAATAAAATGTGACTTCACATAAATAATGATTAACTTTCTTGGGATTAGATCAGGCTACCATTGATCATACATTGAGGACCACATTACATAGTCCTTACAAATTTCCTTCTTTTGAACATTTCTATTAATCTCCTCTACTGCCATCAAAATGTTGTTTTTTATATAATCACCAAAAATGGTACTTTGTATACTTAGGGGGAAAAGAGTGAAACTTTGCCAAAAGAGGATATCGTTAATCATAATCCATGTGAAATAAGTCAAATTATACACACACATACTTTATTATTAGTCTGTTATTTTCAAATGTTTGCCATTATGTGGTGTATTTGATAATAGTGATAGTAGTCTATCACAAAGCATAAAATATAATTTTACTCTAATCTTTGGTGAATGTCTAAGGTCCACAATTATAATTCCCACAGGAAGCTTTTATTCCATAATCTTTGGATTTCTAATGTAAATGTATGTACAAGTGTAGATAATTCATTTGGCAAGATAAGGTATATATATATATATAATATGTATATAAAGTTGGAGTATAAGATGATATGAGTATTAAAATATCTTTAAATAACATTATACAAAACACTGAGTAGCATGTTTTACCCAAATCCACCATAGCTATCACTACTGATCTAAATGAATTCTCAACAAATGTTTTTATTTAACTATTCCTGATTCCTGAGTTTTGGGACCGAAAAAAAAATAAATGTCCCAAAACACTACCTCTATACAATTCCCAACCTAATAAAGCTACATGTATGTCTATTAAAGTCACATAGCCTTCTTTTCTTATAGAAAATATCTAACTTATTTTAACTTTCCTAGATATATTTTACCCTTGTAGATTATTTAGTGATTAGCATGCAAGTAGACCACAACACCAGATGATTATCCAGTCCTAGAATGGGGAAATAACCTTTCCTACTGTCTGGGTTAACCCTCTACTAACATGATGTCCAAGGAAAAATTCAGAATATGCCGGAAATGAGCAGAATTTATTGAGGTATACATATTGGTATCAATAATAAGCCTAATTAGAAGCTAAGATGGATTTGGGTAGAATTACATGATAATCACAATAACAACACCAAAGTGTCCAAGGTACATTGATTTTAACTATTTAATATATACATAATTTTCTTTTTTTAATAAATGATAAACTGTAGATCACCTTATAAAAACCTCATTTCAACTGTCACTGACTATCAATTAGGCATAAACAGTCCATTCATTGCCATAAAACATACAAGCAATAGGCACAGTTCCATTCATTGTCATAAAACATACAAGCAATAGGCACATTCTATATCACTAAGCATGATACATACATGTAGTTTATGTCAAGACACTCGTTCTATGTCACTTCTTTTTTTCTCTTTTTTTTTATGAGGTCAATTGCAAAACAGCCAATAAACAAACAAAACCACACCATAATTTATTGTATTAATATTGCCTTCATTTTCACCCATTAGCACTTAAAGCGCCTCAAACCACCCTAACTGGGGCTCTTTAGGCCCGCCCGTCACATGAACAGCTGTGGTGCCCAAGAACTAGCAAATGGTTCTATAATATGGAACGCTGTTCACACATCTCGGTGGTTTGAGGGGTCTAAGGAACAACAGTTTTGGATTGTGTCCTGGTATTAATATATCACTTTTGTTTACTTTTCTTCAAAGAACTTGGGTTCATATACCAAATGTGACCGGGTTAATAATGAATTATCCTCAACAGACACAATCAGTTTAGTACATATTCTTGTTTTGTGGGGAAAAGTTTCATTGCCATTCCTTCATATATCACCCAAACTAACGGTCAGAGAATGACCATTATTCAGACGCTTCATAAAACTACTGAAGAATAAAAAAAACACTATGCAGAGAAAAATGTTTTTTGTAGAATGCAGCAGACACAATCTGCTGGAATATTCTATGACATAATTGTCGTGAATACAGTATATGAAACTTTAATGTTTAATTATCACTTAAACCTGTTTGAGCTTGTGAAATATCCAGTGTAGAAGTTGACCCTTGATCATCATCATCAACAAAAATAGGATTTAGAGCCCCTATACTTGTAAAATGGCCGTCTGGTACTAAATTTTCTGTTGATGGATCTCCAAGTGTATCTGATTGCGAGAAATTGGAAGAGGCAGACGGAGCATGCTTTTTCTTCTTTGATGTACCATTTGGAGTGACGTAACCTGTCACCCCAACAACAATGCCATCGCTTAAAGGCTGCATTCTGACATGAACATCATTCAAATTTATATGGTTGCCATTGTTTACTTGGTGTCCATTTTCTTTATTCACTGGTTGACTATATCTTTCTGGATATGAATGTGTATTGGTGGTGTTTTCATTAGTGTATGTCGTTTTAGGTCTGGGTATTCTAGTCAGAGTAAAGTCTTCCAGTTTTAAATTGACATGTGGCATATCTAGCAAATCAAACGACTGTGCATATTTTCTCCGATAACATTCTTTTATGCAGACAGTTATTCCGATCACAAGTAATACTCCACAAATACAGCATGCGACAATAATAACGATAATATCAATTTTATCAATACCATGTCCTGGTAAATCTAGACTATTTATGTCCGAATCTTGTAATGCCACTTCCAACACTGACTGAGCTGTAAATGTAACAACTTTATTTTCTATAAATGTAGGGACAACAAGATTTTCGCTTGCCACGACTGTCTTGAGAGAACGGTCCATTTCTGGACACGAAACATTTTTGAAAGTTACATAGATTTTAATAGATCCACATGATATATCGTGAGGTTTGATTCGATCATTTGATATGTCCAGTTTTTCAACCAGTGTTTCTCTTAATCCTTCAATAAATTCAGCTAAATACAAAGTGTTATTAGTTACAAGCTGACAATCTCCAGCAAATGTGAACAAGAATCGACAATCTTTGAAAACATTTTTCATGTCTGCTTCTGTTGTTTTTGTCATCACCGGTGTTATAATTTCACTGGAGATGGTAGATTGCATCTGTGTTGAAGATATGAAGTTGAAAGATTCTGTAGAGTGGTGGTGGTCTATTGTAGTGTGTTCTTCTCTTGTAGTGGGCTGAACAATTCGAGAAAATGATGAGCTCAAATTCAGAGTTATCCCCCTTGATGTGCTTTGAAGGGAACTGACTTCAATGGAAGACTGACTAAGATAAGCTTTAGAAGGCAAGATTTTCACAGTTGATGTTTCTGGAAGCTGCGAACTACTACTACTACTAATTAATTCCTGAGTAGTTGTTGGCATTTTGGTTGTTAATTGTGAGCTAACTGTTGATTGTCGTTTGGCATAAACACTTGGTAAAACAGGAGTATGCCACATTATTGTTGAGGTTGCGTCTGAAGGATTTGGATAATATAAAGAAGACGTAGAGTCAATAGTCGCAACTGTGGGTGAACTTTTGTAATAATTTGATAATGGAGTTATCGTTGGAGAGGAATGTAGTGAAGAATATATGAATTTAGTTTCGTATCTGGAAGACATTGGCGATACAGGGTGTCTATTGGATGATATTCCACGAAAAGTGTCAGCGCTATCCACATCATAAAATATTTCAAAACTATTAGAGAATTCGGAAAACATTGGCTGAGTGTAGGCTACAGTCGGATATAAATCCTCGTGCCATTCACTCGGTTCTATGTCAACTGAACTAAATGAATTACTTACATGTGAAAATGTCGGTTTGACATCAGTGTGTGTAAAAACATGAGAATTATCCAAGACATAATCCCTGCTAGATTGTGTTGTACGTGTTAAAATATGTTGAACGTCGCTAGATGATAAAATACTATTTACTTTTGGTGTAGCATTTATTCTCATTGTATCACTATACCCTGTACTCGCATCTTCGATCAACACAGACCGATCGTCTGCTGATTTTGAAGGCTTAAATTGATCAATTGTTAAACTAGACTGCAACATATAATCTTGTATTGTTTCGTACCGAGAGTGACTATAATCCGTTCGCGGGTTTTCTAAAATTCCGCTACGTGTTTCGAGTGTTGCACTATTCTTCGACTGTTTATACAAATGATTTGCACTGACTGTTGACTGCGGATACCCATCACTTCTGATAAAGCTTTCAGCTGACTTTTTGTCCTCAGTTATCTCTTTGTAAGCAGACGACATTGTTGGCATCACCAAAGGGAGATAATCCATGGAGCTCTGTCTTCCGGCCATGAAATTGTATGAAGTGGTTGTCAAGGAGGAAGCTAATCTATGAACTAATGTAGGATTAGGACTGCTTCTTTGCTCCGGTGTGTTAAGCTGAGCACTACTGAAGAACAGAGGCTGTCGTTCAACATTGTTAGGGGATATAGAACTGTCTGTAGCAACACTACTTTCACCATTACAGTTACCTGAAAAAAAAGATGAAAAAAAATCTATTATATAAAAATGCAGAAGCAATCATCATATACATCAATAAATGTCAAAATGCTGCAATCATTCAGACAAGATATTGATTATTTAAAATGTCAACTATGCAATAAAACTACAACATCCTGTTATTTCCTCATCACTTAATTTGTGATTTCATAAAAAACATAAGCAACTGGCAACATCCATTTTATCCTTCTCTTTTATCATTTGTTAACACATTCAAAGAGTTGTAGTGGATATTATGTACAGTGGGGTGGTTGGGGGGGGGGGCAGATATAGAGGAAGCAAATCATCAAGGCAGTTACCAAGTTGGATCACATCATGACACTTCTACCAAAGAGCGCTTGTAGACAGATTTTATTTAAGACACATTGAAAGTTCTAGTGTATTTTATGGTACAGAAAAACAGTATTAAAAACAATGGTTTTCAGGCATTTAGTAATTGGATAGTTCAATTAACTATAACTTGTACTTATTGAAGAAAAAATTACTAATTTGTTGGCCGACGGTTTTAAGCAAATGCAATACTCTTAGAAATGTCGCCCAAATAAATTAGCATATATTCTTCCACTGGTATAGCATATATATAGTATTTAAAACCCTAGTCTGTAGTTTTTGAAGGTTCAGTTGAAGAGGAGAGAATAACATCTCTATAGACAAAGCCTAATAACAATCACTGTAAATATGGTAAATCTAATTTCCGCTCTCAATCGTTTTGGTTTAAAATACTGCCTAGAGGCATTAAACACTTTACTCAGCAAACTTTCACATTGATTTCAAGTCAAAAACACAACAAATTCTATTATCACATGTACAATGTCTTGAATTGTAAATAAGCTAGGTGAATAAAACTGTTGGCAAAAAGAAGGGGAGGAAATTATCTTATTCTCCGTAAGAAATTAATTAAAGGAAAGGGAGGAAATGGGATGACTGACATTTTTATGACAAGATATAAAATTTTCCCAGTCAAAATCATTTAAGACCATCTAAATCTATGTCGATTACAGCTCTTTAATAATATACAAGTCTCGGATATCTAACATAAGTAATAGCACCCTTGATACCATTTAGACTGTTGACGTATTTACTAAATTTGTCTAGGTTATGTTTGTGTGTAATAAACTTGTCTGGGTTAATCGTCAACAAATTGATTTCTTAAAGGAGTTGTCTCAGACATATTCCAGAAAAACAAGCCAACTGTGAGGCTGATGTCCCCCGCCGAAATCCCAAAATAAATAGATGACACATATTAATTAATCGCACATTTATTTGTTTCAAAAGCATCGAGCAATCAAACTATACACTAAGTTTAATCACTCTCTATTAGATAGAATCAAGATTAACTTGTCCCAAAGCATCGACCAATGAAATTGATTAGCTCTGCTTAGCTTTAGCTCGAAATGTTAATCATTGAACTCAGTCAAGACATTCACCTAATGAACACCTACATCAAGTTAAGTTTAAACATTCTACCTCAATTAAAAGGGTGTTTTCCGGTATTTAGTGTGTTTTCCGGTATTTAGTGTTTTTCGGTATTCAGTATAACATGGTGTTTTCCGGTATATAGTATAACCCTCCAATGTCTTGACCAATCAAATTGCTTATCGCTTCTTAGCCTAAGCAGAAAATTAGAAGGAGATGGACGGATGGGCGGACAGACAGACAGACAGACAGACGAACCCATTATAATAGTCCCCTGCTTTCTTCGAAAGGCGGGGGACAATAAAACTAATTAATTCTATGTGCAAGATCTAATCAACAGAAACTCCTGTGCATCGATCCAAAGCATTGAAAATCTTTCAGAGAAATACAAATGGTCAGTTCCATTGGTAACACATTTCCAAACTAACAACACCAGTAAATGGTGTTCAGATAACCAGATTGATAGGCATGACATTTTACATATCAGTTATTTATCTAAGTTACAAAATCCTGTCTAGATATTTTTGTGATAATTTCCAAATTGCTCAATAGGCTATTTCATCCTACTGGGTGTCCGAAATACATAATTAACCTACTTTTCGGAAGAAAATGGGGTTTGACCTCCAACTATTCTGCACCAACTGGGCTAATGATGACGGGCATACGACATACAGTATGCTATGAGGGAAATGTTGCTTGGACATCAGCACTACAGACTGTCTACAGCCTACTCTTACTTAGAATTCCAACTGTCAAGTGTTCTTTTACGTGCACACCAATGTGTGTACACGGGATTTATCTTTTTGTACTATCCGAACAACTAGACACTGTTTCTAGTCATGCACTGAGGAACTTTATCGGCCAACACCTGGAGCGAACCCAAATCTCCTGGTTAGCGAGCCTGTGTTTTATTCTCTGATCTGTGAATTGATAATATTAACCTTGGTGTTCTAATCCATAAACTTTAATCCACAGTTTCTAAATATGGAACATATCACCAAAGGTCATTCTGTTCAAATTTCGGGTCATGGAAAGAAGGAGAATAATTCTAATGCGTTTATTGATTTCATTGCTATGGTAAATGAAGGTTGAATTCTACTTGATAAACATAATTGATTACATGATGCATGGATTGGTGATTAATTTGAAAATTGATTAATTTTGGGGAAAACAAATTATTCTAAGAATAGATTGTCATTAAGTGAATGTGAAATTTTAAAGGAATATGGAACACAGCAGCTAATAACAACTTCCCCCTTTTGCCTTAATTCTATCTATCTAGTGAAGGGAGTAGAGGCTCCTACATAATCCTTTAAATTTCTTCTTCTCCTTTGAAAGCTGTTTAGATTTCACAAGGGTGTATCTTTAAAGATAAAACCCCACGAAATTATTTATTGGGTAGTTATTTCCAATGAAATTATGGCAATTTTGGTATATGGAAAGTTGAGACACCCAATCTTACAAGAAAAATACTAGATTCGCTGAAAAACACCCATGTGGCACGCACAAGACAAAAATGTGAGGGTGTCCTCGAGTGGCGTAAGGAGCGCTTCCTATGAGCTGATCTAACGGCAAACGGTTGTGAGAACATTGAGAGAATTAAACGTCCAGTAAACGGCGGAAAAAGAATGTGACAGAGGATTATCCAGGAATTTAGTTAGGTTTCGATATTCACGGTAAATGGACAGAGATTAATGACAAATACAAGCTAAAAATGAATTTCTCCCTCAATCAAGTCACATGATAAACAAAGCTGATAAGAATGGATTCTCATGGCATGGGCTAGTTTTTTCCTATTGAGCGGGATTTGAAGCAAACTTTTGATAGATAAACTACTTTGAATATGTTTTTAGTCCGTCTATATCATAAAATCACACACTTTATATACAGGAAGGCATCTTTAAACCAAATGTTTATAATCATAAAATGACATTTTGGTATTTTAAGACTGGAAATAAAATGTATATGAATACCGGTACCTTAATATTTACATGTAGCAATTTGTGCTCTACTGTCCCTGCTCTCCATACAATATACTAACTAATATGGATTGGTATCACGTCATTCAATATTTAATTATCTATATGACATTGCCTTTTTTTTAAATTGGGTTATGCCGTTACGATTTGGAAACCAATACAGTTGCCTTCTGAAGCCAATAGACCATCCTAATTCTAATCAGAAATTCTACCCCCTTTATTTATATTCCTAGGGGCATCTTACAATTGAATCTATTGATTGTCCATATAAAAAATAGCACCACATAAATTCTGAAAACTTCATCCTTTTGAATTAAAGGAATTTCATTAACTTATTTCAAGTTACTGTCACAGTCATAAAGTCGGAGAAACTTGTCCTCTTCGAAGGTCACTGAATAATCAATAGTTTCTCTCTTCAATTCAGTGGCCATGGAGTTTTTAAGCCAGTGAAAGAAGACATTCCATTAAGAAATCCAACTAACCTATAATAAACAACCATATTATTGCAAAAATGCAATTTCTAGAAACCATTTTGTTGGAAATGAATGGCTGACTTTCCGTGACGTCTGCTCCTGGTTATGTCAAATTCTCATCAATAGTCTGAAAAACAGCAAGAGAAAAATAGTAAATAACACATTAGAATTGCGACAGAATTTCTTAATTTTAAAAGAATTTTTTTAAGACCCTGTTTCAGAGGTTCATTAATTTTCAAAGATTTCAATAAATGGGACCATTCCTGAGTATTTTTTCAATTTGGTGCTAGGAGCACATGATTAATCTAAATGATTATAAGTTGCTCTTCATAACTCTGAGTTTATCCGATAAACATGAAGGAACCAATTAAGACAAAGATCTAAATATTTTGGCCATTTTTTACAATTCAGATTCGATATTATCAATAGTTTGAATAAAAATGGATTTTTGATATTAAGATTTTGTAGGGCTCAAAAGACGTCATCCAGAATACATATAACCATTGCTTCGAAAACATATCCAACCTACAATTACCAAATACATTACATCTTTTAAAATACTTCCAAGGAAACAATTTTAACAATCTTCAAATCTTAATGTTGCCAACATCATGAATGGTCAAATGTTGGAATCAGAGTCTATAATTAGATTTTTCCCAGTCATTACAAATATCAAACTTTCACATAAAGGAATTGTAGAGGACTGAGCAGTATCAGGGATTTCATACAGAATAAGCATATACTGATTTGTGCATGACACCCACAATTACTATAATAATATTGATAGTATTTTAACTAAATTCAAAATATGACCCAATCCTGGAATATTTCATGCGTAGTAATAGATTTAACATTTTATGAGACACCTAAATCTTTCTTGTCAGTTTAATAATTTGAACTTTTAATAGTTTTTTTTTTGCCATCTTTAAAGTCCAAATATAGAATACCACATAGAAGCTTGAATACCTCTGAGAATAGATCAATTTTTTAGTCTATCATCACATCACTAACCAGAGGCAAACTCAGCTGGTGAGCCTGTGTGCTATCAAATAGAATTCTTAATTGAACTACCAACCTATATGACATTGAACATATAAGGGCTGACGATTCTTATAAATAGAGTGACTGACATTCATGTTAGAGAAGACGAAAATTGAAAAAATCCTCTGAGATATTTTCTTGACATATCAGTCTATTGTTAAAAATGAAATGAGTTGAAATGGGCTTTATTGTTTTAATAATTTGGCACCAACAGGGGTAATGAAGACAGGCCTTTACCATGTAGTTTGCTATCAGGGAAATTTTGCCCAGGCTATGAATTCCAAGTACCAACAATTCTTTTCCGTGCACGCTAACAAGTACATTGGTAGAATTTGATTTTTCAAATGGCTGGAAGCTCTTATCTAGTCAAGCCTCCGGAACCCTAGTTTAGCTAACTACAGTATGCTGACAGCCCCCCTCCCTCCAAAAGGATGAGTTCTATTCTGAAGAGGGTGGAGGAGGACAATAACTCAGCCAATAATCATGTCAGGAATGTCCAATAAATAGCAAGTATGTGTTCATTTGTTTACGAATTGTCCCCAGAACCCTGTTATACTATGTTGGTTTTTCTTCTGAACAAAGGAGACCAATTACTTGGCCAATGATCATGTCACGCAAATTCTTAACCATTTTATGTGGAAAATAATAAAAAGATCAACCTCTGCTTTACGGAAGATTTTGCACATCATGGGCTTCTAATATCTTAGTAAATTATATAAAAAAAAATTGAAAAGATTTGACAAAAGATTAACTTTTTTAAAATAAATTTTCCAAAAGTTGCATTAAAACTTGCCTGTAAAAGGATTAGATATGTTAATTAAGGTCCATCACATTTTTAAGTGGTTATATAAATATATCTGAATTCAACTTATAGCAGAAAAACAATAGTTCATCTAAATAACGTTTCTCTTTTTGTTAAAAAAAAAAACATTAAAAAAAGCCAACTTGTAAATAGATCCAATTGACACAGCATCATCTTCAGTATACATAAAACATGGCTGACTAAAAGTCAAACAACGAGACAGTTTTTGACAAGAGGTAAATAAAACATCACTTTTTTCACCAAACCAATAAGAGAAAATAATAGCTATTACAGATTAAACTAAATAAAGTATCAGTAACATACTATTGTTTTAATGTCACCAATCAAAGATATCTAAGTTATGAAATTTCTTTTATTAGGGATTGAGATTAAACACTGCTTATAAGAATCCATGTCGGGGGGGGGGGGGTATTGTGTAAAAATAGTCTCTGGATCTCTAAAAGTTGCATTGAGCAATTTCAAGAAAAATCATTGAACACAATTATTCTTATTCGACTGGGTACCAAGTATCGTTACTGGCCTTTTATGAGTATGCTGCTGGCAGGCGTTTTCTTTTATGAATTATAAAACCAGCGCACAAAAACTCATATATCACTGAATGAATGAAATGGAATTGAACATCCTACTTTACTGGAACCAACTGGGCAAACAAAGACAGGCAGGAAGCATAACATGGCAGATACAATAGTTATTTTGTTGCTTGTAAATTGTTAAATTAAAGTACTCATAAAGTTTGTTGAAACAACTCCCAACTAATCAATGTCATCCAAGACAAATACTACTCTTTCATTATATAACAACAAATGTGTTAGGTTTAAAAACAGCCAATGTTTACATATTTGTGTTTCACCATCAAAGAAAAGCTCTTAGTACAACAATTGACAATATCGATACAAGGTCAACTAATCAAAGAATTCAATACAAAAGTCTTTGACACCTTAATGCGCTACTCTTAACACCGTCTACTTTTCAGAAGTTTCAATTCTGGTCATAGCATTCCTCCTAGTCCACAAAAAACGAAAGTATTAACATTTAGATTTACCCCTAATCCTATTCGCTGGATTGTCAGCATTTTATAGGATTTTCTTGTTGTGTTTTTTCGTTAAGAGAATCAATACAAGATAAAACAACATAACAGTTTCTGTAGAAATTCTTTCAATTATTCAAGGTATGCTTGGTATTTGTTATTTGTGAGAAAAAACTCAGGTGATTGTACGTAAAAAGGTAAGATTTTAAGAAACCAACTGGTAACTTTATTCAAAGCAGCAGTCTCAATTATGGTAAAGCAATTGATCGATAGATGAATAATTTTCAATTTCCATAAATTCTTTCAATTACCCAGAGCATATATGGCGGTACTTGTAAGTAAAAATTAACTTATTTCTATGATAAAGCTGCAGATGGCTACATAAATAATTTTTGAGTTGATCATTCAATTATACGATTTGATCAGATTAGATCTTTGGAAAATTTCCGATCACGCTGTTAATAAACCCAATATATCGTGAAATTCGTTAAAGATGAATGGCCGAGTAGAATCATCTGAATACATTTTATATTATTTCTAATCCATGGGGAGAACTCTGCCTTATTTCTATAAAGTTGACTTAAAGATACATTATGAGACATTTAAAGAAAGTACTGACAGTTCTTACTATAATAGTTCAGAAATAGTTAATGAAAAATGAATATATTGAAAATTTCAGTCAAATTACTTTATTCTGAGTGAAGTTTTGACAATTGTCTCCAAGAATTACCGATAACTTGCAGACGGAAACTCTGCCCCCAGTTCATATTCTCGATTGTCAAGTACGATTACCATAATTATAAATGAAGTTTCAATTGTCAGGTATTTTATGCATTACTGGAAAATTTGGACTTGACTGACCATATTAGTGTTTAACACAGATATGGCAGGCATTGTCTAATCCACTCAATATCTTAGCTATCCGATGGTCTAGAGAATTGATTATTTATCATGTGAATAAATGTCTAAATAATAATTTATATAACATTTGAAGCCAGAAAAATTCCCCGGCAATCGACAAATTTAACTCTCACAGGTAACTGTTAAGTAGTGTTAAGAGATTTTGTATGTACAGCTTTGCAATATTTATGTACCTGTTGCCAAATTCTAAAAAGAAACGATAATTGTACGTCTGTGTTACAAATCTACTTCCAGACATCAGAATGAACAAAAGAACACTATTAATACAATGTTAATCTGTAAACAAAGAAAGATTCTCGTTTTTTTTGTTGGTACATTAATAGAGTTAATACCATGTTGATTTGTAAACAAATGAAGATTTTTTTTCTTTTTTGGTACATTAATAGAGTTTGTGGGTACTAACATCAAGTGGAGATAAAGTAGACATAAGCCGTATTAGCTAATACACTATACAGTTTGTGGTTACTTGCTTGGTATTTAGATAAACGGTTCAACTTTGATGTCTTAAGTACACTGGACCGCCAGAATAGGCAAACATCAAAGACCTGGGGGTCAACCATGTTTGTATTTTTAGACAGTTTAGTAAAATTTTAAAATTCAACATTCTTTACACTTTTGTTTTATTGGGAAATTTTGAGGGGTTTTATTATTATTGGTACAATTTTCAAAAATTTCACATCTAAAACAATGGCCATTGTCAACCTTTGGTTTAATATTAAATTTTAAGACATTAAATAGAATACTAGGCCTACTGCTGAGAGATGTACAATTTCATAATGAAAATACTGAATTTTTTATGGATAGTGCAATGAAATGGAGAGAGAGAGAAATGGGGTTTAATGTCCACTCGACACAAACTAGGTCATTTTGGGACTAACATATTGTTTAATTTTATTTCAATAATTCGCTTGCGCATAGGGGTCTTTAGCAGTGGGAGGAAACTGGAGGACTCGGAGAAAACCCACGAGGTTGGACAGGCGACCCTACTCCTTGTCACGTACAACCGGGGATTCGAAACCACGCCAGTTGACTCAATGACAGGTCTTATGATATAGTGTGCACATGCTAACCATTCGGCCATCCACCCCCCCCCCCACTGACAAAGGACATTTTCCGTAAATGTGCATCATAATATACAGTAACATGTTTTTTTTTGTACCAACCAACCAAAAAACAAGGCACAAAACACATATTCTTGTCAGTCCTGCAGGTGTCGCCCGCATCAAGTCCATGATGGGATTCGAACCCACCATCTTCAGGTTGTCTGTTCACGACTCTTATTTTCATCAATAATAGGAGATTTAAATACCATTAT